GGCCACAATCCTTCATCTTGAGTTAGCTGTGTTCCCTCAGAATCATCAGAAATATACTGTTAGCAGCTACTAGCTGCTCCAAAGCACATGATGCAAGAAGAATGAGAATAAAGAGTTTGAAGGAAGAGAGCTTTCCTTGGAGCCTTTTCTTATTATTACAATGATGCTTTCTATTTGGAGAATCACTTCATGTGACATTCACTTCCTTCATTCTCACCCTCCTCAGACTTACTCAGGCACAGATAGATACACACTGACCTAGATTCTAAATCTTGGCTTTCCTGCTCTGCAACCTTGGGCTAGTAAGCTAACCTTTCTGAGCCTCATTTTCCTCATCTGTAAAATAAGGGTGATATTGACATATATAACCTTGTTTTGTTTCAAAGCACTTAATATTACAACTCTCAGAATAAATGACATTTAATATTTACTACAGTCTCAGCACATGGTAAGTCCTCTATTCATACATACAACAAAAGTAATTATTCTTTAAAATGGGAACAATAATAGTTTCTACCTCATAAAGTTATTTTGATAATTAGAAAACAATTTAAAGGTGTTTAGCATAGTGCATACCATCTGGTAAACCCTTAATAAATGTTAGCCTAGATCATATTATTACTACAGTATATTATTTAAGAGTCACAATCAATTTGGTCTATATCAACTCTACAGTTCTACATCACATCTGAATAACATTCAATACTTTTCAAGGTACCTCTAATCATTTCCCCTGCTCCTTACAACAATCAGATAAGGTCTACTATCCCATGTTACAAATCATTATTCCTAAAATTTATTTTGTGTACCTCTATGAAAAGGAAACTGGGCTAGAAATTTAAAGATATGTAAGATATAGATTGACATTCACAATGGTTTAGTGTCTGTTCCTTTATATGACAAAATTATACAATGAATCTGAGAAAGCGAGAGACAATTGCTCCTGGCTCAGAACTTCTAAGACTCTTTTAATTTCCTAAGTGAAAAGGTCACTCGAATCACCTTTTGTTCTAATATTTGTTTTTTGCCAATGAGGCGACTCTGGGTGGGCTCCTGGATGTGGGCTGGTCATGGGAAAGACCGAGCCTTGATTAGAAGCTTGGGACTTTCAGCGCCATACTTCCATGCTCTTGAGAAGGGAAAAGGGCTGACAATGAAGTTAATGATCGGCCATGCCTATGTGATGACGTTTCCATAAAAATCCCAATAGTACAGGGTTCAGAGAGATTGCAGGTTGGTGAGCACATGGAGGTGCTAGGAGGGTGGCACACCTGGACAGGGCATAGAAGCTCTGTGTCTCTTCCCACACACCTTGCCTTTCACATCTCTTCCATCTGATGTTCATCTGTATCCTTTACTATATCCTTTTAAAATAAATTGGTAAATATCAGTATTTCCCCGCATTCTGTAAGCTGCTCTAGCAAATTAATTGAACCTTAGGAGGGAGTTGTTACAACCTCTGATCTATAGCTAGTCGGCCAGTAACAACCTGGACTTGTGATTGGCATCTGGAGGTGGGAGGGCAGTCTTGCTGGACTGAACCCTTGACTTGTGGGATCTGATGCTGTCCACAGGTAAACAGTGTTCCACTGAGTCATTGCAGGACATCCAGCTAGTGTCAGAGCTTTGCTTGTTAGTGTGGGGAACCCTTGTCCCCACAAACATTGGAAACAGGTGATCAGAACCCATTAGAGAGAATGAAACAGGTTCTAGGAAGTTTTGTGTACTGACTGTAGATGAAGGCTACTTCTGTGGCTATAGTGGGGTACCATAGCTTCAAAGAAGCACAAGAGGTATGGAGTCAGATAAAACTATGCCTTCCATACTTCTTTCAGGGCAATTCCATGGCCTACTAGAAATTATGCCTGTGATGTACACTATGAAATGATATAGAACAGTCAAAATAAATAAAACACATGACATGTAATGATATGAATATCACTTAGCAAACTAATAAGTGAAAAAGAAGTCCCTGAAATTACATACAATACAAGGCTCACTTTATAAAGAAAAACAATTAAATGAAAAACTATCTAAAAATAAAGCAAATGGGCAATGAATATGGAGTTTTGGAGGGTGGTTACATCATGTGGAGAGATCGAAGGGGAAGATCACATGGTTGGTAGTAGGTTATTGTCAAAGTCTTAATGTTCATGTTGGAGGATGGTTTCAAAAGTACTTATTACATTATAGAAATAAATAGGAGAATAAATAGGAAGGGAGAGAGGGAAGGAGGGAGGAAGGAAGGAAGGGAGGGAGAGAGGGAGAGGAGAAAAAAATGTATGTGGGAGAACTCTAGTGGAGCAAATAACTTTTCCAGAGGAAAAGAGAACAGTTAATGTCAAAATCCATAGTGGGTAGATTCCTTCTCTATGACTTTGGAGAATGTGGCCAAGATTAAAATCTTGTAATGCCATTTCAGGAGTTTAGCCAAAGAGAACATACATGCATTAGAACTTGTTGCTTCTCCAGAAGTCCCAATGCTCTGGCCAGCTTTACAAAATATTTATCTCCATGGCTGCCCATAGTGCAATAATGTTAGTTTCTTTTCCCAAGTATGGGAAGCTGAGACTCAGGTATATTTACAAATGTTTAAATAGCCACCCCAAATTCACTTATATAGCGCAAATATATAGAAGAAAAAGAACTTCATTCATTCAAGAAAGATTTACTATGTGCCAAGCACATTCTAAGCACTAGGAACAGAGCAGCGAATGCACAGGCAAAATTCCCTGCGTTCAAATAGCTTTATGTTCCAGGGTTGAACAGAACAGTGGCCATGGGGTGGGATACATTTTAAGGCCAAATAGTGAGTAAGAGCCTGGACACTGAAGTTGGGCTGCTTGGGCTTCAATCCTGGCTCTTCCAATGGTCAAGCTACTTGTTTTCTCCCAGCCTCCATTCCTGTACCTGGGAGTTAGTGCCTGCACTGTAAAGTCCCTTGAGGAGTGGGATTTAACATATACTACACTGTTTAACACAGTGGCCGATACATACTAAGCACTCAAGTATTGGCACTGATTTGCTTGGTGAGGCGCGCATTCACCAAATCACTCAAGCCGAAGTGATAGGATCAAACTTGACACCTGACGAACTTGATTACCTTGTTCCATCAATCTAATCTCCTAAATATTTCTTAAGTGTGTGTGTGTATTTTTTTTCCTTTTGTCTCCCTTGCCATTATCTTAGTTCAGACTGACATTTCTGGTATTGATTATAGAACTTGCCAAGTAGGCTCCCTGCCTTCAGCTTTCTTTTATTCATTCTTCCCCCGGGTCAAAAATTTGAACACATAATTTCCCTGATTGAAATCCTCCTGGAATGCCCCTCCCATCACTGCCCCCTGCTTATAAACTCTTTTTTGTTGTTAATCCTCACCTGAAGATATTTTTTTTCCAGTGATTTTTAAAGAGAGTGGGAGGGAGGGAGGGAGGGAGGGAGGGAGGGAGGGGGAGAGAGAGAAACGTTTGATCGGTTGCTTCCTGCACGCCCAACTAGGCCCAGGGATTGAATCTGCAACCCAGGTCCATGCCATTCACTGGGCATCAAACCTGCAACCCTTTAGTCCCTGATGCTCTAACCACTGAGCAATGGCAGCCAGGGCTGCTTATAAACTCTTTAGCATGGTATGTGAGTTTTCATAAACTGCCCCCTGCCTATCACCGGTCACCTCCCCTTATGCTCTAAGCCTCCATCACACTAACTTTTGCATAGAGTTGTGCACACATCATGCAAGTTCATAACTCTGTGACTTTGCAAGTGCTCTTACCTGTATGGGGAGCCTCTTCTCATTTCTTTAGCTGGTGGAATTTATAACCGTCAGAAGGCTGAATTCTTCATCCCCCCTCTATACTGCTTCTTTCTCTTATACAATGTAATTTCCCTGAATGCACAGTACATACTATGTTGCATTTATCTGCTTACATGTCTCTTTCTTAGATTTTAAAGCACTTTGGCAATAGAAAATGAGTCTTATTCCCTTTGGTGTAACCAATACTTACTTAGCATACGGTGGGTAAAGTGTTGAAAGAATGGCTGCAGTGCTGTTGTGATCATTTTGATGTTACATGGTAATAAAAATGGTAACATGCTAATTGCACACTTACCATTTCCAGGCACAGGGCTACGTGTTCACAGGCATTATCTTACTTAATCTATTTTTTTAAAATTGATTTCAGAGAGACAGAGAAACATCAATGTGAGAGAGAAATATCAATTGGTTGCCTCCTGAAAGTGCACAGACCAGGGATCAAACCCACAACCTGAGTATGTGTCCTGACTGGGAATCGAACCCACCACCTCTTGGTGTATTGGAACAATGCTCTAACCGAGCCACGCCAGCCAGGACTATCTTACTTAATCTTTAAGAAACTCTATGAAAGAGACAGGTGCTAGAATTATCATCATTTTACAGACGAGGAAACTTTAGCTTAGCAGGGCTTAGTAGTTGCCAGGGTCACAGAGCTGGTACACAGTAGGGCAGGAAGTCAAAACCATGTGTGTAGGATTCTAAATCCCTACACTTTTCCCCTGTATGTAATTTGGAAATTCCAGAACAAGAGATAACTTCTCTATCTTCCAGAAGGCCTCAGGAGTGCTCACCAGAGGAATGCATTGACTAAAAGCTCTGAACCCACACTTCACTGTTCATATTCTCACACGTCTATCATTTCTATCTAGTTCAGGCTAATAACTCCAACTGGAATTTTTTACCTCAGATATTTCATATCGGTCAAGATATTTCATGGTAGGTGTCTTTCAAAGATAACAAAGGGATTTTTAAAATGCATAGTTTGCAAACTTATTTTAGAGGAAGAGGAAAACTTGAAGACTTGATTCTACTAAAGCAGTATTTAGCATAAAATAACCCCAATTCATGCTTGCCATTCAGACAGGAAGTGGTTAGATTAATAGTTCCACAGATGTTTTCTGACGGCTAAGTAACTTATTACGCATTGTCACTCATGAAGCTTGATCATGACTAGAAAGAGTAGGCAGAATCACATACATCTTCATTTTTATTCCTTTTCTTAATGATGAATGTGATTAATACAGTAATAGATAGAGTGAAGCAGCAACAGCTTCTGTAACAAAAGCATGTTATAAAATATAATTAGTTGTTGGCACCAGGTACCAACAATGTCAGTAGACGCTAAAAACAGACAATTTAACAAAGGCAACAATTTTTATTACCCTGCTTTGCATTTGATATTTTAGAACTGTACAGCGATTCTCACTTCCTAAGCAGAAATATAATTTTAGGAGATTCTTCACATCATTTTAAATTTTCATTAATAAACTGCTACATTAGGATGAGATGCTCTAAAATAATTGTGTCATTGTTGTTGTTATGGAACGATGAAAATTTGTTAGGAAAACAGGCTGCTGTTTATACTTGCTTGTACTTTTAAACACTTGAGAAACAAGGAAGCAGAGCTGTTGGGAAAGCCCATCGTGGGAGCAGGCAACCTTTGCAGACGATGTTCGTGACTCAGTCATCTCCTCCACAGAGCTTTAAGAGTGTGGCTTCATAGTCTCCAGAAGTATCCGACTGCAGAGAACAGGATGGGGAGAAGGACAGGTACAGCATAAATAATGAGGAGACCATAAAGGAGCCAAATTTCGTAGCACCAGGGGACTCCCTGGGGTGCAAGACTCATGGCCTGTACCATTTAGTAAAATGCACCTGTGATTTCATCATTCATTCGTACCTGAGTGTAGTTATTTTTCAGCCTAGCATCTTTTTCACAATAATGTTTAAATTCTTCCTGATGTAATTCAATTAAATTGCAATTTGGGTTTAATAAAATATATTTTCATCAATTATATAGTATTACATAATATTAATTGTGAAGCAAAACTTTAAAAATCATAGTTTTAGTAATATATATTATTTACCAAACACTTGGTAAGTAATTACCAATTACTTTAACCCTTAGAAGAACTCAAACAGTAGGTTCATAAGTATCTCCCATTTAACAAATCAGTAAGGTGAGAAAAAGAGAGGTTAGAAACCTTGTGCCAAATCATATAATAAGCAACAGATGCAGGATTTGAACCCAGATCTCCTGGCTCCTTAACACCATACTATACGTAAGAACGTGAAATGAACTACATTCCCAAAGAGTACATTTCTGATTTCCTTTCCCCTAGACAAGCCAGAAAGATCTTGATTCAGAAAACATACTATGTGCGATTGAGGCTTAAGGTACTAAGATGCAATGTTTACTATGCAAAGGAGGTAAAGAAATGTTTGTATAGCATTGGAGGTAAAACTTGGCTTTGAACCTAAATTGTCTAAAAACCTCACATTATTCTTATTTTATTCAAGGCAACTCAAATGACGAGCATTTCATATCATTTAAGTTTCACATTGGAGTAAATGTTAAGTAGTAGTTAATGCAAAGGAAGCAATGAAGAAAGGCTATTTAGAAAAGAAGTTAAGCATTATTTTCATAAGACATGACAGGCATTAACATACATTCTTTTTTGTATACAGTTTTTAGTTCTTCCCTTATTGGTTTTCTTAAGTCTTGCTCTGACATAGGTAATAATTTCTCAAACTGCTGACAAGTCAAAAGTGCTCTAGTTTTGCATTAAAACAACTCCCTCTAATCACAAAGTTGTAAAAATTATTAGGGTTTCTATCAGTTAGTTGAGAAAATACTAGTGTATCCAAATAGCTTAGCATACAGATATCTTCTGGTGTGGAGTGATTAATCAGGGAACTTACATGCATATATGGACACAGACAATAGAGTGGTGAAGGCCTGGAAGGGATGGGTGTGGGGTGGAGGGGGTCAATGAGAAAAACAAACAAACAAACAAACAAACAGAGGGGACATCTGTAATACTTCCAACAATAAAGGGTGGGGAAAAGCAGAAAAGAAACTGAAAGTACAGATTTGAAAGAGTAATATGATCCCTGTACTATCAACTAAACATCTCTGATATATTTGAGAAGCATTGAAAAATATCTGATGCTCAACTGAATTCCATCTGCTTGCTTCTATTTTTTATATTTCTTCCCTTTGCCCAACAATCAAGGATGCTACATGTTTCAGAGAGTGCTGCTATAAAACAGGGGAGCCTTGGTGTAGCTGAGATATTAAGTGAAATTATGCAGACTATATAGTCCTGTCTGTGTAAGTATACAATGAAGTACTGAGATTTGGGATTAAAAAAAACAAACAAACTTCTGATCCACTGTAGACACTAAACAAATAGTCATCCTCTTCTCCTATCTCTGTTCCCTTATGTCTTCTATTCAATTTATATGGTGTTTTAGAAATTTTATCACAAAAAAGGTAGTGTAATTTCAAAACCTTTGAACATAATTCATGCTTTCCTAATTAGGCCATATTAATTGTTCTTAAGAAACTAACTGCCCTAGCTGGTTTGGCTCAGTGGATTTGGCCTGCAGATTGAAGGGTCCCAGGTTCAATTCCAGTCAAGGGTACATGACCAGGTTGCAGGCTTGATCCCCAGTAGGGGGTGTGCAGGAGGCAGCCAATCAATGATTCTCTTTCATCATTAATGTTTTTGTCTCTCTGTCTCTCTCTCTCCCTCTCCCTTCCTTTCTTTTATATATATATAAAAGAAACTAACTCAATGTTTCTATTGGCCTGTTTTTAACAGAGGTCCTCTCTTCTCCCAACTTTGATTCCATCTTTTACCCTTTACATTTAATCCGGCTTCCCAATTAATTCCTGTGGTGTTTTTTAAGTTACTCTTTTTTTCCATCCTGACCACAACCAACCTACTCTGGGCTCTCATCTCTTGTCACTAGTTTCTTTGGCTCTAAATTCATCAACCTGTTTCTCCAAGTTGTTAATTCTTTTGCTTTGTAAATCTAGTCCAGTCACACCGTATGCACAGCAGGCAGCCCTGTAAGGAGGCCCTGCTTTTCCTCCTTCTTTTCTGGCAGCTCCACCTTTGTCTTTGAAGGCTTATCCTCTGCGATCCAGCCACTAATTGTTAGTAATGCTTAAATCTCCGTTCTCAGATTTCTTCTCTTCTCAATCTGTATTTTCCTAGAGGATTTTCATCCATGTCCAAGGGTTCAATAACATAATTCACCCTGAAAATATATCTTATACCACCAGCTTACTGACTTGACAACTCCATTTACAGCTCGAAGACATCTCAAACTCAACATGTGCAAAAACAAACCCCTGCACTTTCTCCTCCACTCCCAGAAAAAACAAACAAACAAAAAAAGCCGACACCTAAAACCTGACCTTTGCAGGGAATGGCACAATTATCTGCTTCCCAAGTTAGGAACCTGGGCATCATCCTTGACATCTCTCTTCCTTGCTCCTCACACCAAGTGTCTTAATTTTAACTCCTAAATATCACTGAAGTCTTTGCTCGTTCCTCTCTTTGCATTGCCAGTAGGTTTGCTTACTACTTCGCACCACCCGGTCACAGCTACTCTAATATGACCAGTCTAATAACTTATCACTCCACATCTCTTCTATCGTCTGTCCAGTTCATCCTCCACAGTCTCAGGGACCATTTCAAAGTGTACTTCTAATGATGACACTATGTGCTTAAAACGAACATTCTTCATTGGCTTCCCACTACTCTTAAGCGAAAGACAAAATCTTTAAACACTGTCAAAAAGGCCCTCTGTGGCCTGGTCCCCCAGCCTCATTTTTCACTGTTTTTCCTCCAACACTAGGGCTTTTCACTTGTGACTCACTCCTTTTGATAGAATGCTCTACCTTCTCCCAACACACACCACCTCTGCCTTTCAGATATGAATCAAACCTTCCTATAGGTCAAATCCTCCTATTATATGGTCTTGTAGCACAATATTCCTTTCCTTTCCATTTAACATAGTTGTATAAACAAGTTTTACATTTATTTGTAATTCCATAAGGACAGAGAACTTTTTTCCTTTGCCTATCATTGTAACCCTGCGCTTGGCACATAATTCTCATTCAGTAAATATTTTTAATTGAATAAATGAAATACAAATTCCATGATCTCAGAGCTCTCTTTCAACTGAATTCATCTTGCTATTTGGATTTTATTTTTCAATCCTCCCCATAGTAGACCTTCTAATAATTCAAGTGACTTATTCCTTTTTCCCCTCCTACTTCTCACCATACATGTTTCTAGAGCAGCCGTGGGCAAACTATGGCCCGCGGGCCGATTCCGGCCCTTTTATGCAATGATGTTTACTTTGAATTTATATTAGTTCACACAAACACTCCATCCATGCTTTTGTTCCGGCCCTCCGGTCCAGTTTAAGAACCCATTGTGGCCCTTGAGTCAAAAAGTTTGCCCACCCCTGTTCTAGAGCATTTACTTGTGAGACCCCACTGACCAGCATGCCACCTGACTCATAGGAGGCACTCAACACATGCTTATTAGCCTGAAAGATAGGTCAAACCCATTTCCCTATCTAATCTCAAACTTTTTTTACTCCCCAATTCCTATATTACCCTCCTCTGTATAATCCAATATTTAAGTGTATGTTGTTTCATATTATCTTGTAATTATTTTATTTATGCCCACCTCACTTCACACAGATTATAAATTGAAAGGGACTACTATGTTTTCCCTTAAAGAGCCTGGACTTAGGTACTTAATCTGTTGATCAAAAATGCAATTCCATCCAAATATGCTCTTAATATCTTATTATTAATGAATAAGAGATACACATTTTTCACATATGTCTTTCTCTCCTTCTCCCCACCAATCATCACCTGAGAAAGGTGTTAATAAGCAGAGACATGTCTAAATAACAGGCAGAAGGGAGAGGAAGACAGAACTAAAGGCCAGGCTGATATTGTGGGGTTCAGAATGAGTCATCCCAAAATGTGCCTCTGTGGGATGCAGATTATTTTAAACTAAAGGCAACAGAGACCCTGTGGGCTCAAGAGAAACTTCTGCCCTCTCCCCTTAACTACCGAGAAGAATTTGAATTGGGGGTTTTGCCGATAATAAGAGATTATCAAAGATAACCTTTCTGACCTATCTATAAGGCAGAGCAAACTACAAATTATTGAACTCTGTTCTTATAGCCCTGCAGTGACCCTCTGAAACCCCATGGCATCTCACTTCATATATGACCAGGAGGTAGTCAGATATAGCTCATTTTACCTTTCTATCCCTCAGCCTCTCCTGTATGTGAGGTTTCTGACTCTCTCATATATGTGGGGTTCCCATGCACACGTATGCAGTTAAATTTGGTTATTTTCTCTTATTAATCTGTCTCATGTAGATTTAATCATTAGACCAGGTGAAACTTTCTTCCTCCCTGACAATATACAAAATAAAACTCTAGCTCCTGAATGACAGAAATGAAATCAACTGAAAGGATCTTATTCATCAGTAGTGAAAATGTAATGATATCGCCTAATAATGTACTTTCAGGTGGTAGAAATGAAGACACCTTATATAATTTTAAATTACAAACTGAACTCTTCAGCAATGAATTTTTATTTTCTATCAAGATACCCATAGTTTAAATGTTTCCTAATACAATCAGCCTCAATTACCCAGACCACTGAGGGAGGGAGAGCTACTGCTTAATTTAATTTTTTGGTTTGCTGAGGGTGAACCAAGAGCCCTCTTTATGTTTCAATCATGTTACTGACAATCTTTATAAAAGTCATGCGTCTACTTTTCTGCCTTAGTAAGAACAATATGGTTAATGTTATTGAATTTTCCTCTATTGATTGAAATGACTGTAATGTGTCAGGATCGATTCAAATTGCATTGAGTGTGAGCAGTTGATGAAATCTGTGCTAAGCCCCAGGCACAGTCTGAGAGTTGCCTTTTTGAGTAAATTCCTGATTTCAACTTAAGCATGCATCTCTTTCTGCAAAGGTTTAGTAAAAAACAAAAGCTCTGGCTGGAACAAAAAAATAGGGTTGGGGTGGGGGGGATTGTGATTTATGACTCCAGTTGACGGAATGATGTTCACTCATGCATCCACTGTAACACCATTTGTGGAGTCTGAGGCCAGAAAGTTCTCAGGATGGCTGCCCAAAGGCCCACACCAACAGGTGGTCAAGGGAAGCTTTGCTGGGGAGGGCCACTTCAAAGACTGGGCCATGGGCTTCAGCTGTTCCTGGTGACATAGGAATGCGGACAGAATGGAGGAGTCCTTGGTGGGCAACTGGATGTCGTCTCCTGCATAGCATGGGACTCCAGCCTTGTAGATAGGCTTGAGGGAGGTTGGTCCCAGGATCAGAATCCACAGGGTTCATAAAACGATCCTATAGGTAGGCCCCAGATGTCTGGACAGCTCAGACTCCACACCCGACTCCGGACCACTGGTGCTCAGAGCAAACGTGTCCTTCTCTCAGGCTAGGTTTGTCCTCTGGGTGCCACCTCTGAGCTCGGGTCTCAGTGACTCTACAATGATTGAGATTCATTTGTCTTCATGTCTGGGCTAATGATCGCCAAAGCTGATTTCTCCAGACAGCTGTTAGGTGGATGAGGCTGAGGCATAGAGAGACCTGTAGGACGTCTGTGAAGCCAGCCCTGGACTCCATCTTTGCACCTAGCCAGTGACTCTGGAGGCTGGGGCAATGTGATGGCTTGCCCTTCAACCTGGGCTTCCATTTTGTTCAGGAACCCAACGTGGACCACCCTTCTCTATCACTCATGGCCTGTGTGCCATCTTGGAGGCCGACGTAAAGAACAATCTTCAATGGGGCTAGCCCCTTCATTCATCGTTTTCAAGTTGTCATATTCTTATTGGGACTGTGGCTTTATCATTAGTTCCATGTATGGAAGCCTCTTACACAATTTTTTCAGGTCTTACTTCTTTATAATTTGTCATTTATTTGGGGGTTTATCTACATATATAATATCAACTAAGATCTGAGGACAATGAAAACTGGTTTCATTCTTTAAAACTGAAAGGAAGTTATGTAACATATTTAAGGATTCTCATCCAGACTGTAAGGAATTAATTTTTTTTTTTAAATCAAGAAACTATAAAAGAAAACATTGATGAATTCTACTTGGTGCCAAACAGTATGAAAAAACACCTTCAGCCATGTCAATAGAAAAACAACAAACTGGGGGGAATAGTTATAATTCATAGACAAAAGGTGAATCTAAAATACATGAAAAGAGGTCTTAGAAATTGACATCCCCTCAAAAAATTAAAACCCAAATTTCAATAGAATAATGGGCAAGTAACATAAAAAATTACCAGGAGGAAAATGCAAATGGCATTTAAAACATGACAACATGTTCGGCTTTCTTCATATTAAGAAAAAGATATACTAATACTACACTGAGATGCAATTTCTCACCTATCAGATTATACAAACACAAAGCTAGAAAACACCCTCTGTGCCAAAGCTGTGGAGAAACAAGGACTCATGTATTCTTCATGGAAGTACAGATGGAAGTCAACTGGTAATATTTACCAAAATTACAAATATATTCACATCTGTCTCAGCAATCCTACACACTTTTGAGAATTTATCTCAGGAAAAAACTGCTCGAATTTATCCCACAGATACACTTGTACCTTAGGAAACTGTATGCATATGGCAGCATTGTTTGCAATAGCAAGAAACTGGAAACATCTGTTGATGTGGTGGATATAAATAGACAAATAACAGAATGATACGCAGCTATTTAAAAAGCTTGATATACTTGAGAAAGCTTCTGATATCCTGCAATGAAAAGAACTCCAAGGTGCAGAACCATGCTATCTTTTGTGTGAAACAAAGAGGAAATTTAAAATATGTAGTTTTCTTTCCTGTCATTTTCATAAAGAAACACTAAAATAAATAAAAACAGTGCAATATAAAAATAGGTAAACAATTTGCATATGCAATTCAAAAAAGAAGAAAAATTAGTGGCCACTAAACTGAAAAAAAAATAAAGTGGGTATCTATCATGTGGCTGAGATTCTAGAGCTGAAAACAGTCTCTATGTTTAAAGGCTGTTTTGCTCCCACTACACATTTACACACTGACAAAGAGAGAGAAATCTGAGTCACATATCTCCATGTTCTAAGGATTGTCAGGGAACGAGAATAGGGAGAGAAAGGCAAAATGTGTTTTGCTGTTTTTAAGAAGAGACTTACTTTAATTGCTGAATAGAGAGAATAGCCACAACGCTTCTTAAACTCTGCTCGAATGTCCAAAAGGTCAATTTCTGATCTGGAAACCATTATTCGGTTGAGAGTAAACTCATCGGTTCCAGCACCCTGTTAAGAGATGTAGACATCCACAGCACAAATCAGCCACAGAACAACGTATAAATCTATATTTATAAGAAACAGATAACGGTGCACAAAATAGCCCACCGTGGTGACTCTCCTCCCTTCGTTGAACATAAAACCTCATTATTCATTTGTTTAAGAAATATTTATCGAGAGCTTACTTTGTGCCAGTACCATGCCTCATGCTGCAAACAGAGATGGGACACTTCCAATTTTGCAAAGGATACAGGTAGGAAAACAGGCCATATAATATAATGTGACATATAAGAAATACTGGGTACTATAGGCACACATATGAGGGGAGCCTAAAATAGATTAAGGATTAGAAAAGGTCTGTCTGAGAAAGTGGAATTTAAGCTGAGGCCTAAATAACCAGACAGGAGAAGGGGTGGGGTTCACAGAAAGAGGGAAAACAAAACAAAACAAAACAAAACAAAACAAAACAAAACAAAACAAAACAAAAAACGTTCCAATGGAGAAAACAGCAGGTGTGAAGGTTTAGGGCAAGAAAGAACGTCACACTCAAGGACACACGAATAATGAAGAGGAATAGCAAGAGATGTGTCTGGAAAGGCAGGACCTTATAAGCCACAAAATGAAGTTCCGACTTTATCCCAAGAGTGAAGAACTATTGTGGTCTTTCCAACAGGAGAGTTCCGAGATGGGAGCAGAGTTGCGCTTTCCGAAGATCTCTCTGGCAGCGGTATGAGGAATGGAGTGCGGGGCAGGGGGAGGATGAAGATAACAGAATGAGACTGGAAGCTTTGGCACTAACATAAAAAAGAGAAGTTGATAGCCTGGCCTGGAAAAATGGCGGTGTGATGGAGAAAATGGGTCGATTTAAGAGAGGCTTGTAAAGGCGGAGGACAAAACTGGATGTATCATTTGAATAGAATGAAGGAGAGGGAGACTCGTAAAATTCCCGAGCAGTTACATTGACACAATTCATTTTTTCAACAAATGCATATTGAACGTGTCCTGTGTGCCAGGCATTGTTTCGTGCACTGTGCATATGATAGTGAACAACACAGACCGTACCTCTCTCCTCATGCAGTTAACATTCCAATGAACGGAGATGGTCGGTAGAGAAAATTAACAAAGTGTTTAATTAAATAGTAATGAGAACTATGAAACAGAGTGTGACTAAAAGGGAGACAACTGACCTGAGTAGTCAGGGAAGACCTTTCTCAGGAGGTGATGTTTGAGCAGAGACCTGACAGGTGAGAAGGAGCCAATCACAGGTAGACCTGGAGGAGGTACCTTTCAGGCAGAGAGGACAACAAATGCACAGACTCTGACGTGGGAAGAGACCTGGCATAGTCCGGGACAGGAGGGCCGAAGAGGCTGAGGCACAGAACAAGGATGGGAGGAGTGGTATGACTTCAGGAGCGGGGCCAGGGCAGGTCCTGCTGGGGATTTCCACTGAGATGGCTGAACGCAGGAAGGGGAGTGGACCTGGGGTGGCGGGGAGGTGAAGTGAGGGACATGATGTGTTTACTTTGGACATAACTCAGAAGGTGCACGTGGACTCCCCTAGCAAATGTCCAGTAAGGAAAATGGAGCACACATCTTCTACGTGCCAGGCCCAGTGCTAGGGTCTGAATATATAAAAGAGAAAAGCAAACTCCTCTGCTCACGGAGCTCACCAACCAGCAGGGGCAACAGACAAGGCAGTTTGGTCTATTTTAAGTAAGGAGGCTTGAGAGGCCACTGGACCTAAGGGGTCAGGTTTGAGGTGTGCCGTTCGAAAACAGGTTCTATTGCCTGCGAACCGGGGGAAGTAATTTAGTCAACACTTTACTGTACCAACTGCTATAATGATTAGGACACTCATGATCAATCCATGGCACAGATTAGCTACAACAGAGAGCTCATCAAAGTGAATGGAGGTGCATCAATAATGGCAATGTTTTTACATTTTCCATGAGGGAAGCTAAGAACATGTATGAAATGTCCAGACCAACCTTCAAAGCGCGATGCAGTCTTTCAGCTAAAAAGGCAGGTATGTTCCTTGCACAATGAACTGTAGAAAAAAAAAAGTATGTTCATTGTCATTTAATTGAAATTGAGTTAATATACAGTAAAATGTTTTTAGAAATGATTCATACCCATTTTACTCCCTCCCCACTACTGGCCTTTATTTAGAATGAAAGAATGAATACCTAACCTAGATTTCAAAGCCTTGTAGCATCATATTTGCACAGAACGTTAGCAGAAGTGATCTTTAGCCGTGGGGAAAGTAAAATTAGCTGCCAAAGAAACTCCCATAGCACATGACTCACTCATCTCCAGATCTCAGACACACCAACAACTTCGCTTCCACTGATAACTCCCCAGGGTGGGCCACTGCTCCATTTCTAACAGCTTTGACTACTGATGAATAACTTGGGTCTAGAGACTGCAGATATATTGCCCAAACAACTCGTTAGGTAAGAAGAGGCACTGGAGTTCATTTTTAAACCAGTTTTTCAAATGGAAAGATTTTCTCTTAAGTGGCTGTATCTAAATTCAGTTACTAAAAAATACTGCAATCTTTTAATTCTTTATTTTGAAATAACAGGTGAAGCAGATGTAAAACAAACAAACAAGCAAAAAAAGAAATTGGCAAAAACATGAGCAAATTAAGTATAGTTTAAATAAAGTGAAAATCATCAGGAATAGAAAAGTCTGTAGAGAGAAAATCTATTTATTGCAACACATGTACTTTTATAGCCTATGTAATCTGCAGATAGGAATCTGATGAAAGTGAATAAATTTCATAATGAATTTTAGAGGTCAGAACCAGGATAAGTAGCTTTCCCATAGTGCCTTCCTGGCTCTCTTAAGGAACCGGAAAGGCCTTCAGTTTGTGTAACTGACTTAAGGGAAATAGTGGGGCGGCAGGGGGCGGGGGGAGAGAGGATGTATTAGACACTCAAACGTGGAATCTGGGACAAATATGAAAACAGTGTTAGATGTGAAGTTGTCTGAGAATAAACCAATCATTTGGATCAGTTGTACCTATTTTTTTTCTGAAATTCATATTAAGCAACCCTTAATACTTCTATTAAAAGTTGTTATGCCCACTTTATCCTAATAAACTTTTCAATCATCTCCCTCTCCCTAAGCTAAACACTTATTGAATACTTCCCCCTGCCCTCATAACCCTTTAGCTTGTCTTCTGCTTTATGCTTTTAACCACCAGGTTTGTTCTTTATGCCCTAAAATGTTGGGAAGTGGTGTTAGACATAGTGATAGAAAGTTTGCTTTAGCACCCAACATCGAAGTAGGAAAACTCAGGGAAATCTCTGACATGCAGGGAGTCCACTGAAATGAATGAGAGTGACCAAGAGGCCACAGCTGCCCATTTCTCACCTTCTGTGATGTCTTGATAAAACTGCAGTCAGTCCGTTCTCCTCCCCCAGGCCCCTGAACTCTGGCTGCCCCCGACCAGAGCAAGCACTAAAACATGGAACATGCCCTCCTACCAGCTTGTCCCGAGAGTGAGGTGGCAGAGCCAAACACATCTCCTGTCAAACCCCAACCATCATGCTCCCTGGCTTCTCCAACTCCCATGCCAAAGAGAAGCCCTTTCTGTTGGTTCTGAGACTCCTGCACATGTCTGAGATGAAAGCCTTCTCCCTATTGGGAAAGTCTTTTTGAGTAGAGCCTCCCCTATCTAAGTCCAGATTTGACAACTAGAAATGTTCTATTATGCCTTTCTAAGGTGATACAGCTCAGGTGGGTTTTCATATTAAACACTAAGTGTTGACATGCTGTATTAGACTCCTTATGCATGAAATATTTAGAATAGGCAGATCTATCAACATCGAAAGTATGGGTTACTAGAGGCTGAGGGGTGATTGCTAGTGGGTACAGGGTTTCTGTGGGAGCTGATGAAAATATCCTAAATTTAGATTGTGGCAACGGTTGCACAACCCTGTAAATATATTAAAAAGCACTAAAATGCATACTTTGAATGGGTGAATTTTATGGTGGGTTGTAGCTCAGTAAAGATGAGAAAAACTGCAATGTATTCCAATGGTAAACAAATAGAAAATGAATGTGACATATCTTGAACTTTGAATTAGTCGAATTATAAGATCTTTCTTTTACTTGATAAAACAATATACATTATAGCCTAAATTTAGTGTATCATTCAATATGTATTTCCAAGAATGCTTCTTAGCTCAATGAGTAAGAATTCACACATTTCAATAAAGTTTTTCAAATATGAGAGCAGGTAGCAAAATTGATGTAAAGAGCAACAATGTGAAATGGAAAAAAATAAACTGGCTACATCATTGCCTCCAAACTGATTATGGAGACAGCTCAATTCCATTTTTTTAATTGAAAAAGAAGCTTTTTCTATGTTGGCCTATCTTTTAGCAACTCAGAGTCAACAGTATTTTCTCTTTCTCCCTCCCTCCCTCCCTCCCTCCCTCCCTCCCTCCCTCCCTCCCTCCCTCCCTCCCTCCCTCTCTCCCTCCCTCCCTTCTTTCCTTCCTTCCTTCCTTCCTTCCTTCCTTCCTTCCTTCCTTCCTTCCTTCCTTCCTTCCTTCCTTCCTTCCTCCCTCCCTCCCTCCCTCCCTCCCTCCCTCCCTTCCTTCTTTTTTACCAGCATTTGGATAAAGAGCCCTGTTCTGGCACTGAAGAGAGGATTAGAAGTCAAGTGAAATGACATATGTGGAAGAAGCCTGAGAATGGTCTGAAACTTTGTGAGTAGTTGCTACCTGGTGTCTTTTCTCTAGTTTACTTTAAAATAGTTCAGTACAGACCGCGTGATGTGTGTGTGTTTCAGCCTCTGTTTACACACTGAGTGGCTGGTTCTCCCCACAGATTGTGGAGCCTGACCGATGGGTGACCTCAGCTCGACCTGCATTCCCTGAGTGGCCTGGGAAGGAACTGAACTTCATGTGCCTCAGGTTTACCATCTTGACCACCCCTAACCCAGGGGATTGTTATAAGGCTTAAATATGTTGATATTTGTAAAGAGTTTAGCGCAGCGCTGAGCACGTGGTAAGTGCCAGATGAGTATTTATTGAAAAATACAACGTGAGGAACCCTCAGTGGGAGCTCACCTCCAGACACAATAATTAACATCTGAAGATGAATCAGAGGCTCACGCCAGGGGAGGGCACCTTCAGACATCAGCTCTCCTGATCTCACCAGAGAAGCTATTCATTATCACGTGGATGACAGAAATGCTTTTTCATACGGGCACTCCTGCCCTGGAATTAATGGAGAAGAAGCCGCGGCAAGCCCAGTCACCACACTAAGTTACAGCGGTTTAGGATTCCCAACAATCCCGGGTGTGTGCAAGCACGTGACAGATTCCCTTGCCTGACTCTGACCAGATGGGTCCCCGAATCCTGTCTTTGAATCGTCTCTCATTCTCTGGCCGCACCTTCCTCGCCTTATGAGAGGCAGATCGCCTTATATGACAGCGTCTCCGTCTGCTTGTTTATCCACGGGTCTTTCTGACGCACTCCCTGCTAGCACAGCCGAGGGGAGGAGACCCATAGTTCCACTTGAGCTCAACTAGCCACTGACATCGTCCAATGACCCAAAATGGGAAATCACCAAATTGGCTCACATCTCAGCTTTCAACAAAGCTCAATAGAAATGCCAATAGAAATGTCATATTTTTATCTCTCAAGGAGTGTACAATCCAAATGTGGTGACAAGCCAAATACAAAGTTAAAAGCAAAGTAAGATTAAAAAAATTACTTTTTTCATACATCCATTTACCCATATCTGTTGAGCATATTGTTAAATGGATGCTGTGGGAGCCTAGAGATGGGTCAGTCAGGATTCTTACATGGAGCTCACCCCGACATTGTTCACATCAAGTGCAAAATAACTCAGTTTGGAAGCACTCAAGAGCTTACCGATGGCCAGCAGTAGGTCTTCAAAATGTCCAGATAGTTCTCCTTTTATGCTGTCCTCAATGTCCTTCTGGCTAATATTTCTGTATTCGTCAAACGCTAAAAAGCAGTACCACAAAAACAGTGAAAGCATCACAGTCAACCACACATGAATATACTCCAGTTTTTTAACTGATACGCAGCAAATCAAGTTGTTAAGTGGTGAGCTCAAAACCCCTTCTTTAACTCATCAAAATTGGAACTTGGAAGTTTTTGTTTTTCGTGTCTTAAAAAAAAAAAAAAACTACAATAAAACCTGGACTTCATAGGCCATTTTCTTCAATGATCTTCCTCTCTCTCTCTCCTCTCCCTTTCCCCAGGTTGTTAGCATTTAAAATAGCCTAAAAGGTTAAATAATATGTCTAGGAAGGCAGGCTGTGTTTAAATTATAGCAGCACCTGGGTCATTAATCAAATATGTGTTATCTGCCAACACAGTCCTCCATATGAAGATTTCTGATTGCTGAGCAGACATTCCCTCAGGGGCACGGCCTACTTCTCATGTACCTGAAGGCATTCCAATTTCTTGATCAGTTTTTGGCCCAAAGCAAAACCTGTACATGCAAGTATATGGGCATATTTTGCAAGTCAAGTAATTTTTTTCAAATAAATTTTGGGGGAAAAAAGAAAGAAAGAAATTTTGGAGAGACATCTAGGATTGCTTGTTTTTTGTTTTTAAAATGAAGATGTTGGCTCCTCCCTGGCCCAGGTCCTGGTCAGGTCACATGCAAGAGGCAACCAATTGATGTGTTTCTCTCACATTGATATTTCTCTCTGTCTTTCCCTCTTCTACTCTCTCTAAAAATCAATGGAAAAATATCCTCGAGTGAGGATTAAATAAATAAAATAAAGATGTTAATAAAGCAACTATGATATACAATTACCATTATTTTATAAATGAAATTCTAATGCCAAACTTAAGGAAGGGAAACTTCAGAATTAAAAAATCCTGGTGCTATCTTCGTATTTTCTCATTTTCCCATGACTCAGCAGAAGCCTGGTCATGCACTGTGACTGTCACTGTTATCTTGACCTGCACCTGGAGCCCATTTCACAGGAAATGGGCTTCTGGGCTTCCAGGTGCTGTTGCTTCCAGAATGGCTCAGGGAGATGCATGAGTGAGAAAGTGGATGCGTGGCAGTTTCACATAATAGTTTGTCTGACAAAGAGGGCTCCCCAATTTACCTTCATTTCAGAGAATGAATGGTAATCCATGCTAATGCATTAACAGCACCTGGTTTTTCTGGAAAGTGCCTAACTAGGGAAGTGTTGGGGTGGAAGCAAGGCAGCCAGGGTCCTCCATCCACAGGAACACTCCCCTCTGCTCTCACCCCAGAGGGCGGCCCCTTTTACCAACCCTTCCCATCTGTTACCTGTCACTCACTAGGTATCTACTCAGCCTCTACAGCAGTGGTTCTCAACCTTCCTAATGCCGCGACCCTTTAATACAGTTCCTCATGTTGTGGTGACCCCCAACCATAAAATTATTTTCGTTGCTACTTCATAACTGTAATTTTGCTACTGTTATGAATCGTAATGTAAATATCTGATATGCAGGATGTATTTTCATTGTTACAAATTGAACATAATTAAAGCATAGCGATTAATCACAAAAACAATATGTAATTATATATGTGTTTTCTGATGGTCTTAGGCAACCCCTGTAAAAGGGTCGTTCGACCCCCAAAGCGGTCTCGACCCACAGGTTGGCGACCCACAGGTTGGGAACCGCTGCTCTACGGGAACAAGAATCATGTCAGTCCTGCCTTGACTTGTTGATTCCTGAACTGTTGATACATAAAAATGGAACTACCTTTGCAATTTTTAACTTCGTTTTCCAGAATTTTGTACATTAAATGCAAAAAACATTTGCAAAGCCACACAGAGCCAAAAAGATTATAATGAGAGTCCTTACTTCGTTTTAGCTGGGGAAAGCTCCTTAGACACAGGATCTCTGTGAACTTATCTTCGTCGGTGCCCCACTTCTTCTCACCAGCATTATAGAGAATCTGTGGGACAAGGTGGGGAGACTTAAATGTTCTTATGGACACAGTCCTCTTGTCTCTTTTTGAAGGGTTAAGAGGAGAGGAGGTTTCTTTTGTTTTAGAGTCAGCGAGATAATTATTCAAATTTCTCACGTTTAGCAGAGTAGAAATCTGAGAGGTGGGGTGGCAGGGGCTAGGGGAATAATAACCCTACTGGGGAAGGCTGGTCCCCAGCTTTCTCCCGACAGGACAGGAGACCGCAGCCCCAGTTGTGCCACAGAAATGAAAAGGTGGACAAGGGGTGAGGGGGTAGTAGTTAAAGGAGATGTTTTCTTTGCTCTGTTACTGACCTGGGCATCCTTTTTGGCCAGCTGCTCATCCACTTTCAGACTTTCATCTCTTCTGCCCTAAACAAAGAAGATAAGAGCAAGGGCAACCCTTGTAAAGACAGAAGATTCTAATGCGTGGTATTCCCACCGGCAGGGTGTCTGAGAGGTTCACAGAGGACTTGGGTTCCTGGGGCTCTAGTTGTTGCTCTGTCACTGACTGGCTACGAAATCTGTAGCAACATCACACAATTTTCTGAGCTGTAGTTTCCTACTCTGAAAATTCAAAGATCACAAGGGAATGAAAAGACAAGCCACAGACTGGGAGAAAATATTGTTGGCAAACACATATCTGATATAGGACTTATATCCAAAATATATAAAGAATTCTTAACATTCAGCAATAATCTAACAAACAACCCAACTGGAAAATGGGCAAAAGGTCTGAGCACCCTCGGACATACAGACGGTAAAAAAGCACGTACAGGATGCTCAACATCAAACATCACTAGGGCGCTGAGAATTAAAACAATAAGGTACCACTTATTAGAATGGCTAAAATCCAAAACACTGATAACGCCATATTGCTGGCAAGGATTGCAGCAACAGGAACTCTCATTCATTGCTGGTGGGAATGCAAAATGGTACAGCCACACAGTTTGGCAGTTTCTTAACAAAATTAAACATACTCCTACTCCTTGGTGTTTACCCAAAGGCGTTGAAAATATATAATTACATAAAAACTTGCACATGAATGTTCACAGAAATTTCTACTCATCATCACCTAAACTTAAAGCAACCAAGATGCCTTTCAACAGGTGAGACATACTACTATAGTATACCCATAAAATGGAATAGTATTTGCGATAAAAAGGAAATGAGCTATGAAGTCAAGAAAAGACACTTAGCATGTTGCTAAGTGAAGGGGCCAGTCTGAAAAGACTACCCACTACAGTATAATTCCAACTATATGACAGTCTAGAAAAGGCAAAACCATAGAGACACTACAAAGTTCAGTTGTTGTGAGGGGTTTGGAGGGAGGAAGAGAGAGATGGCTAGTTGGAGCACAGAATATTTCTAGGGCAGGAAAACTATTCTGTATGATACTGTCCTGATGGATACGTGACATTACGCATTTGTCAAAGCTCACAGGCTGTATAACGCGAAGAGTAAACCCTATTGTACACTATGCACGTTAGTTAATAATAATAATGTATCAGTATTCATCCACTGTAACGAATGTACTACTTTAATGCAATACGTTAGTAATAGGGGAAATAGTGAGGGGATGGGAGGAGGGGCATATGGGACCCCTCTGTACTTTCTGCTCAAATTTTCTTTAAATCTAAAACTTCTCTAAAAAAAAAAAAAAAGTCTAATTAAATAACAACAATACAGTTCAAAGGTCCCCACCAGCTCTGGTTGCAGCCTCTGTGGCTAAGTGTGTGTTCCTGTGCAAGCACTTCAGCTCATAGAGGCAGGAGGTAGAGAGGGAAAGAGGATTGCCTGAATTACTCTGAAAATTATAGGTGCACGAAATATTGGCTATAATGTTTAAAAAGCATTTGTTCCCGTTTTCAAATAGACCCTTGTATGCCTGTCTGATTTTTTGCATGGCTTATTTGCTTCTTTTCAGTGCTGCTGATTCTCTACTGTTAGTCTGTTCACCTTGTTCTCTCTTTGTGCATTCTGCTCTAGTCATAAAAATGCTGATTATCATTGATTTAGTAATTATCAGCCACCACTACCATGTACTGATCACTTTCTATGTGCTAAGTACTTCATATCATCTATCTATCTATCTATCTATCTATCTATCTATCTATCTATCTATCTATCTATCTATCTTTGCACCACTATGACATTAGTACTGTTATTACTTTAATTTTACACATGTGAAAACAAAGGCTTTGAGGCTTAAGGTAATGTGTCCAGACACATAAAGCTAGTAGGCAACAGAGAAGCATACGATTCCAGGCCTGTTTGATTCTGAAACCCTGCCCGGAAGCCCTAATCTTTGCTGCCTCCTGTGAGTATGTGTGTGTGCCCTGTGCGTATACTTTTGAATATAAACCTCTGGGGTGTATGTTTGCAGCAATGCCCCATAAATTGGTGACCCTCATAAGGTTTCCACCATTTGAAATAACTGAAACAAAAATTAAGGGAACTTGTTTCTTAGTGGCATTTGCTTCACTTTGACAAGTGCTGCTTGAGACCACTGTTGGGGTTCTCTCACATGTTACAGGCTGCGTAAATCAGCTGAAAGAGGCCAGTGGGACAGGCTTATTTGCTCTCTTACACACACCTGGGATTACAGCTCATCCTTGACCCTGCCCACCTGTATTATAAAGTCACGAGCCTCCTAAAAAGAGACAGCAAAGTGTGGAGTCATTTAGTCACATGGTGATGAGTGATTTAGCAACTCTTCCAAAGGTATAAGGATGAAGTAGCTACAAGTTATTTTTTTTTAAATCCTGAGACTAATATACCCATCTCTGAAGACAATTTGTCTGTATTATGTTTCGTACTTAATTCAAATGCTAACAAAAGGAATATTTGTTCTTTGGAGTACAGATAAAAATAAGCATGTCTTAAAATGGAGATACTTAAAATAGAAATGGGCAATTATTTTTTTTAAATATATTTTATTGATTTTTTACAGAGAGGAAGGGAAAGAGATAGAGAGTTAGAAACATCGATGAGAGAGAAACATCGATTAGCTGCCTCTTGCACATCTCCCACCGGGGATGTAATGGGCAATTATTTTATGTCAGATGAATTATCAGAACATTTCTAATGTATTGTGAAACCTGATCTTAACACTTTTAATCCATATACTGACCATCAAAAGATTTTTTTGTTACATGATGACATTATACTTTTCGGATGGTGGTTAAACATACTGTTCCATGGCAATGCAAACACAAAGTGAGTGAATCATTTCATAAGGAAAATCACAAGTTCATTGTCTCTATTTGGTTAATTTTAAACCCCCTAATTATTATTGAGCATGCAGCTAATAGAGGAATTAAAAAATAAAAGATAAACCTACGTCTGCCAACGTCAACAGAGCTTTCCGGAAGTCACCAGATGTTTCAGAGCTGATGTCATCTCCAAGACTCTTCTTATACACTGAAACCACATAAGAATGGAATTAAGCCTTGACAAACTGGAAAATAGTATTATAAACCAGAGAAAAGTTTAAGTGTCCACGTTGTCCAGAAATGAGTACCTGATAAAATAAACCTTGCTTTTTTTTTTTTTTTTTTTTAATTTCCTGGTGTTCTTCTGAGATGGGTACCCTGTTGTAGCTATTACTATAGTACGTGTTGTGGTAGGTGCACAGGGACAGAAAGAATTGCCATTCTGGATCAAACCATGGTCCGCTTCATCTGACAATGGCACCAAGGAACACACGTACTACTACAGTGGGGAAGCTTGAGTGGGCTAGCTGCTAGTCAGCCTTCCAGTTTCTATTCTCTCTTTCTTCTGTAGCAATAGAACCCTCATCTTGAGCAAATCATAATGCCCGCAGCATAAAGACTACATTCTCAGCTTTCCTCTTAGTGTGTACAGCTCCATGACTAAGTTCTTGTCAGTGGAATGTAGGCAGACAAATGAGGCATTTCTGAGAAATCTCCGTAAGGGATGGCTCACGCCCATCTTAGTCCCTTCCTCCACCCTCATGCCTGGTCTGTAGATGCATATCTGAGCATACCTGGAGCTCAGGGAGCCATCCTGGCCTATGAAGATAAGGACTACATCTATATGATGGCAGAAACGTAAGCAGAAAGTGGCCTGGACTCCTGAAAGCTCTGAGGCGCTCTCATGCCAGTCCTAGAATTGCCTGTCTCCAGACCTCGTCTGCATGTGGGAGAAATACACTTAGACCATATCTGAGCCATTGTAATATTTGTTTTATGGGTGTACAGAGCTAGATTATATTATTTGATAGCTCTCAAAAGAAAGCTACCCTAAAAGACACGATTTTTCCATAACAAATGACAACTGCCTGTCCACCTGTTTCAGGGCTGACTAGCTGTAGCTCCTCCTGCATGGCCTGTGACTCAGTGTGCACTGAGTTTAAGGCCCTGCTCTGCTCCATCCATGCTCACTGATCCTCTCGGAGTAATATACCTGCGTGCAGCTGACACCAGGTGGCCGTTTGAACTCTGCCTGCATCACTTTTAAGGGCTCTATAAATTAGTCATATGAATGTGTGTCCTTTTAAATCAATAAAAGACAATTATAGAAAGTGATATGAGGTTATCTTGTAGCAAGAACTGTGTAGAGGTCGAAACTCTTCCAGCATGTTTTAGTCTGTTTTTATGAAATCTATATTTTTTCCAGAGCAATTCAAATAAGCAAAATTCACTATAAATTATCTAAGTAATAATAACATTAGGTAGGCACCCTTTTACCTAATAGTCATGGTATCATTATGTCTATTCTTCACTTTAATTAGAAAAAAATAATTATTTAAAAATATCAAGCCAAAGAATAAAGCTCTCACGTGTTAGAATTTGAGGAAGTATTTTACATTTTAGAATCTTCTAGATGAGGCCTTATAGTCATTTTATGTAGCCTCCCCACACCTCCCTTGACCCCAGATAGTTTTATGAAATACAATGCCTAGTTCCTTTATGAGGGCCAAGCAGACAGCCCCCTTTAATGGATTGCTCATGCCTGGGTCACCATTTCGCATGACACGGCACCACTGCTCTTGCTGCAGCTGGCTGCAGCAGGGTTGGCATCTGACTCCAGGTGGCCAGCAACCCAAGAGGTGACTGGGTGGGAGAGCGTTGTCCGAAATAATGCTCTCTACTAGCCAGTGCCTTCCTGAGCCCATTGACTGTGTTCCCTCAGGGAGTGAGCTGTACAGAAAAAGGAGACAGAGACAGCAGAGTAGCAAAAGAGTGAAAAGACTCCCAGAAATAAGGCACAAAACAGAGGCCAAGAATAACCAGAAACCAAGGGCAAATACAAGCTTTGAGTAGACAGACACTGCATGGCCAGGGGAGAGGAGTTACTGGGCAGTGTCAAAAACAGTAGAGGCAGAGAGGGAGGAGAAGGAGTGGCTGCAATGAGAACATCAGCGCGGGCGCAATGCATGCCTGATGCTGAGGGAGTGACAAGGTAGCCGAGTCCCTGGAGCAGGGCTGCTGTGTGCCGAGTCTCTGTAAAGCCTGGCTGTGCCTAACTGAGACTATTTCCTTTCTTTACGTTTTGTGTATCATTAATCCTACTCACCAGTGACCTACATGCAATTCCATTTCTTTTGGCCTTAGAGAGCTCAGCTCACCCAGATATCACGGCATCTGGTGACTCGGAACTAGTATCGCTTGCCATGTTTACAAAACAACAGCCCTAAATGCTAGATATGGCACTTGGTTCTTAAGATCCCAATCTGGATCTTGAGGATATTCATTCAATAAATATTTGAATTTGCCTTCTGCTGTTCTGAGCACGGGAGCCACAGCAGTGAACGAAACAGACAAAAAGCCCGCCTCCACAGAGCGTACATCCAGGGCTGTTTGCCCGTAAGTGCTGGGCTCCAGGGGGCCGCCCTGTGGCAGGTCACCTCACGGAGCAGTGACTTTTCTAAGAAACACCAGGAAGCAGCAGGACCTGGCTCTGATGATTTTTCATACGTAAATAAACTAATGGAACCAAATTATATGTTGAACTAATGGAACCAATTTTTTAAAACACTTACAATGTACCCACTGTGCCCATTTAGCAATTACCTCATCTACTCCAAACTTACCTTTCTGTACCCTGCTTTGTGGATCTGGGTTTGGGACTCTACAAATTACATTTCTCTTTTGTACCCACCCCGAACACCTGTTAGGTTCCACCAATTCGGGGGCGGAGGGGAGCACTGGAGGGAGACTGGAAGGCAGGAGGAGGAAAGAAGAACATGCTATTTGCTTGCTATTCAGGTCAATGGCAACCCCGTGAAGGGCTTTGTCCCTGAGAGCAGGAGCTATCCCGACTACTAGGACAAGTCGCTTAGCACCCCCCTGGGGGTCCAGCTCCGGCCAGATGGAACCTTTCACGGTGTCTGGACTCCAGCTCCTTAAGCCTCTCCTCCCAGCCCCTGAAGCATCAACACCTGCAAGACGGTGCCTCTCCTCCGAGCTTCTAGTATCTGAAAACCCCAACCTCTTTCCTCTGGCGTCCCAGCCCTGGGAGTTATACCTCTGTGCCACACCTCTGTGCCCTTTTTCACTTTTCAGTCCTCCCAAAGGTGTTCAAACAATTCTCTACATCAAATTCTCTCTGTTAAAATACCGACTGCTATTTCTGTTTTTCTCACTAGACTCTGATTAACACATCAGCAATGAAACAGTCACTGACCTATCACTGAGGTGTTTACCTTCTAATGGGAAGTTCTCAAAGTGGCCTCTCTAACCCCGACCAGGGGGACAGTACAGCCCTGATTGAGACCCCTCCCACTACAGAGGTTTCCTGACACACAAACTCAGAAACCATGGCTCCCTTGCGGTTCTTGGTGAGGTTTACAGAGGCTGTTGTATGATACAGAACTGGGCTGGTATTTGTCCCTGGTTCCTGGTAAGTCACCTCTAAGCCCTTGGAAATTACTAAATAATAGAAATGTCTTTGTTATTCCTGGCAGGTCCCATGAACCACACCTGAGTATTTGCTGACAAGATGACTCAGGATCCGAGTGATCAGGGGCTGGCCACACCAGAAAGATTCGAGGATTTAGGTTCTGAGCCACATGAGATCGGCCTGACCTCTTGGGGGAGGAGCACTGGAGATGAGTTTAATCATGTGGCCAGTGGTCCAATCGATCATGCCCATGTAATGAAACCCCAATAAAGACCGTGGAATCCAAGCCCGACTGAGCTTCCCTGGTTGGTAATTATACATCGATGTGCTGGGAGGGTCGTGCATCCTGAGGACACGGAAGCTGTGCATTCGGGACCCTCTCAGGCCTCTCCCTACACATCTCTTCATTTGACCAGTACTGACTTGTATTCTTTATAGTAAAGCTCTAATTGTGCGCAGAGCACTTTCTTGAATTCTATCAGTCATTCTAGTGAGCTACTACACCCGAGGGAAGAGTGAGAACCCCTCAATTTGTAGCCATTTGATTAGAATTGCATGTGGCCTGGGAACACCTGCATGGGTGGCTCATTTCTGAAGTTAGGGTAGCTTGCTTGGGCCTGTGCTCTAACTTGTGAAGTCACGCTAACCCTGGGTAGTCAGTGTCAGAATTGCAGAGCATGGACTTGTTAATTTTTATATAGCTGACAGGCTATTAGGACTTCAGCTAATTGCTGGACACATTCTCTAAATGGTTCATCTAATTTCCCACCAAAAGTCATGAAGCTGATCTAAGTGGCTTTTAACATATAATGTTAACGTACAATGATTTGAGTCTCTTACACTGATGAAATTAGTTGATTCAATTAAGCGGTGACCACTGAGAGCAAAAGGCAAAGTATTAATGCCATCATTATGGAGCAGTTTCTAGCTCAATCATATTCATTTTTTCTCTGAAAATCCCACAGACATTAGCCCATTTTATAATGGAGCCTCTTTTTGAAGTCTTGCCTTCTCAAAAGCCTTGTGAAGAAGAGATTGGTGGGTTTCTGGGAAAGGCAAACACTGGCTCATATACATGTGGATGGTGGTAAAAGTAAGCAGAGAAGATGACCTGTGTAGTAGGCTTGAGAGATCTCCTTCATCTGCCTGCTTGTCCTGGTGGTTAAGATTTCAATCAATGCATCTTCATCTGTCCCAGCGCCCTAAAAAGGGAATCTGTTTTTAGAGCACTTAAAAAACTTAAATTCATGCATTCCAGTCTTAATATCTTGTTTTATATGAATGAAAAGAAGATAAATCAATGTAAGGGTCTTTATGGATCTAAAGCAGTTTTCTAATATTCCATATGTTAGTCTTAAATAATATGAATCATGTGGAGTTAACTGACATCAAATTTCCCCCAAAATTTCATACTCTAGTTAAAAATCAATTGAATAATTCTAGGAAGAAATTGTAGAAAGGGAAAAGCCTACGTCATTCGAGATCAGAAGTGAGCATTCAAACACACCATTATATTTAGGAAGGGCTCTGCAATTCTTTTGAATGAGTTCATCCCTACACTAATGTACTAGGTTGGTCAGCATGCATCACCCTCTTCATTCAGGGAGATTTTATTTATTTATTTATTATTTTTAAAAAATATATTTTATTGATTTTCTACAGAGAGGAAGGGAGAGGGATAGAGAGTTAGAAACATTGATCAGCTGCCTCCTGCACACCTGCTACTGGAGATGTGCCCACAACCAAGGTACATGCCCTTGACCAGAATCGAACCTGGGACCTTTCAGGCCGACGCTCTATCCACTGAGCCAAACCGGTCAGGGCGATTCAGGGAGATTTTAAAGCCTCAATAATGTATAATGGGCCCACGTGGTTTAGGGATTAGTTACTCCTGAGCCTTGGTCTATACTGAATCACACTGTGACTCAAAAGAAGCCACTTACACTAGGACTTGATAAAATAAGACCAATGGCCTGGTTGGTGTGGCTCCCTGGTTGAATGTCAACTTATGAACCAGGAGGTCACAGTTTGATTCCTATTAAGGGCACATGCCCAGGTTGCGTAGGGAGAGGGGCAGCCAATCAATGATTCTCTCTCATCATTGATGTTTCTATCTATCTCTCCCTCTCCTTTCCTCTCTGAAATCAATAAAAATATTTTTTTAAAAAAAAACACCAATGCAGCATATGAACAGAGGCTGAATTCTTGTCCCTCCATGGCAGATTCCTACTTGCCCCCATATCTTGCCTTTAAAAATTATTAATTTAAAAATTTTAAATACACAAATTTTTAGAGTATTTTTAGGTTCACAACAAAATTGAGTGGACCCAGTATATCTTTTATCTTCCATGCTTAGTAATAGAATGCCTAATTTTTTTACTTAGCACATAACTACCCAAGTAAATACATACTATGTGTCTCAGCTTCCCTTAGAGCTAGGTTTATCCATCTAACTAAACTCTCATTAACGGAATATATGTGAAGTTCCCTGTACATTTTCTGATAGTCCCCAAGGATCCAGGATGAACCTTTCTTTGTCCCTTACCCTTGTTTAGCTTGGATGAAGACATATGGCTGGACTGAAACTAGATCTTTGTTGAACTGGGATGGTCAGGAGAGGGTGTGATGGTTTTACATTTTAACTTGGCCAGGCTACATTCCTCAGTTATTTAACCAAACACTAATTAGGTTTGCTGTAAAGGTTTTTTGTAGATATAACTGAAGTCCATTATCAGTTGACTTTAAGGAAGATTATCTTAGATATTTTATGTGGGACTAATTTAGTCGGTTAAAAGGGTGTATGAGCAGACCTGAGGCTTCTCTGAAGAAAAAATTCTACCTGTGGGCAGCAGCTTGAGGTGGTGCTAAGAGTTCAAGCCTGCCCTTCAGATTTTAGATTTGCCTAACTAGCTCCATAACCATGTAACCAAGTCTTGCAATACATCTCTTAATATATATCTCCTGCCTACTGGTTCTGCCTCTCTGGGGAACCCTGACTGACAACAGATAGAATTTTAAAAAGACACAGAGATAGATAGGAGCCAGACTGTGCTGGAGGATGACAGTCATAGAAAGGAGTTTAAATTTTAAGTATTCAAATTCATTGGCAATTTATGCAGCTGAATAATATAATCGATTCTAGAAATAACTTTATAAAAGTAATTTTGGCTATTCTGTGTGAATAAACTTGAGATGTGTAAAAATGGAGGCAAAGGGACCAATTAGGAGGTCATTGGTATGGTCCAATCAAAAGATGATGGTGGTGAACTAGAATATTAGCAATGGATTTTGAGAAATATGCTCTCATTTTTTATAAATCTTGGAGTAGATCTAATAGGCCCCCAGGTAGATTTGGGAGCTCTGAAGGATGAGGGAAAGCAAGCGATCAAAGATAATACTAGGTCTTTGGCCTAACCAGTGGGGTTGATGATGGTGCCATTCATTTTGAATGGCAATAAAATAGAGAATTTGAGTCTTCAGGTCAAAAACAAATAAATTAGAATGACAATATCCTTTCAGCCCAGGATCACCTGGGTTCAAGGTTCTACAACTGCTTCCCACTTCAGGGTTGTTCTACTAATTGGAGAGGACAGATACAAAATGACACCCAAATCTATCAGATTTACACCCATATCTCAAGTGTGCATGGGAAGAAAGTCACCATTTTTGATGACATAGTCAAATCCTGGGCAGAAATGACCCGTGTAGGGCTCATACCTTCATGGATTTCTTCAGCTGCTTCGCATCAAACACTGCCGGAGGAGTCACGAGGGCCACCATGAGATGCTCAAAGTGGCCAGAGAGATCACTCTTCAGGTCATCTTTCAGTTTCTAAAAAAAAAAAAAATGGTAAGTGTGACATACTCTTCCTTTTTCTTTCTCTAAGTCACCTAGTGAAAGATGAACATATGTAACAATATAGATGAAAACACGAATGTTCTAAAACGCTCTCTAACCTCATCTCTTCCTTCTGCTTCCTCTTACACCCATACCTTTGACTTTCCATATTGCTGCCATATTGGAACTTTTTCTGTTCCTTAAATGTCCCCACCTGGACTTGCCTCAGGGTTTTTGCATTTGTATCTTCTGTCTGAAATGCTCTTCTCTCCACATCAAGTGGAGCAAAAGCCTTGGCATTTAGTCTTAGTTGAGAGTAAGGTAACAAGCCCCCTCACTGCTATCTCTTCACCACCCGATCTAAAGGAACCATTCACCAGTCATTCTCTACCAATCATCCTATTTTAAGTCTTTCATAGCACCTTCCAATATCTGAATTTATTTTATTTACTTATTTATTATTTTTCTAATTGAATAGTAGTTCTATGAAAGAAGAGAGGATCTGCTTCTTATACCAGTGAATCTCCAATGTCTAGGATATCTTCTGACTCAGCGAAGTACCACAGTTCTGACACAGAGTAGTTTATTATTGAACAAATAAAGCATGTGAAGAAAAAGACACACAAATGTTCTTGTATAGTTCTTAATACAGTTTCTTATACGTAGTAAATTTTCATTTGCTGAATGAATTAAATCTGTAATTACATACACGTTACAGTTAAAAGAGAAATTAAAGCTCATCTTAAACAGGATTTATCAGATAATTGGTCAGATAATTCTTTGTTGGGGGAGGGGGCCTTGCTTGTGCATTGTAGGATGTTTAGCAGCATCCCTGACTTGTACCCACCAGGTGCCAGAAACATCCCTCTCTCCCACACCAGTTGTGATAACCAAAGTGTCTGGAGACATTGCCAAATATTCCCTGGAGAGTAAAATCATTACTGGTATGGAGCCAACCATCTAAGGCAACTTGCTTATTCAACAGGTAAAGAAATTAAGGCCCAGAAAGATCAAAAAACATGCCCAAGGCTATTCAGCCAGTTAAGGGCAAAACCAGGACTCAAAATCCAGGTTGTTAACTAGAAACTGGGTACTTTCTGTTATACTTGGCTTCAAACAAAAGATCTGTGGGCATAATCCATGGGAACATCCCTGGTCCATTAGTGACTAGCTCTTTACTGCCCATGTTAATCAATTGTACCTTTTCATATGCTGCTTGATATTCCTTAACAATCAGCTGCCGCTGTGCATTCGACCTCTCAGTCAGAATGCTGATAAGCGTTTTCTCATCAGTTCCTAAATGAAATGAAAATAATGTTACTTACTACCAATCCAAAGATGCTTAGTACTTGTCATGAACAAAAGAAAATGATTGATAGTCTGAAACAAATGCAGACAGGAAGGCATTTTAATTTTTATTATTATTTGTTTTAGAATATTTTGTTGTTGTTGTTAATCCTCACCAAAGGATATTTTTTCCCTTTTTTTTTTTTTTGAGAGAGAGAGAGAGTGGAAGGGAGTGAAGAGACAGAGAGAGAAGCATCAATGTGAGAGAGACACATCCATTGGTTGCCTCCCGCACACGCCTTAACCAGGGCAAGGGTCGAACTTGCAACCCAGATACATGCCCTTGACTGGAGTCAAACCTAATACCCTTCAGTCCACAAGCTAATGCTCTAACCACTGAGAAAAACCGTGTACGCTAGAAGATGTTTTTATTGATTTTAGAGAGAGACAGCTGCCTTTTGCATGCCCCCTACTGGGGATAGAGCCTGAAACTCTAACCCTAACTAACCCTAAACCCAGCCACGTGCCCTGACTGGGAATTGAACTGGTAAACTCTTGGTGCATGGGATGACACTCAACCAAATGAACCACACCAGTAAGGGTGGCATTTTAATTTTTAATTTCCAGGTTGAAATCTGTATTTCTTTGTTTGCCTGACTTTTTGAAAAGGAAATTAACTTTATTTGTATAGTTTTTGGGGAAGAAAACAATCACTGCCTAAATATTTCTCTGACAGAGGGAGCAGCACAGGAACATACTGCTTTTGGACCAGGTGTTTTTTCCGTATGAGGTTCAGTTACTATCCTGTATCTTTTCTCTTTCTTATCTCCATACTTGACATCAAAATCTCCTTTCCTCTAAAAAAAGAAACTGACATTTATTGAGAACCCACCATGTACTAGACACCTTTTACTAGTAATTACTGTCATATTTAATATTCACAGGGGCCCTGGGAATAGGTATGATTAAACTGTCCTAAAGATGAAGATACTAGATCTGAACCAAGATGGCGGCATAGGTTAACGCCGGAGTTTGCTGCTTTGAACAACTACTTCAAAAGTGAAACCAAAAAACGGAAGGGACATCACCCAGAACCACAGGAACACTGGCTGAGTGGAAGTCCTACAACTAGGAGGAAAGAGAAACGCATACGGACACTCAGAGGAGGCGCAGTGCTGAAGTCAAATTCTGAGGTGCGGAGTGCGCGGAGCGGGCTGGCGGCGGAGGGCGCGGTTGGCGTTTTCAATCGGGAGGGAGTCGCAGACTCTGAGCTCCAGATCTGGGCGAGTCTTTAGGGACCCAGACTCAAACGGGAGAAGCGGGACTGTCTGGCTTCGGTCAGAGCGAGTGCAGCTTTCTCTCTGAGCTTTGCAGCGGGTGCTGGGACTCAGAGAGGCAGAGCCCCTGGGGACAGGACTGAGAGCCACCATAACTGCTCTCTCCGGCCCACCCTGTTGATCCTGTGCGACCCGCCCCGCCCAAGCCCTGCACACAGGCATTTGCCGGATAGCCTCAGGCAAACGCCAGATTAGCACCTCCCTAGAGGACAGAAGTTCTCTCACTGCTGACACAGCTGATTCTCATAGCCACTTGGCCTGGAGGTCAAACCCTCCCTGGAATTAGCTACAACAATCAAGATTTAACTATAAGACTGCGAACAAAGACCACTAGGGGGTGCACCAAGGAAGCATAACAAAATGCGGAGACAAAGAAACAGGACAAAATTGTCAATGGAAGATATAGAGTTCAGAACCACACTTTTAAGGTCTCTCAAGAACTGTTTAGAAGCTGCCGATAAACTTAATGAGATCTACAAGAAAACTAATAAGACCCTCGATCTTATATTGGGGAACCAACTAGAAATTAAGCATACACGGACTGAAATAACGAATATTATACAGACTCCCGACAGCAGACCAGAGGAGCGCAAGAATCAAGTCAATGATTTGAAATGCGAGGAAGCAAAAAACACCCAACCGGAAAAGCAAAATGAAAAAAGAATCCAAAAATTCGAGGTTAGTGTAAGGAGCCTCTGGGACAGCTTCAAGCGTACCAACATCAGAATTATAGGGGTGCCAGAAGATGAGAGAGAGCAAGATATTGAAAACCTATTTGAAGAAATAATGACAGAAAACTTCCCCCACCTGGTGAAAGAAATGGACTTACAGGTCCAAGAAGCGCGGAGAACCCCAAACAAAAGGAATCCAAAGAGGACCACACCAAGACACATCATCATTAAAATGCCAAGAGCAAAAGATAAAGAGAGAATCTTAAAAACAGCAAGAGAAAGAAAGTCAGTTACCTACAAGGGAGTACCCATACGACTGTCAGCTGATTTCTCAACAGAAACTTTGCAGGCCAGAAGGGAGTGGCAAGAAATATTCAAAGTGATGAATACCAAGAACCTACAACCAAGATTACTTTATCCAGCAAAGCTATCATTCAGAATTGAAGGTCAGATAAAGAGCTTCACAGATAAGGAAAAGCTAAAGGAGTTCATCACCACCAAACCAGGATTATATGAAATGCTGAAAGGTATCCTTTAAGAAGAGGAAGAGGAAGAAAAAGGTAAAGATACAAATTATGAACAACAAATATGCATCTATCAACAAGTGAATCTAAGAATCAAGTGAATAAATAATCTGATGAACAGAATGAACTGTTGATTATAATAGAATCAGGGACATAGAAAGGGAATGGACTGACTATTCCTGGGGGGGAAAGGGGTGTGGGAGATGCGGGAAGAGACTGGACAAAAATCGTGCACCTATGGATGAGGACAGTGGGTGGGGAGTGAGGGCGGAGGGTGGGGCGGGAACTGGGAGGAGGGGAGTTATGGGGGGAAAAAAAAGAGGAACAAATGTAATAATCTGAACAATAAAGATTTAATTAAAAAAAAAAAAAGATGAAGATACTAACACTTAGAAAACTTACCTCACTTGCCAGAGTCATGCAGCTTTTAAGTGGTGAACAGGAATTTGAACCCAAATTTCTCACTCCAAAACATATATCTCTCCTGGTCCATACCTCTCTCAGGCATTCCACACCTATTTACTTAACCACCCGAGTGAAGAATAACATCTGGCCAGGGCTGATGCTGGCCTGCCCAAGAAAGACCTCATGATCACTAGTTTCTTAACCATTATAGTATTAAGATAATATAAGTCATGTTAGCCTCCTTAGCAGTAGAGGAATACACCTCGGTTGAGGAGCTATGAGTTGGCCTGCATTCATTGGGTCTGCATGACTAGAATGGTATAAAAGAATTATTGGAATGCTAGACTCAACTTCTCTGTGTTAAAATGACCCACACACAACTTGGGTATACACAATCTTGACAATCAATGGTACACACTCTACATCACTGATGGGATAAAAGGAATTGTACTTGGTTAGCTACTAAGTCTCCCATTGAAAGATGCTGCCCCACTGTATCTGTGGTCTTGTAGTTTTCTATACAGTTAAGACAACACAGACTTAGAGTCAAGCCTAGTTGTGTCCTGTGAGCCTGACTATTAACTTGGACCTGTAATGGCTTCTGTGTTGGTGCATGACTAGACACTTCCAAATGCGTAAGTATCAGCATGCCCCACATTGAATTCATTCTACTTCCTTTCTAACTTTTTTTTCATTCTGTTCCCTCATCAATGACACACTATGATGTAGTCATCCAATCAAAAATCCTGGGAGTCATTCTATACTCTTTTCTCCTCCTTCCTCCCTACATTGTAGCAATCCTCTGCATCTCTTGAATTTGTCCTCTCCTCTATCACTGTAGGCTCATCATATATTACCCAGAAACTTCAACAGCCTCCTAATTTGACCTCCTTATAATTCATACTGTATGTTACTGCCTAAACATGCATCTGATCATATTAATCTCTTGCTTGAAATCATAATGCTCTCTGCAACCTTCAGGATGAAGGTTACACTCCTTTATTTAGGTCATTAGGATCTAGCTCAGATGCTTTACGAAGCCTGCTTTTGAATATGACTATACAGAATGATCATAGTTACTGCCAGAGGGAACTGATTTAATGTCGTGAGAGGCTGACACACACCATGGATCTGTTTCCTGTGAGAGAATTCTGATTTCTCCAGGGAGCAACAATCTTGATCATTGGTGCAGCGGAAACCTGGATCCAAATCTCTGACTAGAAAACATGTATATCCCTCTCTCAACCATTTCAGACCCATAAACTTGCAATAAAATTTACTATAACCAATGTTAGAAGAAAGCCACAAACCGGAAGAAGATATTTTCATGGCCTGTAATTTTTTAAAAAGTTTAATATCCAGAATTTATAACCTGCCAATCATGAAGAAGACAATCCAACTAAAAAATGGATAAAAGATATGAAGAAGTCAATCATGGAAGAAGAAGCAAATAATCCAGAAATGATTATTTGGTCATGGGAATGTGGAGAAGAGAGGAAACAAACACACATTCAGAATGAGATGCAATTTTAAATTCTTTTACTTTTTAATGAGAGAGAGAGAGAGAGAGAGAGAGAGAGAGAAACATAGATTTGTTGTTCCATTTATTTATGCATTAATTAGTTGATTCTTGTATGTGCCCTGACTGGAGATAGAACCCAGAATCTTGGCATGTCGGGATGATGCTTAACCAACTGAGCTACTCAGCCAGGGCCAAATGAGGTATCATTTTAGTCTCACTCAATTGGAAATATGGAACAGTATGACCTTAGCAAGTACTGATAAGAATATGGAGCAAGAGGAAATCTCATGTATTCCTGCTAGGAATGCTATTTTGTATAATCATTTCAGTGAGCAGTTTGGCAATAATTTTAATTTGAAGATAAACACCTTCAACTTAGAAATTCAATTGTTTTATTCTAGAGAAATGTTAGCAACTGTGCACATGAGACATAAGCAGGAATATTTAATGTGATATTTTTATATTGTAATAGAAAAGAATTATAGGCAACTTTAATATTCCATTAATATTCCCATCTTACAATATAGTAATCTAATAGACTGCTATGCAGTTAAAATTAATGAACTAGAGCTAAACATATCAACATGGATAAATCTCAAAAACATAATGTTAAGGGGTAAAAAGTTACAGAAGAATTTATGCAGTATGATTTCAATTTATACTGTTTGAGACCACGCAAAACAATATGATGTACATACATATGTAGTTACAAAATTACAACTTTCATGGGAATGAACTCTAATTTAAGATAGTGTTTATCTCTAGGGAATGAGATGGGAATGAGGATTGGCAAGGGCTGTATTTGTAATAATTTATAATGATGATGATAATTACTATTGCTGGTAGCAGTGATGGTAAATAAATAGGGCAAATTTTAAGATTTAATAAAACTGGGTTCCCTATACTTTTCCTAATTATTTCACAATTGTAAGTATCTTACAATTTCTCTGAGTAAGCCAACTTGGGCAAACTGAACCATTTCACTTTTGGACTGTAAAATATAATCTAATTTGCTTCAACATGAAGAGAGGAATTATAAAGCACCACTCACCAATTCCTCGGATTGCCTTTCGAATCGCTTCAGCATCCACTGATGGGCTAAAGCCTGGATAATCACGCACTGTCCCACGGTGTCCCACCTAGAAGGAAATATTTGAAAGTCCCACCAATTCAAAATGACACTTTTGTTTATATTACATATGCATTTTCCCATCCACTATTGTAAAAATAACAAACCCAGAATTTGCACACCTTCCTCTCCCTTCAGGAATGATAGCTGGGCTATCCAATATGATAGCTGCCACATGGATTATGAGGCCTCTCCTTTTCCCCTCTTGTGTAACAAATTAGAAATATAAATAGTATTAACCCTGGAACTCTGAATAATATTTATTTTAAAGTGGCATCCGCATCACAGCAAAGAAAAAGTGGAAATTTCCTACATCCTCTTGGATAATTCAAAGCTTTCCACTGCATCTCACACAGAAGTAATTGAGGTTTGCAGACTTCAATTGTTTTAATTAATATTGACCATTGTCTGGGGAACGCTGCACTAAAGGATCCATAAATGAAAACCCCATTAGGACTGCCTGTTGGTAAGCTTTGTTTAATGGATGTGAAACCATGGCTGATAAATTCTCTTCAGAAAGTTCCACTGACATAGATCTTCAGGAATAGCATGGAAATGAAAACTGCCATGATACCAATTTTAAACACAAATTAGAACCATGTCAGTAAGCTGGGAAAGGCCATCCTGTAGAAAGAATAAAATACCTTAAAACTGTTCAAGAGATGGTAGAAGAGCCACTAAGACATTGAGAAAAATCCAGGTGAACATGCACTTATATGGTATTTTCTAACTTTTTGAATAAAAACCTATCTTTACAGTAATAATGTTTTCTCCTAAACTGATTTTCCTATCCCGTTAATGAATAATAGTAGCTCTGTTACTCTGTGTTACTATGTCATTATCTAGGCTCTCCTGAAGTGTTTAATATTTAATGAAAAGACATTATCTTGTCACATTAAAGTGATGGAAAAATTAATGTTCTGGCACAGTAAAAATTGATAGTAACTTAATATATTAGATTGAATAATTTGTTTCAATACAATCAAATACCACTTAACCTTACAGTATCCAAAATAAAGAGTTTTGATTCTAAAAAAGTAATTCTAACGAATCAGAAACTAGATGTGAATGTGCCTGATCTAAAGGCACTGTAAGAAGCCAGTCATGTCAACATAATCATGGGAGAATTCTCTTTTTCTGGGGCTTAAATATATTATGGATTCCCAGAGCCAAATGGCTTCATTTCAATTCTATCCTCCTATGAACTTTGTATTTATCTATGTGCCCACCTTCCATGTGTGGCATTTTACAAGAACCACCACCATATTGCAGCATTTGGGTGCCTCATGCCCAGCACTGTACAAGGCACTTTATATACATTAACTATAACCGGCATCACAGTCCTGATGAATGCGTAAAAGTGACGCATTTCACATACAAGACACCAGAATTTAAGAAGGTGGAGAATTTGCTCAAATCCACACAACTAGTTTAAGCAGCAGCACCTGAATTTGAATGCGGTCATGACCATTACAGCCCATTCCTAGCCTTTCTTGAAATCTGGCCTCTGAATCACGTGGAGTGATTCTTTAAAATGCATCCAACCAGGCCCTGTCATAGACACACTGAATCCTATTCCTTAGAAATGAGGTGTTAAGGTAGACATTACACATTCAAGAAGCTCCTCAGGCGATTCTGTGACATGCAGATAAACACGGTTGTTTCTGAATACAAAAACACAAAATAGGAGTCCGATTTTAATTATTTCATGAATTATGAAAACTCAGGGTTTCCAGTCTAGCCGTGACCTTTCCACTGCCCTGTACCACCTACGCATCAAAGCATTCTGAAATTCCAATGTGCAAAATTAGAGAAGAGAGAAATTCCCAATCTGTTATGCAACTTGATACTCAGTAAGAATTAAGTGGGAAGGAACCACTCATTTAAGTAAAAGAAAAAACAAAACAAAAACCCAAACAACACCACACACATACTCCAGACTGAGAAAAATGCCACAGGCATTCTGAAGTAGAATCTTAGTGATTTCAAACTGCTTCAGTTATTTAAATAGCAGACTTGTTTATCTGATGGACTTGGTTGCCCAGAACATTCAGAAATATTTACATGAATTATGAAAAAAATCTCACAGTAAAAGAACTAGAATCCTTTAAACTAATACATGCTAGGCAGTGAACAAAGTGATTTATGGACAACTTATTTAACTCTTACAATGGTCTTAACAAGGGGATTTTATTATTTCCATTTTAAAATGGAAGACATTCAATCTGCTACTAAGGACAGCCCTCCGAATTTGAACCCACCTCCTTGTGCTCCACACCACATCACGGTGCCTCACAGGAGTCTACAGAGCGGTTCTCAGAGTGTGGTTCCTGGATCAGTAAGTAGCCGGGAACTTAATAGCAATGCAAATTATCAGGCCCACTGCCCCATCCCAGTCTTAGAAATGAACAGTACTGGGGCTAAAACTCAGGATTTGTGTTTTCTGTTGTTTACAAAGCCCTACAGAGGATTCTAATAGATTCTATAGTTTAAAAACCACTGCTCTATTTAGTCTTGGCTACCCAGGAAACCAAAGCAAAAGTGAGCAAACAAGTTCCAGATTTTTTTATGGTGTGGAAGACTTTGATGATGAGCTCATTGTTTCAGGAATGTTGGTGACTTTGCAGCCAAACAAAACTATTTGCCTTGCCTGCTTCATTGCAGGCTTAATTGCCTGACATTTAAATTACTAACCAATATCTGACTTAGTTTATTTCCACTAATTCTACTACCCAAACAAAGTGTCAGTGCTCTAGTAGGACATTGCATGAAAACTTGTGAAAGTCTTTCTTTTTTAAAAAAAGAAACCTCATGTTTAATCAGATTTCCATCCACATCCTTTAAACATAGTTGCTTTCCTTTTCTCACACTTGACCTTCAGATGCCCCAAAAGGAAAAACGAACCTGAAACCAGTTGGAAAAGAAAGTAAAGCAGCAATGTGTAAATAAAGGGGGGTAACCAGAGCTCTTTACATCAGTAAGAATTGCTACTACCTACTATGAGCCAAGTACTGTGCTAACCATGTGTCCAGCATGAGCTCCATTCAATCCTCACAACAAACTTATAAGGCAGATATAATAACGTCTCTTCACAGAGGAGAATGAAACTGATGCTTAAGTAACTTGCCCAAGTTCACAGCCAGCAAGTGATCGGTCTCTTTAACCTATGCTGCTAATTACTGGGCTGGGCTGCATCTTATTTGAACCATCTTCTTCATGTCAATATAATTTTCCCTGATCTTCTAAAACTGTCCTTTGGAGGTCAGACAAGAGGCGTTGAAGCCATTGATGTGGCCAAGCTGGGCCTGGGGATTTGTCTGTTACAACCCCTAGGAGAGGCCAGTCTGTTCTTGTCTCATGAAAGGCAATCGGGCCTGTTTCTTCATGCAAAGTGCACTGGGTTTGCAAGAAGTTAGATGTTAGCATTTAGAAGAATGAGTGAAAGTGAAAATCACAAGGTGCCCATTCTGTTGACAAGAAACATGTCTACAGCCAAATGCTCCAGAGCAAGAAGAGCGGTTGCTGCAGGTACGTTTCGAAGGGGAGGCGCAGCCGAGTCACTCCTCTCTTCATAGAGCCTGCACAGGTCATACCCAAAAGCTAAGCTTTAAACCAATGCCTCACGGAAAACTCCAGGACTCAGGAACGCTCGAGGAGCCAGGGAGGAATGATCATTCTCTGCTCAGTGTCAAAACAGTCTGACACGGAGGTTTATGATGAAAGGAAAAATGGAGTAGACTAAAAGAACAATCACAACTTGGATTCTGATCAGAAAATGTAAGCCTTCTCTTTCGATTTTTCAAGTAAAAGGTGATTTTTAAAACCAAAGAAAGTTATGAGAGGCCCTGAAATGAAACATGGGCACGTGGGGCAGGTGTTATGGACTGCATTGTGTGCCTCCCTAAAAGATACTGTTGAAGGCCTGACAGTACTCAGAATGTGGGCCTATCTGGATATCAGGTCATTGCTGATGTGATTAGTTAAGATGAGGTTCTACTGGAGTAGGGTGTGCCCCTAATCTAATATAAGGCGTCCTTAGAAGATAGCCATGTGAAGACAGATAGAGACAGGGAGAATGTGATGTGATGATGAGGGAATGAAGGCATAGACTGGATTTGTACCAGGAACACCAAGATTGCCTGCAAACCAGAAGCCAGGAAGAGTCGATGAAGGACTCCCCTACAGGTTTCAGAGGGAGCATGGCTCTACCAACATCATGATTTCAGACTTTTAGCCTCCAGAACTTGAGACAATACATTAAAACCCATCCCATTTGTGGCACTTTGTTATGAAAGCCCCAAGAAACGAATACAGCAGGTCAGAGGTCAGAGAAAAGGAGTGGTAACCAGAAGGTCCTGAAGGGCAAAACCAGGGGCCTTATCTTCAAACAGGCTGGCAGGGGCCACAGCTAACAGGGCTCCCCATCGCCACCCACTGCAGGCACGCTCTCCTCCCAAAGCCGCAAAGCAGAGACTGGGAAGCAGAGACTGGCAGCCTCAGGAATGCCTGAGAGAAGCGAGGCTGACACCACAGCTTCGTTATGTTGGCAATGTGTCCAAGAGGCCTGAGGAGATGTTTGCATTTCACCTTGCGCTCACTCAACGGGGAAAATATCCACACCTGCCCACTCTCCTTTTCTGATTTCACCAGAGCAGGAGAGTTGGAAGGGAACAACAGAGGCGAGTGCTGGGCTGGAGCAGATAGATACCTGTGACTGGGTTAGGAAGACAGGGACAAACAAGCAACTGGTGGTGTGTTCTCCATGAAGCCCAGATTATAATAAGAACACCCAGCCCCTCTGAGGCATGTGTCACTCATGCTTAACCAGCTGGACCTCTGTCTTTCTTTGGTGCCTGGGCCTCTTTCCGAGGGTTTTCTACCACCCCAGCTTCCATTTATTGTCCCCTTTGCCTGACCTTTATAAAATCGGTTCTTCTAAAATGAAAAGTCTCTTTCTCTTTTCTTTCCCTCTTATCCTGCTATGGGTTATTTCCACCCCTATCCCTTCTGTCTGGACGTCCCCCACATTTATATCTCCACTCCAGACTTCTGTTTTGAACACATACCTGAGCAGAAAAGAACACCCCCATCACTCTCATAATCTACCTCTGCTTTTCTCCAGAGTGCTTAAAACGGACTTTATATATTACACATTTACCTCTTTGTTTATTATTTGTCTTCCATAATAAAATCAGGGGCATGCAAGCTCTATGCTTTTAAAATTTTATTTCTCTTTCTCTACTGTATCCCCAGAGCCTAAAACAGCAGCTGGCACATAGAAGATGTTTAATGGATATCTGTTAAATGAATAGTGAATAAAAGTGCTTTCTTACTCTGGATCTTGCTTTCTTTGATAATTCTCAAATGCTATACAGACTTTTCAAAGCTGCACGTGGCATGTCAAACATCTAACAAATGCATCCTCTGCCTTTTCTCAGTCCTGTCACCACTCACAGGTCAACATGCCCCCAGAACCTACGGGAGGTATTTCATTAAACCAGTGATGGCGAACCTATGACATGCGTGTCAGAGGTGACACGCAAACTCATTTTTTTGGTTGATTTTTCTTTGTTAAATGGCAATTAAATATATAAAATAAATATCAAAAATATAAGTCTTTGTTTTACTATGGTTGCAAATATCAAAAAAATTTCTATATGTGACACGGCACCAGAGTTAAGTTAGGGTTTTTCAAAATGCTGACATGCCGAGCTCAAAAGGTTCGCCATCACTGCATTAAACACAGAGAGTTGAAAATGAAAGGAGCAAAGATATGATAAGAGAGGAAGGAGCAGACTTTAAGAATTTTTGTTCTTTTTGTTGTTGGGTGCTCTTTGTATCCCCACCTATTGCTGGTGGAAGTGGGCTTCTTGGGGTGCCACAGGGAAAAGAATTTCCTGAAGACCCCAAGAGGGGATGAGGTATCATGGGAAGCTTTATTTCTGTGGAATTAAACCCCTGAGATTTCAAAGTCCCATCTCCCTCTGTCCCGCCATGGGAAAAGTCTCATCTTATCTTCAGCAGAGCTGGGATCAAAGCTACTGCCCAGAGCCTCCGCTCCACATTTTCGCAGTCCAGTCCAGCACCTGGCTAGCTTAGCTGGTGTTCCCAGCTGCAGTCTATTGTGTGTGGGGTCCGCATGGTTATGGAAGGAGCATGGATGAGTACAGGAAGCCACATGAGTACAGGGGGCCACATGGTTATGGAAGGAGCATGGATGAGTACAGGAAGCAGGAGCAAAACCAGAGGGACAAGAGCAAGAGAATTTCTTTGCCTGGGGATTATGTGTTCCCGCATTTTCATGGACTTGTGCTGGGGTCCACCTCCTAGCCAAGGATCTTTGTTGCCAGGTTAGACTGACAAGCAAGCACCTTCCCGACGTCACCCTGACTCCACTGCACATGCATCCATTTCTCCCTTTTTTGGATCCCTTTCCCCAGTGATTTGCAGGGAATGGACTGGTGGTTTCCTGGGGAGCGTGAAGGTGCAGCTTCCTGGTGAAGCTACCGTAATGATCATGCTTATGTCTGGCCTCCCCTTTGCTCCTTTCCTATTATTAATATTAACTAGCTAGTTATGATGGTAACATTGTAACTTATTCTTTTAATTCATATGAGACTTCTGTATTACTCTTATTGTTCAGGACTCTAAAATATTTTTCTAACTCCTTTGCATCTACCAATAAATAACTTTCAAGAGAATCAAATCATACCTTTTCCCCTTCATATTCCTTGCCCTCATTGTAAAACCTTTTCTTTTCCTCTTTGCCTCTGATTTACCAGGCTTCTTCAAAGGCTACTCATTAGATTGGCAAATTAATTATGATTAAACTAGAAGCCCGCTGCATAAATTCCAGACGGCCCACACCAATAGGGGCTTGGGACCAGGCAGCCAGAGGGGGTGGGGGGGGGCATGGGGAGGGGCCAATCAAGGGTGAGGTCAGCCAAGAGGAGGGGCCTCGGGAGGTTGGCTGGCCAGCCTGCCCCTGATCCAGCGGTTGGCCGGCCACAGTGGACGTCATAGCGACCCGAAGCTCCAGCATTCCGGTTGCTGGCTTTATATATATATATAGATATGAAAGACAGACCCTCCCACCTTGGTGGTTGAGCTTGGTTCAGAGAGTGGCAAAGAACAGTTCTTTAACGTTAATTCCATTCATTTCCAGGAAGCCTCTCTCCTCTCACTGAGCTTACATGGGATTCTCTCCAGGCTTTGTCCTGAAACAAAGCTCTCATGTTTTGATTCGAAATCCAGGTCTAACCTGTTTTTCATTAACTTCCTGCAGAGAGCCATTTGTGTAACTGTCTGAGTGCCAATATTTATCTAAAGAAGCTTCAGGGAACATGGTTTAAAACACACCAGACAGGAAGTCACGATTTTGTTGAAGAATACTTCATGAGTATATACCAGCGATTTTCAACCTTTTTTATTTCATGTCACACATAAACTAATTACTAAAATTCTGCAGCATACCAAAAAAAAATAATATAATCTGACAAAAATATAGGTATACATTTGTTTTATTCACACAAGACGGCAATTGTGTTGGCTGTTGTCATTTTTTTATGTGACATTTTTTATGTGAAAGAGGTCAGTGCCCTAGACTAAGTGGTCAGGCACTGCATGTTTTAAAAATTCTTGCCGCACACCAGAAAATCACTGATACACACTGCTCTGCTTGAGATGCAAAAAGTCTATTTCAATTAAAACAGAAAGTCGGGTGTTCCAGCCCTGAGATGTGGAGACAGGAAGGAGGCCAGAGGAGAAATGCAGTGCGTCCACATGGGTGTCACACAGGTGTTCTCCCCACACGTATTAAATCTGCATGGTCAGGAAGAGCAAATACACCAGGAAATTAAGGTCTAAAGGGATGTCCCCACCAAAGCAAGAAATGTGAAACTGGACAAGGCTCTCACAGGCTCCTTGTACCCAGGACCAACAGCAGCCAAATGCCCCGGGCTGGTGTCATCCATGGGTCAAAGTTTGAAAGGCATTACCTTCCCCCAATCCTCTCTCATATGAGGGCACTGCTTCTGTCCTGGGAGCCATATCACTGGTGTCATTCCTCCAGGTTACACAGCAGCTATGGGAACATGTGTCCTCAGGTGTCAAACGGTACAGATCTTATTCCCAGGAAAGAAAGGGTTGGGTCAGGGAGGGAAGCTGTGCTCTCTAATGCCCACCATGAATACATTATCCTGGGTCAGCTCTTCCTTCTGCTTTAGATACACCTTCCTCAACTTTTCCACCATCAGGAATCCCTTTTGTTATTTCTTCTCCATGGACCCCATGCTTTGAATGATTCTGCCTGCCGCTCTGTCTGCATTTATTACAAAACATTAACTCCTTTTCCTGTTACTTACTATAAAAGATATAACTTCCAGTCAGAGCTTCTGATCAGCATAAGATAACCGGTGCCCATGTTGATATACTTTTAGTAAAAAGCATAAAGAAATATGATGTTTTGGAAACTGTAGACCCTGATGTGTGTTATATACGTGCGGTATAATGAAGAACACATCTAGTCTTTGTCCTGGGTTCCAGGTACAGAGGTTCAAAAACCCCTGGAGATTCCTGAGTGATAAAAGTGTCTTTATTATGCTAATGAGGTGACTCATTGTGGGCCCCTAAATAGCTTTAGCATCCAGGCTGGCCACTAAAAACACCAGTCAAGGCTTAATTAGAGGGCTGGCACTTGGAGGTTGAGTTCAATCACACTTGTCTCGAAACCCCGGGTGAAAACCCTGGACACTGAGGCCTGCAGGAGCTTCCTAGCTGTGAGCACACTGATGTGCAGGAGGGTTCACACCGGGACTCCACGGGGAGGGTGCGCAGAGCTCGCATCCAGGACCCTTCCAGGCCTCACCCTGTGTGTAGCCTTTGTAATAAAACTGTAACTGTGAGGATAGCACTTTCAGTGAGCTCTGTAAGTTGTTCTAGTGAATTACCCCACCTGAGGGGATCTTGGAGATCCCCAAATTTATCGCTAATTGGTCAGAAATGCAGGTGGCTCTAAGACGTGTAGCTGATGTCTGAAGTGAGGGCCGAGTCTTTAAACCTGTGGAGGCTGACAGTGATCCTGGAAATGTGAGAATCGTGCTGCAGCACACCCACCTGCAGCAGGAACGGGGCATTGTATGTCTTAGCTATACAACACCAGCAGGGAACTGAACTATGGACTATGGGTGAGAATGATGTGTCAAGGTAGGTTCATCAATTCTAAGAAATGTACCACGCTGGTGGGCAATATTGATACTGGGGGAGGCTGTGCATGTGTGGGGCTGGGGAGATATGGAAAATCTCTGTACCTTCCTCTCAATTTTGTTGCAAACCTAAAATTGCTCTAAAAAAAGAAGTCTTAAAAAAGGTCTTATATATATATATATATATATGTATATATATGTATATATATACATATATATGTATATATGTATATATATACATATATTATATATGTATATATATAATATATGTATATATATTTTTATATATACATATATTATATGTATACATATATTATATATATACATATATTATTTATATATATATATATATATATATATATATATATATATGAAAACATTGAAAACAGGAGTGGTCAGAAAGATTCTCCTGGGGAAAACCCATCTGTTTCAGGTAGCTCAGAGAAAGCATTCCAGTGGGGAGGGAGGAATACTGTTGATTTGGAAAAAATTCAGGCCCAGGGAACAGGCAGACTCTCCTTTCCTGATACAGTTGCGAAGATATTAATTAGCAAGGGTTACGTTTTTAGAAAAAAATTAATATATTGAAATGATAATGATTATAATATTTACTGAGTGCTCAGCACATGCCAGGCACTGTTAATACATTTTTCATAACTGATTTAATGCTTACAAACACCAGATAATGTGGGTACTATTACTACACTCATTTACAGATGAGGAGACTGACAGTGAGAGACTAGGTATTTTGCTCAACTTTCTATTCAAGAGTCTGCCTTTTAACCAATTAGACAGTTATGAAAAGGAGAACTGGGACTGCAGCTTTACTGTCTTCATCCTGCTCTCAGAGCTCGTTACACCAGGTACTTGCTGCTTTAATTGTTTAACTACCCTTTAGATGTACTCTTTCAAAACGAAGTGGGTAGGCATCATATTTATGGGAAGTTATTTTTGTGTGAAACTGCTTTTATCCCTTGGGTCTAGAGCCTCCGTGTTCTCCGTCCTCATTTTGCAAATTAGAGTCTGAAATGGGGAAGGAAGAATCTATCACCAGTTAGGATGTTATAAAGGTTCATGATGATTACAATGATTATGAGTTAATTTAGAAGTATTTTAGTTCCATAATAAAAATACTAATGTGAGGGTTCAAACAAAGAGTAATTACATTCTTTATTCTGCAAAAGTAAGTTAGGAATTGACCAAGGAGGAAGGAGCTCAGACTATTTGCATGAGAAAGCCGGCATTGTAGAAGGTGCACGTAAAAAAAAAAAAAAATACCACTACGTCTCTTAATAAAAAAGTCATGTTCCATGACATTTTGATTGTGGGTTGCCTGAGTGCTTGCTATGAACCTAAAGGCAATATATATACGACAAGGGACCAAGGGTCAAGGCACCAAAGAGTAGAAACTACTAAACCATCAAGTCCCCTCATCAGAGTTAGGTAGTAGAACACACGCCTGAACAGAGTGCGTGACCATTTCCAAACAGGAAACTACTGCAGCACAGACTGTTTACTCACCGGAAACAATGGGAGGTTGCAACACCCCTAGCGGGAATATCCAGGCCTAGCAAACCAACCATTCTTTCCTCTTCAACCGTAAAGACTGAAATTGCACCTGAAGTCTTCTCTCTTGATCAGATTATGCCAGTGAGCTCACCATACACTGGTAGCCCAAACCCTTCTACAGTTTGTAGACACACACTGACTGGATTGCTCATTTGTGTTTGTGTGTTTATGTGCTTTTGTGTATAAGAGGGAACATGAGAACAGATGTAACTTGGTGATAAGAGTATGTACACAAATCAGAAGGTTGTGTTTTTTATTGTGGTAAAAACAACATAAAATTGACCACATTAACCCTTTTGAAGTGCACAGTTCGGTAGAGGTGAAACTGTTCAGCGTGTGGAACCAGAAACTCTACCCATAAGACAATGACTCCTCTTTTTCCCCCCCCAACCCCTAGCAATTCTATCCTATCTCCACACATTTGACTACGTTGATACCTTATATAAATGGAACCATATAGTATTTTACCCTTTTATTACTGGCCTATTTCACTTAGGATAATGTCCTCAGGTTCATCTGTGTTGTAGCATGTGTCAGAATTTCCCTCCTTTTTGAAACTGAATAATATTTCATTGTATATATAGACCAAATTTTGCTTTTCCATTTGTCTGTCCACAGACATTTGAGTTGCTTCCACCTTTGGCTCTTGTGAATAATGCTGCTATGAACACGGGAGTGCAGGTATCTCTTTGAGACCCTGCTTTTAGTTCTTTTGGCTATTTATCCAGAAATGGAACTTCTGGATCATATGGTCGTTCTATTCTTAATTTTTTTTAAGGAACAGCCATACTGTTTCCACAGTAGTTCTGAGTTGTTTTTAATATTAGTCCTCGGAGATCTCACTCATAGATGGGAGTTCTCTAATTTGAGAAGAGGAAGGCGACAGGAGAGAAAGGAAGGAGCAGCAGGAGCCAGGGCCTCCTTCTGCACTGAAGGGGCTCCTCTCTCCTCACCCAGAGCTTCCCTTTGTGGTCTGCTCTGTCCTTTCCTTCCTGTTGCCCAAAGAGGAATGTGATCACTCCCTGAGGCTACCACACTCCTAGCCCTGGTGGTAGGCAGAATAATAGCTCCCTTCTACAATGTCCACCTCTTAATCCCATGGCCCTGTGAATGTGTTATGCTGCACAAGGGACTTTGCCAATGTGATGAAGGTTCCAGACCTCAACATCAGGAAATTATTTTGGATTACCTGGGTGGGCCCAATTAGTCACCTGAGCTTTAAAAGCAGAGAACTGCCTCTAGCTGGAGGGAGAAAGGGAAGGTAGAAGAGAGATGCCCTAGAGGGAAGACCAACAGATTGCATGCAGGAGGACTGATGCACAGTTGCTGTTCTGAGCTGCAGCGGACGTACAAGGCCTGGCAGAAGCCTCTAGGGTGGTGGTTCTCAACCTGTGGGTCGCGACCCCTTTGGGGGTCGAACGACCCTTTCACAGGGGTTGCCTAAATACATCCTGCATATCAGATATTTACATTACGATTCATAACAGTAGCAAAATTACAGTTATGAAGTAGCAACGAAAATAATTTTATGGTTGGGGGTCACCACAACATGAGGAACTGTATTAAAGGGTCGCGGCATTAGGAAGGTTGAGAACCACTGCTCTAGGGGATAGGACAGCCCCTGATGACAGCCAGCAAGAAAACAAGGGACCTCAACTGCAAGGAACTAAATGTGGCCAACAACCTAAATGAGTTCAGAGGTGGATTCTTCCCAAAGTCTTCAGAAGGAAACACAGCCCCGCCAACTGCTTCGTTTTAGTGCCACGAGACTCAGTTTGGGCTCTAACATATAGAACTGTGATGTCATGAATGGCTGTTGCAACAGGAGATTAATGTACCCTCTCTCACGCTCACCTGGGTCTCTCCAGCTGTTCAAAAATGTGCCAAGACTTTGACAGTGTCAGCCGGAGAGTCTGACCAACTAACTCCACATCTGTTTACTAATGGACAAGGGCTAGAGGGAGATTTTTTTTTAAAATACCAGTGTTTTTGAGAAATGGTTTTTTTTTTAATCTGATTCTACTAGATATCCATAATAGTAGCAGGGATTTCAGACCTGGAAAGAGGGGAGGTCAGCCTCTTGGCCAGTGATACGGAAGTAATATTGGGAGTCATATAACAGCATCCCTTCCCCTGACACTGCTCATGTAAGGGCTGGTCACCTCTCCATACAAGCTATTCTTTAAGCCTCCTCTGCCCCTTACTTATAAAATATAATGTATGTTCATTGTTGAAAAACAATGAAAGCAATCTGGGACTGCTGGCTCCTAATCGCTTGCCTGCCTGATCGCCCCTAACAGCCTCTGCCTGCTGACCTGATGCCCCTAATTGCTCCCCTGCCTGATCGCCCCTAACTGCCCTCCCCTGCCAGCCTGATCGTCCCTAACCGCCTCTGCCTCGGCCCCTGTCATGGTGGCTTTGTCCGGAAGGATGTCTGGAAGATGACTGGTCTAATTAGCATATTACCCTTTTATTAGTATAGATTTTATTCATATCCCATCTCTTTCATTTCAGTACTTTTATCCATCTGAAATTTATTTCAATGTAAGAAATGAGACGAAATACAGATTTACTTTTTTCCTAAATGGCTAGAAGTTTTCCTAGCCTAATTTATTGACTAAGCCATCTTTTCCTCTGCTATGAAATATCATCTTTATCCTATAATAAGTTCCCAAATCATATACTAAATAAATTCTCTGTTATTGACCTCTCTGCTTTAGTGTCATCATAAATTATTTTAACTACATACCTGTACAATATGTTATTATTATTTTGGGACATCCACGAGCTTTTTGGGCATGTTAATTTTTTTCTGATGAACTTTTTAACAACTTTCAAAATATTTTCCTTTGTATTTTGATTGGACTCAGGTAAGTTATTGTGTTAGGAAGATTTGATTTTACTTACCCAGAGAGATGCCATGCTATCCCACTTTTGCCTTGAGTTCAGATCACACTAACCTATTAAAAGAAAAAATAATTACTAAATGGAATAAGCCAAGGATTCCAAACACAGTAAATTCACCAACTCTTAATCTTTAATCCAGAAAACAGAACCCATGTTCAAAGAGAAACCCCCTCAAGAAGAGGATGTGTCTTTAACATCAAGTAGCCCATTGGCTAAACAAACATTTACTCAGTACCTACTTTCTACGAGAGGTGGAGCTAGACCAGTAAAAGGCTCAAAAAGAGAAAAAAAAAATCTCAGACTTGAGAGGTTTGCACATATGTTTCCTTGAAAGCCAACTTTTGACTTATTTAAAATCCAGCAGAACTACTTCGATTGCTGACTTCTTTTAATCAAAATAGACTACCATCTAGGGAAAACAAAAACACAAGAAATTGTCCCCCATCAACATAAATTTTAGTTGGCTTCCATTTGATTCCTTGTGTTTGATTGTGAAATGTGCATTTACACTTCACAAGGCTCCCAGCCTACAGTTATAAACAGACCTGCCTGCGCCTTGGGAGGCAGTCCAGTCCTTGGGCGGATGCAGGGGTGAAAAGGGCAGCTCTTTCGTGGAGCCGCAATTGGGAACCCATATGTCACCATTATTCAAACATGCTGGCCTATCTCCAAGGGTTGACTTAGAAATGCAAGTTGCTCCCACCCATCCTTGGAACAAAACACTCTAAAAATACCATGATCGCCTCAGAACAAAGTTCGACAGGAAATTACACCATTAGTCCCTGCAAATATTTAGCCCTGATTTTTCCAGGCCCTCTCTCCGTAGCAGAGGGTGGTCAGCTCTCTAGTTACAGAGTCTAACACCATCTATAATAATAAAAGCGTAATATGCTAATTACACCAGGTGTCCTTCCGGACAACCTTCCGGACAAAGCCAGGGCTGTGAGGGAAGCCCTGGTCCCGGGTGCCAGAGGAAAGCTGGTGCCGGCAACTGGGGAAAGAAACGCCTACTCTTGCAAGAATTTCATGCATATTCCTCTATCTATATAGTGGATACAAAGTATCACTAGTTTTGGTTTCACCTCTTAAAGCTAGACACAATTCATTTGACCCTCAGTTTCCTCATCTATAAAAAGGGGAGAGGAGGGCTGTAGCTGGCATTGAATAAAGTAACATGTATCATCATATCAGCTAGCTTTTTGAGTCCTTACTATGCTCCAGGTAATATAAAAAACACTAAAATGTTGATTTTGTAAAGTTAGACATTTTTTCATGTTTGCTCCCTGGGGCATACAAGGCAATATAAAAAATACCCATTGACTGAATGAATGATTTAATATAAGCCTCACAATTAATCTTGGGCACTAAGTATCATTAGTAACATCTCCACTATGCATATGAAGAAGGTGGGGCACAGAGAAGTAAAATAACAGTCCAGTCACACCACTAATAAGTAGGTATTAGGGGCAGAAATAGCATATTGGGGACCAGCCACAATTATAAGAAATATTAGTCATACTCTGTTAACCGTGATGGTTCTGTTCAGATTAGAGAAAGTACATTCTAACCTGGCTCAGAGCTGTACGCCTGGGACCTGGGAGCTAACATCGGATGCAGTCCATCCTCCTGTCCCGAGAACTGCCTATCATAATGGAAAGGCTTACAAGCTCCTGGCTGAACCAATCTAGTCCCAGAGGTGCCTGCCCTTTGCAACCCCCAGCCCCTATTGCCTGTAATCTGGTCCCAGGGCATCCGGAGGCACCCACCCTCTGCGACCCACCAAGCACGCATGACTTATAACCTGTAATGATTTTACCATGCCTACTTTCCATGTCTGTAACTCTTACTTTCTCATGTAATCTTTGTCTTCTACCCAACACAAGCAGCTGGCTTATGGGGAGAGGCAGAGCAGGTTTTTGTGGATGACCTGCTGCTCTCCCACACTGCTGGCAGTATTGGAATAAACGCTCATGTATGATTCAACCCTGTCTCCACTTATGTTGCTCAACTAGTGAAAGGCAGCCCAGACCCCTTGGTTGTCTGGTCACATAGGGACTGAATTTAGGCAGCCATTCTCCAAAGATATGACCTTAACCACATGCTTCTGCCTTATCCAAGTGGCTGTTCCATACAGGGTCAACGCTGATACTCAATATATGTTGATCCAGTATCATTTCTAACATATTAATAATGAATACTGATTTACGTTTTAAGAAAGAAAGAGTTACTCCACAGTGGAGGCCAAAAGGCTTAACAATAGAACTTTAAACAGCCTCTTCTGAAAGGGTTAGAGCAGTGACATCATTTCCTTTTACTTCCTCCTGCATCCCTGTTTCTAAACAGATTTCCCTACACAGCCTCATGGCTCTGGGAACAAGATTCTGGTTTCCTTTACATCTTTACGTTCCCTTTCTTGTCAGTTTGAAGTTCTCTGCCTTCCTGAAAGCTGGTGGTGAAATCTTTATGAAAGAACGATTTAGTAAGTTACATTTGTTTTTTATGATGTTGATTTTTAAAAGTTGCAAATGAGGGCAAAGTCTAGCTGTCTGTGATCAGAAATCCTTGGAAAGAATTTAGCTTTGGTGGTGCAACTTCTTATCAGCTGCCAGAGGGGCCTCCAGCCACCCAGAGCCTCTCAGCCACAATTTTCTACATAGGTGTGGTCATTTGCAATCAGGTGCCCATATCCCCCACCTGCTGACTCCGATGCCAAATGCCAGGAGAATGATTCACATCCAGGGAATGGAATTCTGTTGCAATAAAAGAAAATGATGAGCCGGTTTAAGAAAAAGCAAACTTCCCGGACTCCCAACGCCCAATATCTAAACACACCTTTCTACCTCCTAAAAAGAATAAGTAAAACAAAATAAATTGCGCATGTGAAGAGGACAGCATGCTCACAAGGATGGGTGTGGTTCCGAGTACTCAGTACAGAGCTTGGAGCCAGCCTCTCCCTTCCCCAGGCATCTGGACCCAGAGGACCCTTCTCGCTCTTCGGTCTGGGAAGTTTGAAATGATCAACCGGCCCCCTACTCTGTTAGCTGTGATGAAAAGTGAAGGGTGCAGGGCCTGGGACTGCGGGGTGTCAGCTTGCACCCGGAGTGGCCATAGCTGGGTGGCCCTCCCAGAGCGCGGCACGTTTGCTCCCCTGGGCTAGTGTCCTCGATACTGAAATGTGGGATCTAGACTCTGTGCGCGCCGAGGCCCCGCGGATCCTGCACCTGCGCTGCCGGGTTGGTTGGCGGCGAAGGCGCCAAGTTAGCTCCGCCCGGGACCGCACGGCGCTCGCGGGGGGGCGGGCGAGGCGCGTGGCTGCGCGCGGGGAGGCTGGACTCACCGGGAAGCGGCCCGGGCGCGGAGAACGGCGAGCCAGGTGTGCGTCCCGCGCTGCTGCTCCGAAGCTGGTTCCCCGCGGGCCAGCGGAGGCTCCCGCTGCACCGACCGCACCCCTTCCTCCGCCCCGCCTCCTGCCCGGACTCCACACGCTCGCCGCCCGCGGGGAGGGAGGCCGCGCCCCTCGCCCTGAACGCTCCGCCCTCCGGCCGGGCCTCGGGGTCGCTAAACTTTCCCTCCCCGCCGTCCTCACACTGAAACCCATTTCCTCGGTTTTCACCTCTTCTCTGGCATTAAGTTCTGGTTCAGATTGGTTGCAGCTCTGATTTTGTCCTAGGCACTGCGGACGCAGACACGCGATGGTCCTCACTCCCAAGGAACTCACGCGAATAGCGGCCTCTAACACTTACCTAGCGTTTACTTTGTGCCAGGCACTGTTCAAAATTCTTTAAATCATCGGACAACTATATGAGACATACTGTTATTGCTCCCATGTTATAAATAAGGAAACCGAGGTCACGTAAGCAAAGCTACGCTGGGAGTAATAGCAGACCGCATTTTTGAACCCAGGTGGTTTTGTAGTCCCCCTGCTAAGCTTGTAGGCTCTTAAGTATGAGGATTAGACCCAATGACTGGAGGAGGCAAAGTGGAAGGGCGTCCTAGGCATTTGGCACAACAGAACAAAAGAAGGCTAAAAAGCAAAGCCCTGCTTGCATTGGGGGAATTATGGGCAGTTGTGTGTTGAAGGATGGAGTTAAAGCTACCAGTTAGTTGATGTCGGGCCTTGAAATAACTGCTTGCTTCCATCACCTCTTTCATCTTCAAGGCAACCCTGGGAGGTGCTATTTTTATTAGAATTTGCATCAGGGGAAACTGAGGCTTAGGAAGGCTAGGTGATTTACTCAAGGACTCATAGGCAAAAAGTATTGACTAAACACTTCCTATAAAGTATGTGCTGTGGAAGATTAAAAGGAAATAATCAGACGTAGTTGGAATATCAATGAGTTTACAATCTGAGGTCAAGACAAACTCATGTGGAACTAAAGTCAGTAATGTGTGACGCTTTATCATTTTTATACATAATGCTAAATTCTGGGGAAAGGACTTGAAACATGGTAGCTTTAGGAGCACAGGAACATCAAGAAGATTGGGACAGGCAGGGGAGAAGGCAATGAAATTGGAAAGATTTGAACACTGTCATCTGAAAGAATTCTTGGCTTCTTTTTAATTTTAAATCAGTGTGCCCCATATTTCTCAATCATGGTGTGAGGCTGCCTTCCTGCCATTCCTGTTATTCTGCAAAAGTTTTAGTGAAAATATGAATTTGAAGAAAAGCATTAGGACTGATGAATTGTCACTTAGTTGATTGAAAACTTTTGGTTTGGTTTATCTACGCAGTGGTTCTCAACCTTCTGGCCCTTTAAATACAGTTCCTCATGTTGTGACCCAACCATAAAATTATTTTCGTTGCTACTTCATAACTGTAATGTTGCTACTGTTATGAATCATAATGTAAATATCTGATATGCAGGATGGTCTTATGGGACCCCTGTGAAAGGGTCATTCGACCGCCAAAGGGGTCGCGACCCACAGGTTGAGAACCACTGATCTACAGCTACTTAAACTATCAGAATGCATTTCTCCCCTAGTCTTGCACAGGATAATACATGATGCCCCTTTAACCAACATAGGAGGTGCTGGGACTCACAGGAAAAGCCCTGGCTTGGACTGCTGAGTGGGAGCTGAAGAGGTGGGAGCAGAGGTCCTCCCCGCTGGGTGCTGGACCTGAGAACCTGTCAAAGCATAAGTTCTCTCAGACCCTACCCTAACCTACCTCTTAGTGAGCCCTCCAGGTGATTCTGCTGGACCCTAGAGCTGAAGAACTACTGGTTCAAGAGCACACCCTCCCTTAAATAGAAGAGGAGCCGCAATGGAGAAAGCAGAGACACAGCCTTGCTTAAAAAGCTGGAGCCCGCCAGGTTTGGCCAGATTTACAAATCGAGAGTGATGAGCTTTCTGCCAGGAGAAGATGTGACTGTTCTGTCTTCCGTTTTTCATCCTAATTCCTGACTCCCATGTAGAGATCACCGCAATAGACTAAGCCCAGCCTCATTCTGGAAACTTCTAGGATTAGCATGGGTGCAGAAAGGAGATATTTACTGAGGGCCTATGACTTATGCCAGACATTGACTAATGCACTTACTTCATGCTTACTCACTAGCTTAATTTGGTAACTTCCACAGGTTGTATGGCACACACCAGGAAGTACTAGGACTGGATATCCAGAAGGAAATGAGTAATGGGTGGTGATGGAGCCCCACAGACTAGGAAAGTTTGACATCAAAAGTGCCTCTAAGCCTGCCTGGATATGGGAGGGACAGTCTTATCAGCGCCTTTGAGAACTGGACTGTGGCCTGGGCAGGCTGCAGGCACCATCAGAACCACAGCTAAGCAGTGGGGAGGGATAGACACATCCCAAGTTCTCTCCCATCATTTGGCCCATCTCAGCCAGAAGCCAAGGGGCAGAGGAGCCTTGGAGAAACAGTTTGGAAAGGAAAGAGGGTTTCCTGGAGCATAAATAAGGCAGAGAATCCCTATGGAGACAAACAGAATAAGCAGCATGGGACTTTCGTGAGCCACTGCTATCAAGTGCGGGTTCATTTTGGACACATTCTTTAATGGGATGCTTAAAGGAGACATCTTGAAATTGGTTTTTAACAATTTATGAAAGTTGTCCCAGAGACTAGGACTCTAGTAAACTTTTATAAATTACTGGTCTTAGAACTTAATGGCCTTAAACCAAATGAGCCCAGGAATAACATGTTGCTAGATTTTTTAGAGAGATGCAATCTCGGTCTATTTTGTTGTAATAACCAAGTGACTGAATTTTTCATGACAAGCATTAAATCCAAGTTATAGGAGCTGTGGACTATTATTAAGCAACACCAATTTGTGCTTGTGAGGGCCTCTGGAAAAGACTTGAAATCCCAGGATTCATGTGGAATTTTCAAGAAAAATTATCTAGGTCAGTCACCGAGAACCATGTCATAGGGTGGTTTATAAGGACTGAATGGGGTAGAGAATGTAAGAAGTGATTGCTTTTATATATATGTTTTTATTTTTAGAGAGAGGGGAAAGGAGAGGGGTAGAGAGATAGAAACATCACTGAGAGAGAAACATTGGGCTGCCTCCATATGCCCCCTACTGAGGATCAAGCCCTGACTAGGAATGGAACCAGTGACCTCTTAGTTCATGGGTCAACGCTCAATCACTGAGCCACACCAGCTGGGCAAGGAGTGATTGCTCTTGATGGCCAGATGTGCCCAATGTCAATATTACTTGACATTGTCCCTGGGAATTTACCAGCCTCTCATGTGCCATTCTAAAGGGCTCCCAGTTAGAGTTCTCTCGGGTTTATGTGGGGACAGGATCTCTGGAATACACGATGGTGTGAATGAAAAGGGCTGCACAGACCTGACAGTTCAGGAAGCGACACGGCAGGTCTGCCAAGCTCAGTGATTGAAAGCAACCACACAGGATGGTCTGAATGCCAACTCCTAAGTGGGCCAGTCATGGTGGGTAGTCATATCCCAGGCCTCCAGCTTCTTTAGTAAAAGGTTAATCTTTACCTTAAGGGAACCCTGCCTGTTGCTATTGTGCATCTGGGATAATACACCTTAGAAATGTCAGAATAATTTTCATTTCCAGATCCTTCAAAAGCAGACCCCTGGCAACAGAGCACAAAGACACCGAAGTCCTTGTTATCTTGTTGCCCACATCCCACCCCTATTCACTGTAATTGTTAAATGCTCACTATCCTGTGACCACCAATGTAAAAGATGTATCTCTCCATTTTCCTTTTTATTCAACCCTAGAGATTGCCCAGCTTTCTCTCCACCCCCACCAGTACATTTTACATACCCTTCCTTACTTTTTCTCCTTTCATTCTAAATGTATTTAAAGAACTATAAAACTGCTTCTTTCTCGAGCATTTTCTCATCTATTGAGACCTTGCTTCTGGACATGTCCTCAAAATTTTGGCTCAAATAAATTCTTATTAATGCTTTCTACAGGTTAGGATGTTTCTTTTGTCCACATTTACTGGCATCTTAATATTAGGTTAAAGCATATAAAACTACGGGCATAGGACTATTTTTAACCTACAAAATCAACGTTTATATGGGGTTGAGCCTAATGAGGTATGCTCAATACAGTCACTCTCTCCTGTTCCCAGTATTTCTTCAAAAACCTCATCTGTGAGATACTGCAAAATTTATATGAGAACTCATCTTCTGCCACTTACTCCCATGTTTCCTAAATATTATAGCTATGAAATCTCAGGTCTTAGGGAGCATTTTCATAGCCATTCCTAACAATTCATGGATTGGTGTCTGATACAGCTTCTCCCTGGACCCCAGAGAAACGCACCCCAGGGCTTAAAGCCTGCTGTGAGGCATGGGACAATCACAGGAAATTGTGAGGAGGTAAAACTCAAGTTAAGTCCTGGCAGCATCTAAGGAAATCCTAGGCTCGGCTGTGGTTCCTTTCCCCAGATTTTATAAAAATATGCTTTCTCAAGTCTTGCTGAGTTTGCTAATGTACCATGAAAAGGTGCCAACAGAGCCCTACTGGTCACCATCCTTGGCAATATTTTTGTTTTTTCATATAAAACAATTCCACAGAGGGGGGAGGCACACAAATGCACAGGCTTGCAGAATGCCCAGAATGCCCATTTGGACCCTGCCATTTTCCCCTTCATAAGCCGGTAAACTATTATTTGTTGCTTTGGTCATCTTCAGGGGGTTATGGACACTAAATGAACCTTTGTGTGTGCATAAGAGCTCATAGCCATTCTCACACTAGATCACACTGTCCTGAGAAAGTTTGAGGCTAATATAGTGTGAATAATCATCTTATTGTATCGCACATGGAGATTTTAACGATTCCTCTTTGTCCTGGGGTTTCAACTGATTGCAAGAAAAGAGTTATGATTATCTGGAGATGTGTAATTCTCTATCATGCTCTTAGCACAGTTAAGTATGTGTCTCAAATTCAGCCGCTTCAGAGGGACTTTTTCCAAAAAACTTTGCCGCAAAATGATTTTCCATCTCAATGGCAATGTCTTTTGAGATGAATAATCTAAAATGAACATAGCAACAACAAAAAAATGCAACCAGACTGTCATTTATTAATACAAATTTATATAGTGGCATATGCTATTGAAGAGATCAGAAATTCATCACACACAAATTGGTATTGGAAATACAAAAATCATTTGAGAGTCAAGAAATCGGGTTGACAGCACCACAAATATTTTACTCAGTCTGAGCAGGTGCGCAGTATCCAAGAATCACAAGAATTCCTACAGGACACTGAGCCTGAATGTCAGAAGGCTGTGCAAACGTATTCCACCATGATTCCCCACCCACCAATGAGACTGCAGGAGTCCTTCAGGAGGCCCGGGGACAATGCAGGCGGAAAACAGCTACAGACTCTTCTTTCTTTTAACCTTCACAGCCAGCCAGTGTGCGGTAGCAAATAGCAACCCCCTGGGGGCTTTGTTCCCTCTTACCTAAAGGCATGCTGTAAGAGGTTAGTAACACACACACAGGGCTTTAGTGAGCAAGTCAGGAACAGAAAGCAAGAGTTTTGAAGTATAATCCCACATCAGCCACCAAATGGTCTGATCCCTAAATGAAGTATAAAACAAATGAAATACAAAATTCTGTATCAAAAGAGTCAATCTCAAGTTCACATCTCTTAACACTTTCCATGTAATGTGTCATCCACTAGAGAAGCACCGCATTCAGGAACATGTATGTAGTGGGGGGAAGGGCTGAGAGGAAGGAGGGCAGGACTATTCCAAGGGCTTCCTTTCACACAGACGATTCACTACCTCAAGGTCTTCACAGGACGCTGCCCTGGCCACGCAAGACCTCCTCCATGGAGACTGCTAGGAGCACACAGAGATCTGTCTCCATTGCTTCCCAACTAGCTTCACCCTGCCACCTGTCTGCACTCTTCCCATGCACATGTCCCCTTTGGTAGTAATGGAGAGGGTGTGCAAGACGAATATTTGAGCAAATGGAAAGATGTTGCTTTAATGTGTAAGCATCTGGCATGAGGAACGATAAATAAAGGACCAAATCAAAGTTGCTCCTCAAATGACTGTCTTCCTGTCCTTGTAGAATTAGCATGAGCCCTCTAGGTTGTTAGAAGAGTCTGCCCCTCTGGTGAGCAGGGAGCCATGAGACACCAATTCTGGAGGTTTGTGAGGCAGGTACATAAATTCTGCCCCAAATTGCTTGGTATCGCAAGTGGCACCAGACCAGTCAGGCGTTTCCAGCTCTGGGCTCCCTCAATTCATACTATCATGAAAATTTTACACTCATCTCAGCATGCTAAGTCAGACATTCCTCTAATGTTCTGCTCTGGAGACCAAGTCACAGTCTCACCTCCTGCTAATGCACTATTATGACTTGCCTGTTCAGTCCTCCTTAAGAGCATGGCCAGATTCATGTCTACGCTAACTGGTGCTTCTTTGTTCCAATGAGATTATTTCATAATCCAAGTAGAAGCCAGTTTTTGCTTTTCTCTCTACTTTCCCTTGTGATATTGCCACCATACCCTCTTACTTCCCGTTTCTAAATTTATTCCTCTATAACTCACCTGTGACACCAGTCACCTGTTCACTCAACAAATATTTCTGGAGTGCTTGTTATATGCAAGGCACTGCTGAATAATCAAAGTCACGGCTCACGCAGGCCCTACTCTCAAGGAGCTTGGAGTATGGTAGAGATGCCAAAAACCTTTCAGAGTTCATTCTTTCTAGCTTTTAGTACCAAAGTGTTCCCAGTTTGGAATGTTCCAAAGAGCTTGGGTCATTCTAGTACAAATATTATGCAGTGCAGGGGCGCTGTCATTTGCTCAGTGACTATGGCATGCCAGGCATCAGGAAGAGAATAATGAAATGGTGTCTCCAGTTTAAGACATGCATGCTTATGGTTTTGCAATAAGGCAGGAACCAAAAAGAAACACAACAGCAAGCGGCGTGTACACAATGTGCAAAATCGTTAAGTTGCTATTTGAACACGAAATCGTTTAAAAGCCAGGTGTTTGTGGCCTTGTCATGTGCTGATATGGTAAAAAAAATAAGTGCCTGAGCTACCAGAAAAGAACCCCCACAAAGAGAAATCCCTGAAATACGTACGGTACCAGGAATGGTGCCTTTATCTGCTGTGAGTACTAGTACTTTATCTGCTGTCTTATATTAGTAGGCATCTATTCACTGATTTCACTCTGGCCTGGGCTTTACCCTAATTTGCTTTATTCAAATGCATCACTTACTTTCCTGAAACCCTAGCACCATAAAAACCCCACAGCTAGCAAAGCACATGGGTTTGTCTATTATTGCCTGGGCAAAGCCTGGGGTAGCAGGAAATGTGGTAGGTTTCTAAAGCATCCATGGCGATGCAGAAAAAGGTCATGGGCAGTGACCTTGTTTTGTAGCATCCTTTGACAGAAAGGTGTCCTAACATGTCCTCGATGCAGCATCAACCAGCTGGGCACAAGGACATCTCCCTGGGACGAGGGTGCAGTGCAGAAACTTGATAGCTCTGAGGTGCTTGCCAGGCCCCTCCTTTCTGTAGGTTTCAGCTCCCCCTCCTGCCATGCCCGAGGTTTCTCCTGTGAGTATCTGGAGCACTTTGAACCCCCAGGTGAAAAGGACTTTGGAAATGGCAAAGTGCAATTAGAGGCCATGGAGTGAGTGCAGGCTGTCAAGTGGATGCAATGAGAAATACAACATTGTGCTGATTAGCAGAATTTTGAATGGAATCTGGGTGCCAGCCATTTGAACTCTGTTGTCCAGAGGCCCAGGAAAAGCCCAAGGAGAAGAAAGCTGGAAGTGGGGGAGGAAACCAAAGGCCCTGAAGGCCACTTTCTGAGATCTGCCACTGTCCATTCCCCTTCCTTGGAAATGCATCAGCTAACCTAAGGGTCTACCTCCCGTCCTAACACTAACACACTTGCTTTCGAAGATCGGCCTTCCGGGAGCAACTGCAGCTACTGAGACTACTAACTGGGGTCCACGGGAACAGCGATTCCAGTACTCTGGGGGATCTAGTGGTTCTTTGATGAATGAGGTAGCTCAGTTGTGAGTTGATGCAAGTGATGTGTGCCTTCCCCTGCTCAAAGCTATAGTTTTCCCTTTTCATCTGCAAGATTATAAAAATACCAGTATTTCTCCCGTTTTATAAAAATGATTTTAGAAAAAAAATACACATGGGTCTCCTCCATTAAACTTCTGTTCCATCTTGTAAATTGTTGTGAACTCTGACCTCCAGATTCAATTTTTTCACTTTAGCACCTTTGAACACGTACGCCCCCTCGGCGTCGCTCAGTATGTTGACGTTCCGCACGGTGCAGTACTGTCTGCTCACGTTCTTCTCCACCCTGTCGGGGCTCCTCTTGGGCACCTCCACCTTGGTATTCAGAGGGTATTCCTCCAAAATGTCCTCTGTGGGCGGTTTCTTCCTCTGTTTCTGGCACTTCCTGGTGATGAAACAAGCCACCAAGAACACCAGAAGCAGAAGCATGATAGCAGCGAGCGCACTGCCAATAGACGCCCCCGTTTGGGACAGAGAGGCAGCTACAACGGGCTCTTGCATGTCCAGGTTGAGGGACTTCATATTGGTGCCATTCTTGACTTGGTCCCCTTCATTGTCATAGATGAGGGAATCGGCAAGGGCCAGCCGGCCACTGGAGTCCACCAGGTCCCTTCGTTGGCGCCTCAGAGTGGCTGTGAGAGAGCGCTGGACCCGGGGCCCTGAGAGGGTGTCAGGGCCAATGATGTAGATGACCTGGAGGTACCACTGGTGTCCTGCTTCCACCTGCAGGAGGAGGAAAATGGGAGACAAACCAAGCATGTCATTGCTGCCCACAGACACCTCTGACAAAAGGAAATGGGAAGACAGTTGCCACCATACTAGTAAGCCTCCGTGGATACATGCAAGTGATGCATTTCAAGAAAGGCATTTGCAATGGTTGGTGTTTACCATTAGAGAATTCAACCAAATATTATGGAGTTTATAGATTCCATTTTATTTCTAAAGTAGGGTGATCCTGGTCCAGCTATTCACATTCTTTTTCTCTTTGTCTATCTGTGTATAGAATAGTCCTAAGAATTTATTTCTCTGTAGCTGATAAATGCTTATGATTTGTTGGTCTTCCTTGATTATAGAGAAGTAACAGTATTAATAACCACATTTATTCCCAGGGACCTTTAATTGTTTGTTATGCTAATTTACTATTTATTGATGAAGTTTAGCTAAAATAGTCATTCAACAAATATTCATTAAACACTCTGTGCATAATAAGCAGATACTTTATTCACTAAACACCTACTCTGTGCATAATAAGCAGATACTTGACAAAAATTTGCTAAATCTGAATATTCCCTGGACATCCCCTGAGCAGTTATACCATCCAGTATTTTACTGCCATGTCATCTGGCTCCACTGAAACCCTCCATGATTTTGAACTAATTTCCAAAGAGTGATAATAGTTCTAAAATCTAAGGTCATCGATTACTATTTGGACACAGAAAAAAGTGGAATTTGATCTTGGAAGTTCTTGTTTATTACTGGGGCTTAGAGTATTTTTGCTCATCAAATACTACTTATTATTGCCATTCTAAATTATTGTATTGTGTTTATGATTTTGTTAAATGTTTTCCACATGCTTGTGAAAATAGAGCCCAGAAGGCAGGCAATATAAAAAGTAATTAGGAAAAACTAGAATATGGTAGGCACCTGAATGCACAATAACAAGACACTAGATGCAAATTAAATAAATTTACCATTACTTTGTCGTATTGGAGGTAGATGGTAAAAATTTGGGGTGAATGATAAGCTTAACAACAATAAAAAGGACGTGCCAGCAAGGTGCTGTATAAAGAAGCTGACAGTCCACAGATGATATGTCTTCCTCTTGCAGTCTTTAAAGTGGCCTTCTTCTCACACTCACCTTATAGAGCGCATCTACTTTCAGAGTAAACCCATCCACACCTGGCATGCTACTGACCACGTGGAAATCAGGCAATTCGGAAGCAAAGTGGGCCTCAAAGGGCACGTCATGGAAGTACTTATCGGTTACCTCTGGCTGGCTGCGGTCCTAGATTTTCAGGGGGAAAAAAAAGAGATTTAGAAAGATGGGACCACTGGACTGGCCAGCAGCAGTCACGGGGAAGAGAAAGGTCCTCTCCGCCTGCCTGGGGTTGCGGTCAGGAGAGAATGCACAGCAGAAGCCCTCTCCTTGGGTCGCCTCTGGGCACCACCACCCCCTCCAAGGGAGGACACCTGGCGGCCTCTGTGATCTCAAAACACAGAGAGCGGGATATCCTAGGCAAATAACTCTCAAGCTATTTGGTCTCAGGAACATTTATACACTTAAAAATCAAGGACCCCAAAAGTCTTTTGTTTATGTGGTTTGTATCTATCAGTATTTACTGTATTAAAGTTAACACTGAAAAATCAAGAAATACTATTTATGAATTCATTTTAAAATGTCAGTGAAAAACCCATTACATATTAACATAAGTAACATATTTTTTTTTAGAGAAAATACCTATATTCACCCCTACCTTCCCCCAAAAAGAGCTGGCATTGCTTTATATTTTTGCAAATCTTTAGAAAAGAACTAGATTCTCATAACTCCTATATTCAGTCAGTTGTGCTATGTTGTTTATATGAAGAAAATGACCTCACACAGTTACTCAGTTTAAAGGGAAGAATATTTTAATAGCTTTTATCAATAACTTTTATCAATAAGGTGATAAGTGCTATTTTAAAAATATTAGTTACAATGTGGAATCTGAAATCATATCAATAAACCTTTCATGCTCTCTACACTCATGAAGGAATGAGTGTGAAAAAGGCAAATGTCATCATACTGGTAGGAACGTAGTTTTGACCTTGTGGACTCCCTGAATGAGTGCTGAGGATGTTCAGGGTCTCTGGGCCACACCTCGAGAAACACTGGGCTAGACTTCCCTTTTCCTGGGATATTAATAATAGCTTGTCTGTTACCCACTATACCATCAGATCTGTACTAGAATTCAGCTGATCAGAGAGAAGCAACAACAATAATATGTATATATGTATTAGACACACAAATATATAAAACCGTAAAGAGTGGAGTTCTATTAGCTTTAGACAGGACTCAGAGCTGAGAAAATCTACTCAAGTGTCATCTCTTTAACATCAACAGTTACATACCAGCAGCAAGAATCTGTGTTTTAGGTGTTTGTTTGGCTGAATGCACCCATACTGTGGCCCTTCATTGTAGATTGTCCCAGTGGGATCAAAGAAAGGCACATAGCCATCCTTGCCAGTACAAAGATAGACTTTCTCCAGCTGGAGTTTGTAAGCAGAATTAAGGTTTTGTTCTGGATTCCAAAGTACTCGGCCATAAAGGATTTGACCTGGAAAGATTGGGCAGCATTAATTAGGTCAGACTTTAAAGAGAAAGAAATGTCAAGGGTAGAAGGGATTTAACACACTCTCTTAGAGACAAAAATACCTTTCTATGAAGAGCTCTATGAATCCATGTGCTTCTTTTATTCAAAATGTATTAATTAAGCATTTAAGGTATGCTAAGCACTCTTTTATGTGCAGGGAATACAAAGGTGAGGGAGATGTAGCTGAGAGGACAGTCATGATAGCTAAGTAATTGCTAAAATAGCTAACATTTATCAAGCTTATACTATTTGCTGGGTACTGAACTAAGTCCTTTCCATGTAAGAACTCATATAGTACTGGCAATTTCACAAATGAGAAAATCAAGGCACAGACTGGTTAAGTGACTTGTTGAAGGTCACAAAGTTAGGAAGTGGGATTCAAAGTCAAGGTACTTTGGCTCTACAGCAGTGATGGCGAACCTTTTGAGCTCGGCGTGTCAGCATTTTGAAAAACCCTAACTTAACTCTGGTGCCGTGTCACATATAGAAATTTTTTGATATTTGCAACCATAGTAAAACAAAGACGTATATTTTTGGTATTTATTTTATATATTTAAATGCCATTTAACAAAGAAAAATCAACCAAAAAAATGAGTTTGTGTGTCACCTCTGACACGCGTGTCATAGGTTCGCCATCACTGCTCTACCGCCTACACTATTCACCACCACAACTTTATGCTGTTGTCAGCCACAATAGAGGAAGGTACATGAAGTTAAATAAGCATGTCGCTGAGCAAAGAAATCTGCCTGGGGAGAGGTATGGAAGGTTATAACAAGGAGACGATATTTGAGCATAATCCTGAAACATGAGTAGGTGTTTGTCAGATAGAGCATCTGAGATGGAAGGAGGAGGCAGGGAGAGCATTCTAGGGGAAAGAAACTCCAGTACAAAATACTGAATGCTGGAAGGGTATGAGTCCCAGGCACTTAGTGCCTGATGCGACAACAGTTCTTCAGCTACACTGTCTTATTTAAATCCTCCCATGAGCCCGAAGAGATAGGCTCAATTATAACCCCTGTTTAAAATAACTCATCCAAGTTTTCCTGTCTGTGACATGAGACACAGGAGTTGAGCACAAATCAGTTCGCCTCCAAACGCTTGTCCAGAGCATTTGCTCTGTGGTAGGTCAGTGTGATTGGATTGTAGGATGAGTAGAAACTCCAGCAGGAGAGGCTCCCATGAAGATAGACTCATGGTGCTGAGGATTCTGGACTTAAGTATGTAAGTAAAAAGGAACACTGGGAGCTTTTAAGCCTGGGCATAATGTCAACACACCTGGGCTTCAGAAAACAGAATGGAGGAACCTAAGAGTCTTGAGTCACAGAGATCAGATAAGGGCTATTTTAATGCTCTAGTGATAGATAGCTAAACTATAGTTGAGAGGCAAGGGGGTGGATTCAAGCAATGTCTAGGAGTTGGATTCCATTCATTTCAATCATGGATGGGATGGGGAGGCGAAGAAGAGAAGGATAACCTTGAGGTTGTTTCCTGGGGCACCTGGAGAATGGGGATGCTGTCAGCGGGGCAGTGGATAGGGGAGAAGCACGTTTGGAGGGAGGTAAGTCCAGCTCTAGACATCGCTAGGCATCTGAAAGACAGCCACTGGAGAGGCTTGGTGGTTCCAGACTGCACATGGAAATGAGGAATGAAGCTCAGGCGAGATCAGGAATAAGGTCACCTTTTGTGGAATGGCTGTGAAGTAGTAGGACTCTAGCAGGTTCAGAGTAAACAGATGGGACAAGCCATGGGGATGGCCAGAGGTAGCACTGAAGGGAGAACAGAAGGAGCCAAGCAAAGAACATGGGGACAACAACATACACAGGGCAGAGAACAGAGTCCCAGGGAAGAAGAGTGAGAAGTGGTCAGAAAGGCAAGACCGTGTCAGGTGAGGTGGTGAAAAGGAAGCCAAATAGAAAAAAACGTGTCAAAATCCATGGACTTAGTGTCATCGACAAGAGAGAGTTCTGAGCGGTGGTGGGACAAACCCAGCCTGCAGTGGGTGGCCGGAGCACTGACTGTGAAGAAAGGCCATGGCGATAGTGTATGCTCACCGCTCCCTCAGGAAGCTCCTCAAAGAAAAGAAAAGAAGGTTTGAAGTGGAGGTAAGGTTGAGAATTTTTTTTTCCTGTAAGGGCAGGACTTGAATGTGTTTTGAGGATGAGAGAAAAACTCAGATATGAGGAGAAGATTAAAAGAAAAAGGCAGAAGGGGTAATTGAGAGAGGAAAGGCAGATCTTGTTTAATTAATTTATTCATTCAACAAATATTTATTGGGCACCCAGGCACTGGTGGTATGTTGTGCAAATTTGATCACAATCTCTGTTCTCAAGTAACTTACAGTCTACTGGTAGAGATAGGCAACACATATGGAAATAATTCTATATAATAAAGAAGTAATATGCAAAATGACCCTCATGCCCTCACAAGATGGCTGCCTATGACCAGGCCGGCAGGGGGGTTAGTGAGGGACGACCAAATGACTGAACAAGCAGGCTGCATGGGGTGACCAGGCTGGCAGGGGAATGCAGTTCGGAGGGATCAGGCCAGCAGGGGGGGCAGTAAGGGGTGATCAGGCTGGCAAGGGAGGCAGTTAGGGGCAACCAGGCTGGCAGAGGGGGGTAGTTGGGGGCAACCAGGCCAGCAGGGGGGGCAGTAAGGGGTGATCAGGCTGGCACGCAGAGGTAGTGAGGGGGGATCAGGCTGGCAGGGAAGAGCAGTTAGGGGCGACCAGGCAGGTGAGTAATTAGGAGCCAGCAGTCCAGGATTGTGAGAGGGATGTCCAACTGCCGGCAGTAAGACATTCCCCGAGGGGTCCCAGATTGGAGAGGGCGCAGGCTGGGCTGAGGGGACCCTCCTCCCCATGCACGAATTTTGTGCACTGAGCCTCTAGTATATATTATAAAACATTAAAAATGTGACAAGCACTATAAAAACTGAAGAGTGTTCTGTGAAAGTGCAAACTATGAAGGTCTCTGTTAGACTGTCCAATGTGATCAGGGAAAGGCTTATTGAGGAGATCAACATGTAAGTAGAGACCTGAAGGAAGAGAGAGAGCTAGCCTTTTGAAAAGTCAAGGTAACCATGTGTGGGCCAAGGAGGGGGCAGAGGAACCATTACAAGCAGAGAAAGTATGATGGAGAGCACATATATGTTTGGCATATCTTTGAGGCTGGCAGGCAGTGGGGATCACACTGCAATCTCTCTGAGGAACTGAGAGATAAAGCAACCTGCCCAGAGTCAGTGTGTTAGAATCTGGTTGGAAACTCCAGTCTTCTTACCACTCAGACCAGTGCTTTCCCACAGTGCCATACTGCCAATGACTATACTGCCAAGTGTGTGATCTTATTGTGAAACTAGAAGCCTGGTGGGTGAATTCATGCACGGGTGGGGTCCAGCCAAGGCCGATCGGGAGCAGGGCTGGCTGGGGGGAGGGGCCACAGGCTGTTGGCCAGCTGGCCCAGCCACTCCCAGTTGAACTCCTGGTCAAGGGGATAATTTGCATATTAGCCTTTTATTATATAGGATGACATGAAGGAAGAACACGGGTCTGTTCCTTTGACTACATGCTGGCTGCACGGGCATCCACCCTGAGGGAATCTTCACTGGCAAGTTGACTGAAAGCTGATGAGCAGAGATGTTGGTCCAGGGGTTTACTTGAAAACTTCTTGCATTCAGCCATGGTCTCTTTGTGCAGGCGAAGGGAACAACTCACCTTTTGAGAAGGCTCCTTTGTAATCCATTTCTGCCAGTGACATATCAGATGTGTTGGGATCCATCAGAAACACCTTCTCATTATTGCAGAGCTGAAATTCAGTATTGAGAGAATACACAACGGGCACAGGGCGGTTGGTCTGCTGGAATGCAATGGGTATCAGGAATCTAAAAGTGGGAGAAGAAACAAGAGCTCCTTGAAAGCAGGTCAACTTTGCAAAGGTCATAGGAGCTGTCCTCCCCTCCCCACCCTTCTCGGGATTGTGAGCAGTGCTTTGCTGCAGGTGCTAAATATTTACTGAATGAAGAGGTGTGTATAGGAGAGGAACTTGATTCGTTTTCTTTCATAGTACTGATCATGGTTTAATATTTTGGTGAAATATGTCACTATCTGACTGAAATCTACTTCATGGCCCATATCTATTTGCTCACCATTGTATCTTCAATGCTAGCCAAGCTCCAGATTCACATATTTGTTACAGAGTAGCACATGCGTGATGATTTTAACGCTTTACTCTTCCAATAGAGCACATCTGATTACTCCTTACTTTTATCGAAGGTGCTCCAGTGGGTAGATTTGAAAGTATTGGAGAAGGAACTTGGGGTATAGGAGATACCCACATAAGCCAGGGCTGCCCTACTTCAACAGCTTTGCTGTAACCATTAGTTGCACTAAGAGTTCATATATCTGACTCAGGGAAACCATTTTTTCTTGTTAATAGTTGCATTACCAGAATCCACATAGTGCCAGGGACATAGGACACTCAATAAATCTTAATTGATTCAACAGAAGGAACAATGGACTCACGATGGTGATGATGACGATGATTTATAAGGTTAGAATGTTTGACAGAGCTCACAAAATTAGGCATAATATGAAACACAATTCTTTTGAATGAAGTCTGAGTTCCCTGAGTCTGTCTTGATTGTTTTTGTGTTATACTTCTATTGCATCCACATAGAGCCATAGAGATGATCAACAGCAAGGTGAGGCCCAAGGAGAAAGTCACTGGGAATAATGGAGAAGGATTTCCAACCCTGAAGCCTCAGTATACTCAACAACACCCTCCCCTGCAGCCTCCCTCACCCACATGGCGCTGAGCCTGCAGATAGGCTGGTGTCTTTGCTCCTTTTACCATTTTCACACCAGTGTTCCTGTCTTGTTTTACACACAAAAAAAATCCAGCACCTACCCTGAAGAAAGAGTTCTTTCACATATACACTAAAAGACACGTATCATATCCTTTGTAATAGAGAGAATCTGAAATTACAAGCCAAATAGAGTGGTAAACAAGTTATGGGTTATTCCTACAATGAACACCTTAACGCAATGAAAACCAAACCACAGCTACATGAACCAACACAAATGTAGATTCACTTATGAATCAACATTTGATTCACTGAGCCAAACAAAAAAAAAATCTGCAAAGAGAATTCATGCAGTCTGAAGTCATTTATTTTTTTATTATTTATGTATTTATATACATTTTGAGAGAGAAAAAAAGAGAAAAAAACATGTCGATGTGAGAAACTTCCATCAGTTGCCTCCTGCATATGCCCGACTAGAGATAGAACCCACAACCTGGGTATGTGCCGAAGATGCTCCAACCAACTGAGCCACATTAGCCAGGGCTGAAATTTTTATAGAGAGTTTAAAAACAACCCACACACACATCAGGTAAAACCACATAAAAGTAAATATGAGGTGAACCATGAAAACCAGAGAAGAGAAGTACAGCCTCAGGCTAGCAGTTACCTTCGGGGGAGGGGGAGGGAGTGCAGTTGGAAGGGGCACTGAGGGTATTTAAAAGGTACTGGTAATGCTCTATTTCTTTTTTTTTTCTTTGACTCCATTTGTTACAAAGTGGAAAAAACAGTGTCAATCTTGTGGGGGAATCACTGTAGTGAGAAGTAAAGTGAAGAGCTTAGTGCAGGCCCACCACCTAGTCCACACTCCACACATGGTCATTAATGTCACTGGTAGTTAGTATCATTCATTTTATCATCCGTATCACAGCCCAGGGGATATTCAATTCGTTGCAGTTGCAATTCACATCAGGTAATGTTCTATTTCTTGAGGTTTTATATATGTTCTATATATGGTTTCTGAGTATCTAAAACATTTCACAATTTAAAAACTTTAATATATGAGTAAGATTCCCCAGCATTTGTCACGTTTGCCCTTTATTGCAGCCAACTACCACTTTCCTGGTCACCTTCCCGCCGACATTTGGCTGACTATGTGCTCTCTAGCATCGCTCCTGGTGATTTCAGTTTCCAAATGGATGAACCATCTAACGTCCCAGCCTCCCAGTTCCTGATGTCCTCACCTCCAAAGAGCTTGTTCTCTGAAGACACCCATGCTTCACAGTCCTACTATGCACCACCTCCAAAATCTCATTTTCAAACTCCTCACTTCTCTAACTGGCACCTCCTATCTTTCCTGCTCTCCTCTTCTACACACCCTCTCTAATCCTGAAACCACACCAAGACCTCCCTGACCACTTTCATCAGGGCGCAGGGGAACTAGAACTCTGACACACCCATGAGGGAAATGTACACACATTGTTACATATTTGCAAACACTTCGGAAAAAGTGTGGCAGTTCCTTAAAAAGTTAAACATTCATGATCCAGCCATTCCATTCCTAGGCATTTACACAAGAAAATAAAAAGCATATGTCCATATAAAGGCATATACATAAATATCCATTGCAGCTTTATTTATCATTGCCACAACTTGGAAACAACCCAAATGTCCATCAACCCATAAATCGACAAACAAATTGTAGCATATCCATGCCATGGAATACAATCCAATAATAACAGGAACAAAATACCGATATACTAACCCATGAATGGATCAAATAATCATGCTGAGGGAAAGAAGCCAGAGAGAAAGAATGTGTACTGTGTGGTGGCATTTATATAGCTTTCTAGAAATATAAACGAATCTGTAGGGACAGAAAACAGGTCAGTGGGTACCGAGGATAAGGAATGGTTAGGTGTTGGGAAGCATGAGACTTGGTTGGAAAGTTTGTAAGGAAGACATTCTTAGAAAACGGAAGTGTGCGGAAGGCCGCCTGCCCTGTTTATTGGGATACCAACTTAGGGGAGTGCTGAAGGCGGTGCCCCTAATTATTCCTTGACCTTTCCAAAGAAGTCTGTGGATGAGCAGATCCCCGGGTGTTTACTAGAATCCTTATGCTTAATCTTTGGGTGTCCTCGCTTAAAGGACATTACAAACACATGTGTCCTCCCAAAATTACTTACCCTACTGATTGTATCTAAAAGATAAACTTTATCTCAAACTGCTGCTACAATAAAAGCCTAATGAGGCAGGCAAACGAGGCTGCCTGGTTCCTTTAGCCAGGTAGTCCCTTAGCCCTCTCTTTTACAGCAAACATTGTGTGGGAGTAATTCATTCATCCCTCGCTCAGGGTCTGCTGGTCAGCCCCGGCAGTTAGGGTGGGATGGGAGGGAAGGATTACAAAGAAGTATGAAGAAACTTTTGGAGGAAATAGGTATATTTACTATCTTAACTGTGGTGAGGTGTTACAAGTGTATGTATAATTGACCTTGAACAATGTGGGGAGTGGTGCTAACACCTGCCCAGTAGAAAATGTGCGTATAAGTTTTGACTCCCCCAAAACTTTACTAGTAGCATACTATTGACTGGAAGTCCTACTGATAACATAAACAATTAACATGTATTTTGTACATTTTATATATTATATATGCTATTCTTACAACAAAGCAAGGTGGAGAAAGAAAAAGTCAGTAAGAAGATCATATGAGAAAATACTTCCTCCTCTCTCCCCAAACCTCAGAGCTCCTCATGGAGAAAATAGATCCAATCAAATATGTACTTTGTCCTCCTTATCCTCCCAATCCACGAATCCCCCTCCACCTGTCTCCTCGGGCTGCCTGCCTTCCTCTTTCTGGTTCTAGAGAAGGCCAGCCCTGTCCTGATTCTGCCCCTGCCTTACTCCAGGACCTGGCTCTGCAGATTTCCCCCTCTCACAACACCATCAAATTCCCCATCACAGACCGATAGGGTTATTCTTACCAACATACAAACATCCTGAAATACTTTCAACCTAAAACACAAATAAAACCTCCATTGACACCTCATGTTTCTAGCTACTGCCTCTATCCTCTGCCGTCCTTTACTCACTGTTTTTCCCTGTTGTCCCCACGTTGTCGCCTCTCCCTTGAACCCACTCCAATCAGGCCTTATTTCGCTTAGTCCACCGAACCTGCCCTTTGTCATCAATGACTTCCACATCACCAAATCCAATGGCCAGCTCAGTCTCTTAATTTGAAAACCATTCCAAATTGTCTCCTCTTAGTAATAATGTCAAATTCTGTCCTCAGCATCTTTTCTTAGAAATGTTTCTAATTCACTTTGCTCCGCTCTTAGAAAGGGGGCATTGGGTGATAAACTGCCTGAGAGCAGAGGTTCCTTTAATCCCTGCTAGAATGTTCAAGTCCAGGCCAGAGCGAAGCACATAATAAGAGCTGAGTAAGTACTGGTTGAATGAATGAACATAGATATGACTCAGTCTTAGGTCTGAGGTAGGTATGAGCTGATGCATAGTTGATTCTCTTTATTTGTGGTAATGATGGTCTGTAAAGTCACAGTGAACACTGAGTTAGTGAACACTGACCCTGCTCCTGGGGGGAATACAGGACAGAGTTCCTGCAACCGTGGGCCCAACATGGTCATCAACTGATTAACAGCTGACTTGTCTTATGCGTGTTTCTGCTTAAAGACATCTTAGTACATATTGGTGATTCACTGACATAGAACTCACAGTACCAGCACTGAAAGTCACACCTGACATCCCCGAGGCACATCACAGCCTTATTGCACTTAGGAACACCAGATGGCTCTTCTGCACTCTACTTGAGAGCCAATTTAAGTGTTGTTTTTTTAAAAATATATTTTTATTGATTTCAGAGAGGAAGGGAGAGAGAGAAACATCAATGATAAGAGAGAATCATTGATCGGCTGCCTCCTGCACACCCCCTACTGGGGATGGAGCCCACAACCAAGCATGTGCCCCGACTGGGAATCGGACTGTGGCCTTCTGGTTCATAGGGCAACGCTCAACCAATGAGCCATGCCAGCTGGGCGGGAGACATTTTAAACAAGGAAATCACCCATAAAAAGGACAAAAATTCAAACATGGCACTAAACAAACTGTGAGAAGGACACCTGTTTGCTGTATGGGAGCTGAAACATGACCGCGGACCACTGCCTTGCTCAGCCTGAGCTGGGAATGGGTGTCAGGGGACTCGACATTTTGCCACTGTGCATGTTCTTAAATACCATGAAAGCACCCCCACCTCCCACCAAATTGGTTTTGGGATTACAAATAACTGTTATCCAGTAGGCAAATTCATTAACAATGAAGATCGACACTATTTCCCTACCTTTCCGGGGCATGTGCAGTGCAGGCCAAAGGCTTCTCTCCTGGGTCGACCCACGGCTGTGTGGGCTGCACGGTACAAGGGATCAGGAAGATGGTGTACTCCCCTGAGTAGTCCTTTCTGGAAACATGCAGAGCAGATTGCGGTTAGAGGGAATAATTTACCGATTGCTCACCCAGAAATAGTTTCAGAACTTTATGAGTCTGCAAACACAATTTTCAGGAAGTCATCACTGATCATTCTTATCTTCAGAGTATCAGCCAGCTGCTAAATAGAGCTACTTTAATCTATTCAAGTCCTTTTCATGAGGAAAGCTAGAAAGACACACTGTTTATAAAAACCTAACAGGCTCAGGTGAAGACAAAGTAGAACTGGCCACTTCCTATAGATTCCCTAAACTTGTTGGACAATTTCTGTTTAGAGTTTCCTGTTGACTGACAACCCTATTCAATGAACGCATCCTCAACTACAGAAGCTTTATTTATTAACATACAACCATGTCGGCTCCTGCTCTCATGGAAGAGGTAGCAAATGCCTACCCTCTAGAGGAAGCCCCGAAGTCCATTTCATTAGCATCCAATCCTCTCCCAAACTACAGCCTCATCACTTTCTGAAGTTGGAGAACAATATCACTTCTCATAGGAGACTACTCGTTGGGAATGGCCCTGTTTACGGTGGGGCACAGGGTTCTGCAGGTCACGGCATGGAGGGCATGGGCATTTGCACCCTCGCCTACTTCATTTCCCACACTTGCCATAGAGTAATAGTCCAACCCTGGCAGGTTGCCTGGAAGGCAGCCAAACATCCAGAAGCTTCCGGGAGATTCTTCAAGGGCCTTGGGAGGCTGCCATCCATTCACAGAAGAGCGCAGGCCTGTGAATTTTAATTTAGACTGCTGGGCGCAATCTGCAAACGGTCCTCACAGCCACGTGTTTATTCTTTCACCGCTTCTTTTGTATTCTTTATATCTATTTAGTACTAAAGTGATAGCAAAGATTTGGAAATAACTAACTAACTAACTAACTAACTAAATAAATAAAACTTTTATAGGTCATCCTGGGATCAGATTAGTGGAATGGGCCTGGGTAGAACACGGGAGACAGTCTAACCAGGGCTTGGCTTTGCCTCTGCTTTGGTTGCATGATTTTATTTATTTATTTATTTATTATTATTATTATAAATTTTCACCAGAATAAAATTTTTCCATTGACTTTTTTAGAGAGAGTGGGAGCGCGGAGAGATAAGGAAACAGCGATGTGAGAGAGACACATCGATTGGTTGCCTCCCACATGGGCCCTAACTGGTGTGAGATCAAGCCTGAAACTGAGGTACGTGTCTTTGACTGGAATTGAACCTGAGTCCCTTGGGTCCTCGGGCCTATGCTGTAGTCACTGAGCAAAACCAGCTTGGGCTGAATGTTTGCTTTTTAAAATGTTTTATTTTATTGATTTTACAGAAAAAGGAAGGGGAAGGGATAGAGATAGAAACATCAATGAGATAGAAACATCATCTATTAGCTGCCTCCTGCACACCCCTTACTGGGGATCAAGCCTGCAACCTGGGCAGTCCCCTGACCAGGAATCAAACCATGAACCACACCAGCCAGGCTGCTCATATGATTTTAGACAAACCATGCAAATTCTCAGGGCTTAGTTTCTAGGGCCGTTCATGCCCTGCCCTGAAAATCTGTATGTCGGTATGTCCATAGTTTTTGCATCTTCCTGTAAAGCCTGGAGCAGCAGAAAATGAAACTCTGTACACCATATTTGAAAGGCATGAAAATTGACATGTATAAGGTAAATAGCAACCCTTAATTAATAGAAACGCCTAATTAGGCAGAACTCTACTTGCCTGACCCTGGCTTTCAAAAAGTCAGGCCAGACTTTTGCTCAAACCCTGCAGTGGTTCACACTAAAAGCCAAAGTCCACACCCTGGCCTACAGTGCCCACCCCTGGCCCTACCCCATCTCCTTGCTTCTTCATTGCCATGACCCTCCTCTGCTCCAGCCACTCTGGGCTCCATGCTGGTCTGAGCATGTCAGAAATGCTGCCACCTCAGGGACTTTGTCTGAAACCTCTTCCCCAGATAATCTGCTGAGCAAGCCCCTTCCCTCCTTCAAGTCTCTGTTCAAATGCACCTCCTGTGAGGCCTACTCTGAACATCCTAATTAAAATGACATTATCCCCTTCTCCTGAGTCCCCTTACCCTGCTCTGTACCATTTATTTCCCACACCACTCACCACCTTCTAACATGTTAATACTTATATTTATATGTTATTCCTACTCTTGTGTCTTACTTGCAGTGCTGCATACAGGGATATTTATTTTGTTCACTGACACATAGCAAAGGCTTAATAAATATTTGTTAGACAAATGAATGCAGATAAATTGCATGTTCTCTCGGGCTCACAGCCCCACTTTTCCCCATCCTTAAATACCATTTAGGTTAATTTCTTCACTATCCCTGCCAATATGCCAAACACTGTCCTAGATGCAGGTCTTTAATCATACAGCTTTTTTCCCCCTCCTTTGTAAAAAGTAGACATTTCCCACATCTAAACCTGGAGCACCAGTTAGCCCACCTCCCCCAGGAAGCCCTGCTCAGCTCCCAGCCTATCTTGGGCTCTCCATTCCCTGGACAACCATGCCCTTGGGCTTCAATGTTTCTCACCGTGCACAGAGAGTAGAATTTGTGGTGTTTTTCTTCACTTTGAAATTTTTCTATATATTTTATCTCCTTACTGCAAATAGAATCTCCTACAGGATGTTTATTAAGGACCTACATATGCTAAAACCTACAGTTCTGGGGATTCAAGAGAAAGCAAACATGTCTTTTACACTTGGGAAGCTCACAACCTAGTGGAAAATGAGAGTCTATTTAGACCATTATAATATAACTAGAGGCCTGGTGCATGAATTTGTGCACCCGTGGGGTCCCTGGTCCTGGCCTGTAGGATCGGGCCAAAACTGGCTCTCTGACATCCCCCTAGGGGTCCCAGATTGCAAGAGGGTACAGGCCAGGCTGAGGAACCCCACTGGTGCATGCTGGGGAGGGATACGGGAGGTTGGCCAGCTGGGGAGGGACCACGGGAGGGCTCCAGGGCATGTCCAGCCTGTCTCGCTCAGTCCTGATCAGCCGGACCCCAGCAGCAAGCTAACCTACCAGTCAGAGCATCTGCCCCCTGGTGGTCAGTGCACATCATAGCAAACAGTTGAGGGGCCTTAGCATATCACTAGCATATTATGCTTTGATTGGTTGAATGGCTGACCGGTTGACCGGACACAGCATATTAGGCTTTTATTATATAGGACTAGAGGCCTGGTGCACAAATTCATGCACTGGGGGGGGGGGGGCGTTCCCTCAGCCCAGCCGGCACCCTCTCCAATCCGGGACCCCTTGGGGGAAGTCCAACTGCTGGTTTAGGCATGATCCCTGTGAGGGTGATCGGGCCTGCAGAGGAGGGCAGGGGGGAGGGATAGGCCTGTGGGATCAGGCCTAAACTGGCAGTCAGACATCCCTCTCACAATCCAGGACTGCTGACTCCTAACCGCTTGCCTGCTTGACTGCCTGATTGCCCCTAACTGCTTCTGCCTGCCATCCTGATTACCCCTTAACCACTCCCCTGCCAGCCTGATCAATGCCTAATTCCTTCCCTGCTGGCCCGGTTGCCCCCAACTGCCCTCCCCTGCTGGCCTGGTTGCCCCTCATTGTCCTCCCCTGTCAGCCTGGTCCCCCCTAACTGCCCTCCCCTGCAGGCCTGCCCCCCTCCCAACTGCCCTTCCTCCCCTGCAGGCCTGATTGCCCCCAACTGCCCTCCCCTGCAGGCCTGGTTGCCCCCAACTGCCCTCCCCTGCAGGCCATCTTGTGGTGGCCATCTTTTGACCACATAGGGGCAGCCATCTTGTGCGAGGGTGTGATGGTCAATTTTACCTCTTTATTATATAGGATGAGCTGGGTCATAGTAGAAGCTGGAACAAAGTGGGAACAAGGGGGAGGAGCTTCTAGTACTGAAAGAGAGTCAGGGAAGGTGTCATAGAGGGTCAGTATTTGAGTTGTGGCTCAGAGGAATTGGAGTTTTGTAAGAGGAAGGAAGTGGGAAAGGCAGAGGGAACTGCAGAGGCAGTGGGTAGAGATGGGCTATGGGTTTAGGGCTTGGTGAGATATTGAATATGGTGAGAAGGCTGGGTTTGAGATGAGGCTAGAAGAGAGGGGATGGTCTTGTACCTTTAAAGAGTTGGACTTCAGTAGTGGTGAGGAGTTAGCAGAGGATTTAAAGAGGACAGTTTCTCGGCTATAAATTGGGAAAATTACATGCATAATCTCATGATAATGATTTCAAAGGAATCATTACACACAAAAATACCTGACACAAGACCAAAAGCTTATGGCCCTGGCTGGGTAGCTAAGTTGGTTAGAGCATCATCCCAAAAAACACAAGGTTGTGGGTTCCATCCCCAGTTAGGGTACATACAATGACTAAGCAATGAATACATACATAAGTGGAACAACAAATCTCTCTCTCTCCTCCTCCTCTCTCTCAAAAGACCAAAAGTTTATAATTGAAGAAATCTTTTTGAAAATAATTTTTAGGGCAATCTGACACTTCTTTTTTTTTTAAAAAAAAATATTTTTATTGATTTCAGAGAGGAAAGGAGAGGGAGAGAGAGATAGAAACATCAATGATGAGAGAGAATCATTGATTGGCTACCTCCTGCACACCCCATGCTGGGGATCGAGCCCGCAACCCAGGCATATGCCCTGACCGGGAATCGAAATGGTGACCTTCTGGTTCCTGGGTCAATGCTCAACCGCTGAGCCACACCCGGCTGGGCTGACACTTCTTAACTATAAAGCTAGAATAACATCTCCATGGCAAATATAGACCTTACTTTCACAGTCTATAACATGGGGATAATATTATTTAAGACAGACTCCTGGTTTCCCACTATTCTTTTTATGGTAATACTTTTAATTTTGATTTTCCTATTTTTTCTCTTTTACAAATGAGATAATTTACTGTATCTATCCAATTTCTATTCTACCTCTGTGTTGGGTGTGGGAAGGAATACACATTGTTATTTATTTTATAGGGCACTGGGCCATAAGGAGTGACATGTGGACCTAATAATCAGGGATCCTGAATTGTCCCTGCTGGAGGCGATTGGAATGAAATTCCTTTTTTGCACTAAGGTTTTATTTGGCACATTCCCCAGCTTCCCTTGCAGGCAGGAGAACCATATAATTAAATTCTAGCCAATGGAATGTGAGTGAAAGTTATGTATGCTCTGCCTGGTCTTACCCTTAGAATAAGGTGAGTACTTCCAATTTTTGTTTTGTTTTGTTTTTCAGAAGCTGATCTGAGCTACATTTGCTTTCTTCTCTATTAGCTAGTGTTGTTTCTATCCATTCTCCTTTTGAAATAGAAACTAGATGATTGGATAAAAAGAATATAGTACATATATACCATGGAATACTGTTTACCTAACCATAAGAAAAATGAAATACTGCCATTTCAATGACGTGGATGGACCTTGAGAATATCATGCTAAGCAAAATAAGTCAGACAGAAAAAGTCAAGAACCATATGATTTCACTCACATGTGGGATATAAAACTGAAAGCAACAAATAAACAAACAAGAAAAACAAATAAAAACTCATAGACACAGACAATAGGTATAGTGGTTACCAGAGGGAGGGAGGGTGGAGGTAGGGTAGTAAAGGGAGACAGAAAATGATTTGACTTTGGGTGGTGGGCACACAATACAACATACAGATCATGTATCATAGAAATGTACCTTGAAACCTATAATTTTATGAAACAATATCACCCCAATGAATTTAAAAAGAAAGAAATCTAGCCTTTGAAGAAAAGCCCTATTTCCCAAGCTCCTGAAAAGATCTGCAAACATGCCAGTCCTACCCGTGAGTGCCTCTACCCTGTATTCACCTGTTATAAGAGCTTGTGGCTCTCCAGAGTTGATAAGGAGAATCAAAGGTCTGAGCACTCCACAGTAGCTGCAGGCCAAATTCCATTCCTCCCAGGTGGTCTGGAGTCATTATGAAAGACTTCACATCTGGCAGGGTGTGGTGCTCCATCACAAACTGTCCTATTTAAAGGGAAAGCACATGCTTACTTGTGAGCTTTATTGTACTTACAGAGATGTCCTACACATCTTAGAACTGAATTAGTAGTCTTCAATCAAACAATTAAGGTAATATTCACCCTCTTGCTCTTAGAATACATTCTACACTGGTGGGGATAGCATAGCACCTCCCCTCAGTCCATCATCCTACTTGTGATGGCCATTATGATCATAGAGATTTATAACAATACTGGAGGCCTGGTGCACAAAAATGTGTGCATTCGGGGGGCGGGGGTGGGGGGGCGGTCTCTCAGACCTGCCTGTGCCCTCTCGCAGTCTGGACCCCTTCGGGGGATGTCCACCTGCTGGCTTAGGCCCGGTCCCTGGGGAAATGGGCCTAAGCTGGCAGTCAGACATCCCTCTGGCAGCCCGGGAGCCCTTGGGGGATGTCCACTTGCCAGCAGGGAGCAGGCCTAAGCTGCATTCAGACATCCTTAGTGCTGCTGAGGAGGCGGGAAAGGCTCCCGCCACCACTGCTGTGCTGGCAGCCATCAGCCTGGCTTGTGGCTGAGCAGAGCTCCCCACTGTGGGAGCGCACTGACTACCAGAGGGCATCTCCTGCATTGAGCGTCTGCCCCCTGGTGGTCAGTGTTTGTCATAGTGACCAGTCATTCCCAGTGGTTCTGATGTTAGGGTCAATTTGCATATTACCCTTTTATCATATAGGATGAATGTGCCTTGTAGAAATGGGGCTAATGAGGACATCCATAATAGAAGGGGTCCTTATGTGATAATCCACATTGAATAAACTTAGCATTGAATTCCAACCAACATGTTTCTTAACCATAGAAATGTCTCAATGGTTTATAAATAGAAATACCAAATTTGGATTAAAAATATCTTATTTAGCACCACTCAAGTCCTTGGTGGAGGGATACAATTATAAATTTGATTAAAAAGGTAAATGTTACTCATCAAGGCACCTCTATTCTTTAAAACTGCAGTTATATGGTGTCATGAATAAACAAAAGTAGAGAGACTATTCTAGATTAAAAGAAACTATATTAAAAGACATAACAATTAAAAGTAACATAAATCTTGATTGGATTCTTCCGTTTATATAAACAGATATAAAATAAATATAAACTCATATAAAAACAAGTAGAAAAGACATTTGGGGTACAATGGGAAAATATGAACAGGGACTTGATATTACTGGATCAAGTCAAATATCTTGGATGCAGTCATGCTATCGTGATGTGTAGGAGAATGTCCTTGTTCTCAGGAGAGGGCTGCTGAAGTACTTAGGGTAACCTGACATGCAGCCTGCCAAATGGTGCGACAAAAAAATGTGTGTGCGTGTTTGCATGTGCACACACACATAGCAAAAGGTTAACAACTACTGACTTTGCTTTTAATTGTTCTGGTCTTTAAACTTTTCTCTATATTCAAAATGTTTCTTAATAAAAAGCTGAGGAGAGCCCTGACCAGTGTGGCTCAGTTGGTTGGACATTGTCTACTTCCCTCAAAGGTTGCTGGTTCAATTCCCAAATGGGGTTTCAGGCTCGATGCCCTGTAGGGGGTGTGCAGGAGGCAGCCGATAGATGTTTCTCTCCCTCCCTCTATAAGTCAATGAAATTTTAAAAAAACAACAACACAGCACATAACTAAATAAAATAAAATAAAATAAAATAAAATAAAATAAAATAAAATAAAATAAAATAAAATAAAATAAAATAAAATAAAATAAAGTTGAGGAGAACAACAGCCCTGACATTACCTCTGAATTTGGCATGGGTCTTGAATTCAATGACGAGTCGGCCATCCTCTCGAATATAGATTCTTAATATCTGAAGCCTTGCAGAGAGCACACTGTCTGTCTGGATTCCTAGGCAGGCAACCATACACAAAACATCCAAGTTAGGGTGTGGAGAAGACTCCCAGACAGTAACTTACATGGAAGTTTTCCCAGTGACACCTCTAAGTAGACATACACAGTTTTTGAATGTAACTTAAGGAAAAAATTATATATTCACATAAACATAGAATCTATTTAGAGACATTTGCCAATTAAATATCTCTAAACATCTGGACAGTTCATTCTACTTTGTTCCTTTCCACAGTTCCTGTAAGTGCCACTGGCCCAGATGCAGGGCCTCCAGCCCAGAGCTCAGAAAAAAAGGGGTTCCTAAAATGTTTTACATCAGCTTTCCTCCAGGATGTGGTTACAACACATCTGCTTCACAGTATATTTTCTGTTCCCCACCGGGATACCTTTTAGGACTTAACAAAACCCTAAACAAGTCTTGGTGCCTGTGCTCAGTATTCAGGCCAATGAAGAATGAAAGGTGAGCCTAGAAGGCCAGATACAATGGCATGACATGAGTAAGCTGTAGCTTCAGCAAGTGCAGCTGCAATCATGACACCAAGGAGTTCAGTTTGACCAAATATTCATGAGTAACCAAAGGAAGGGGAGAAAATGTTAAAGAAAACAAACCAAAGCTCAAGGACTTAACTAACCCAAAGTATGAAAACTTTCTGAACTTATTTTCCTATGAGAAATATAATGGAAATAAATGATATGAGCTTAAATCATTTAACAGAAGAAAGGGCTATACTTTCCATGACTAGAAATGAGGCCCATGTAAAGAAAGCTCCTCAGATCTGTCTGCCTCAGATCCAGTAAAATCACCACTGAGAAGGCCAGAGGGAGAATGAGAGCAGGAGGGGGAAGGGAAATGAATTGGGGGTAATTTTTGAAGTCTAGGACACTGAAAATGGGAAAAAGGCAAAAAATAACTGAGACCTACTGGAGTGAATGGAGGGGGGATCATGCAGTTTTAAGGGGCATTCATGTGGTGGCAGTGGGAGAAGGCGGGTGGGGGAGACATGAGTAAGGTGTGAGCTCCCAGCTGAGGGGCTGTCACCAATGCAAGCCTGAGGTGAAGGTCATTTTAAATATTCAGCATTGAAATCCCTGAAGTAACAGTGGGATTAAAGTCTTTTTTTTTTTTTTTTTTAACTTTTAAGAGTGCCACAAAAGAGCAAACAAACTCTAAGCCAGACAAATAAAGTGAGCTAAGTTGCTTTTGATATATATTTTTCGATTTCCATGTATCTAATTTGAAGATTCCTCTTGCTCCTTAAATGCGAATCCCACCATTTTTTAGCTAAAAAGAGAATGAACATGATTATGCTCCAAAAGAACACACACTCCTTGGAGCCCCTAATGGGCAGTCCAGGACCCATCTGTCACTTGCCATCCTCTACTGTGGGCCCCTCGCTACCTGGGCCCAATTTCTCACCCCTGGAGGTCTTTCAGCATCAACATCAACATGGATGGACCTCCTTCTTTTTCAGGAACCACAGATCTACACTTCCCAGACTCCAGGCAGCCCTCCTTGGACTGGACACAGAACAACAGGATGAAGAATGCAGCGACTATTAAAAGTCAGTTCTTATTTTTTCTTTGAATCTTGCTGGAGCATAAGGTAGGAACAGTGAAGGTGTCAATGGGTGTACCTGTTCTCCAGAGAACAGTGTCATAGAAGAAGGAAAACTCCATCTCGGTGTGGTGCTCCAAGGAGGCCCAGCCCCGGGGCGCCGTCACGTAGATGTAGGACACATAGAGAGGCACGTGCACGGTCAGGAACGACTGCGCAGAGTCTCTCACCTGCCAAGCAAACGGAGTGCGCACAGGGAGGTTATTTCTTTCCTGGGATGAAAGGGCGGACGGTCATCACATCTCAGCTCCACCTTCACTCCCTCCATCCGTCACTCACTCAATCATTATTAATCAAGTGCCCACGATGGTGGCAGGTACCAGGCTAGGAGCTGGGCCCTCAAAGTGGAAAAGCTAAATGACTGCCCTTACAGAGCCTACAGTCTAGTAAGGAAGATACGTCATAAATAAAGAGATGGAAGTGGCCAGGGTGCTTCTTACGTAGGGTAATCTGGGCAGGCTTTTCTAAGGAGGTGACACTTGAACAAAAACTCTTAAAGAGCGTGAAGAAGCTTTGTTTCCCCTGTTCAATCACTGAAAGCCTTGGCTGAGACTTTACAGTTTCACAGTTATTCCTAAAGGGCTGAACACAGACCTAGGATGTACTGCCAAAACACAGCAGCCCCTCACTGACTGTACTTTCCAGTGACCGTAGGAGAGCCTGAATTAACCCTACTCGGGAAGATGCCCAGGTCTGGATCCCGGGGATGAATGTGTGGCTGACTTGGATGTTTCAGTGAGCACCCGCAGCTCATTTATAGGAAACTTACCGACGGCTCAGAGCTGCGTATTCTTGGACAATTTGCCATCTCATACAATGCTGTGTTGAAATAGCTTTGAAAAGGCAGAACATCGTACTTCCTAAGGGAATTCCTGTTTTCATTTTACTATGCAATGAACAAAAACTGGATGGCGAGCTAACATGCGCAGAAGGCTTTACGTCGAGGCTAACTGTGTACATGTGTGTATGAGCGGGGAGTTGGTTTACTCATTTTAAAATGTTTTCTATTTTTCTTCATAAATGTATCTTTCTTTTACAATAAAAAATTTAGTCTAAAACAATTTTATTTTTTTCACTGGCCAAATACACTATATTTCTTTTTGGGGGGTTGAAAATACAAATGTAGGGTGTTTCCATGAGTAAGTAAGGGAAAGAGCCAAATGCTTTATTATTTAGGACATCAAACTTTATTTTTCTAAAGTATTTTTTCATATTCAATGTTGTCAGGGATTTAAAATTTGGCACGAAATTTCCCCAAAGACTCTACTAAGTCCATGTTCGTTTAAAAATCTCTGATATTAGAATCTCCATAACTTCTTGAGTTGATGGGCAAAATTAATTTTTCCTCCTCTGTTTCTATTTATTCTCCTTTAACCTTCATATTAATTAATAATTTTAAAAAAGAAAAACATCCCTGATAACTATTATTGTATACCTATTTTGTGCCAGATATGTTAGATGTCTTCTAATATTGAGATTATTAGTGACTATTTCAGAGGAGGTTCAGAGCGGTTATGTCTCATTCAAGCCTATTGATAGTTGACAAAGATATGAAGTAGGGCTTGTTCTAAGTTCTATAGTCTTTCTAACATATATCAGCTGTTTCAACTATTTTTAAAGAAACAGACAATGGCCCAGCCAGAGTGGCTCAGTTGGTTGAGCATCATCCTGTGCACTGAAAGTTTGCTGGTTTGATTCCTGGTCAGGGCACATACCTGGGTTGTGGGTTTGATCCCCAGTTGGAGAGCATATGGAAGGCAACCAATCGATGTGTTTCTCTCTCTTTCTCTCTCCCTTCTTCCCTCTCTCTCTAAGCATGTCCTTGGGAGGATTAAAAAAAAAAAAAGAAAATAGACAATGATGAAGTATTTCTATGTATACATTATTTCTATGTTGGTTTAAGAAGTGGGACATATAAGATCCTTTATCTTAGAGATTTTCAAGCATAGACTGAACAAAATAGCCTGAAACATAAAGTAAAATCATGGAGAATACTAACTTTTGAGGGGCCTGGGAGGAACCAATCATTCAGTTTTGCATTTTCAAAAGTGAATGGAGGGTATAGATTTGCAGTGATAAAAAGAAAACCTAAGAATGCCTTAAAAGTCTACTCAGCAGAGGGCAGTCGTGTACACAAAATGAGTTAACCAAAATGAGAGGCATCACAAACAAAACAAATTTGATTCAAAGGCACTTTTCCAAAATGATTAGTCTAAGTCCCTCTACAAGTTCCCCCTGTTAGTGTGGTTAAAACTGATTTGAAATGAAGACCACATGTAATTTTCAGTTCATTGAGAAATACTTTAGAATTATTTTTCCCATGAGGATGCATTAGTCTAGTGGTCCCTTTGATATAACTGCCCCCCAAGTGGCTTCTTGCTATAAAATTTTCTTTTGTCACTAATATTTAATAACTATTAAAAAGGGTCTATATTTACAAGGGTTATCAGTTTTGAATAGATATAAAATCAAGGTGTTTTAAAAAATTATCTCTCCCTTAGTCTTAGGATGACAGTGTTCTACTTACCTGTCATTTTGACTCATTTCCCCAGGTGGGGAAGGAAACACTCTACCATAAAATATAAATCTTTTTGGCTTTCCAAAATATACCCAGAGGAAAAACACATATATTCCAAAAAGCAAGCATTAGATTTTTATATAAATGATTGTACCAGACAGTAAGCTTTTTCCACATTAATTTGAACATTTTCCCTACCACGCTTCCAATTAGTAGATTTAGATGACCCTCTGGGGGCACTACCGCTGAGGTCTCACTTGAGGGACTGTACAGACTCCCTTAGTTGGTTGGCCCCATTCTGGGAGCCACTGGATGCAAAGTGTTAACAGAAGCACTTTAGGACCAAACAGGTTTCACACGGCACCCAGTGCACAGCCTTCAGACAAGCCCCCGGTGCACCCACCTGGAAGTCGGCAGTCACGGACCCCCCACAGACGTCAATTAACTCGGTCATGTCGTAATAGGCATCAAAGGTCCAGACACAGCTCTTCAGGTTGAGGTGTTTGTAGAGCTGGATGGTCTTGGGCTCCCGGACACTGGGGTCAAACTGGAAGGGGCGGTCATAGCCAGGCCCCATGGCCGTGCTGTCGTAGACCTTGTCGTCTAGGAACCCTGCCTCTGTGGGTGACGGGGGACAAGAAATAGTAACCCAGTGTGCAGACTTGCCCTTGCTGGCTGCCCAGGAGCTGGGTGGGGAGAAGGGAGACGTTCCTCTGAGACTGATAGAGTTCTCCCTCCATCCGAGACTCTATTACTAGAGCAACCCAGGGCTCCCAACACACACAACAAGTGGATGGGCATTGGTTAGCTGCCTGCTGCCACGGGTTAGAGTGCCTGGGTTCACAGACTCCTCTAAGGGGCTGCAGGAACCTGGGAAGAAAAGGGGAACAAATGCTACCGTAACTGAAGACCTCAGCTCCGTGGCCCTGCTTATCTTGGAAAAGAAAACACACTGAAGCTTTGCCACACCCGGCAAGTCTGGTTCTGTGCTTCACAATCAGCCCTTGAAGAAATGGGTTTACTATATGGATAATCTGTTGATGAGTTAATTATTTTTCTAAGACCAATTTTTTAAGACTGATTTTTATAAAATAGCTTTTATGAAAAGCCAACAAACATCTGTCTATGCCTTCCCCACCCCACAAAGTTCCTGAACTCTTGGGGGGAAAAAAACAACTTAATTGTATGTTAATGAGCAAATAGCTCGCTAATGATGCTTGACTAAAACTTCCCTGCCACAGTCAAAAATTATTGGATCAAATGCTGCCAAGCAACTGAACTACTTTAAATTAAGGAAGACCTTTATGCCATAGAGGGCTAGACACAGATACAACTTCAGAATATTAGGGCTGAGATTTTTAGAGTACTAAAAGAACTCTCGTATTCTGCAAAAGTGGATGCATTTTTTTAGCACCCAACCATCTGCCCCACGAGGACTAGGATCTCAATTCACACGTGTTGAATTTAATTATTTGAGTAGGATGAGGTGCAAACTTTCAGCCATGAACATAGTATGTTTTTTTTCTCTAGCTCTGTATGTGGAGCGATTATGCTTTCATGTATAGCTCAGTGACTTGGGAATAATTTACACTCAACTAATTTCTACTATATGAAGACCCTCACTACACAAAGTGGTGCTTAATGAATAAGAAAGAGCATATGAATGCTTTTCTATCTTCAAAAACACTGTTAAATGGCTCATCAGCGTAAAGGCAGGAAGAACGCATTTAGTGAGCACTTTCTAAAGTCAATGGGAAGGGACTGGATCCTTAGTAAAGTAATGTCTGCTGTGGGAGAGGCACCACCCCAGCCATCAGCTCCTTAGGGTCTGTGTCAGACACAGAGACACTCAGCCCGAGGCCACGCCCTGGCTGGGGCACCAGTATCCAGTGACTGAGCAAGGCGGGTAGAAGGTCTGTCCCTTGGAGCTGACAATAGGACAAGTCTGACTGGTGGGCACACTCCAAAACTCTGGGGAGAGCTAGCTAGTCCAGGCTTCATCGGGCTGCATTGCAGCTGGACTTCTCCCTCTGTCCAGTCCTGCTTCCTCTCCTTCCCGTTCATCTTGGCCCCTGACTCCACCTCTGCTCCTGCTCCTGGAGAACCCATCCTAGAACAGGTAACATCTGCACATGAGCTTCCTAAAGAGGCTGTGATCATGCGATTTATGGGCACAGATCATAACATGCTCACTTAGAGGGAAGGGAAGGAACAAAAATGTACCATAGGTGGCGCTTTAAAAATGCCAATGCATTTATGTCAGTCAGAGAAAGACAAATACCAAATGATTCCACTTGTTTGTGGAACCTAAAGAATAATACAAACGAACAAAGAAAACAGAAACAGACTCCTAGGTACTGTGAACAGACAGATGGTTGCCAGAGGGGAGGAGGCTTGGAGGACTGGGTGACGGGATTGAGAAGTACAGATTGGCAGTTATAAAATAGTCATGGGGATGTAAAGTACAGCATAGGGAATATAATCAATAATATTGTAATAACTATGCATGGTGCCAGGTGGGTACTGGAAATATCAGGCAGAACACTTTGTAAAGTATATGATTGGCTAACCACTGTGCTGTACATCTGGAACTAATACAAAATAATATTGACTGCAAACTAAATAAAAAAAAATAAGTGAATAAATAAATAAAAATGCTAATGCATTTAATCCTCACCTTCACTGGTATCAATTGTTTCCTCATGTTGTAGGTAAGAAAAGAATGGCTTGGGGAGATCCAGCTATTTTTGTTCAGTTGATTAGGTAGTGGACTAAGGATGTGAATCTAAGTCGGTTTGATTCCAAAGTCCCTGGTTTTTCCTATTCATGTCCTTGTCTGAGCTGCTTAGGTTTGGTTGCCTGCTAACAAGGAAATCCACTAATCATGCGTGTCATGGGTCTGGGAAAACATGAAGAGCAGGGTTCACTCAGTCGCACCTGAGGGCCACTGCGCTGTGCGGGAGCGGGTGAGCCAGCACAGACGCATCCCTCACCTGACATGCCTCTCAGATCGCGGGTGGTGACGAGATTGGAGCAGATGTGCTGGTGTCTGTAGATGGACTCGGATAACAGGAAATGCAGGTTGTGCAAGGGCATGGTGGAGATGAGGGGCAGCATTCCATCCTGGTGTGGGATCTGCACCGAAATGTGGATTCTAAGGGGGGAAAGGGCAGAACAAAGTGTGTAGGTGCATGCTATTAGCAGTCCACAGGGTACATTTCTTTCTCAAACCCCCCTTTTGTCTTCACCAGTGAATTTCCCAATTTTTTTTTTGTTTCCCAAAGCTTTCCATGTTGTAAGATTTCTCTCTGAACATGAGGGTCTGATGCACACGTGGGGTTGTTTTTTCTCCCAAGAGATCCTTCAGACTCAGGACTGATAGCAATCAAGAATTATAGATTTTTTTTGTTCAATACAAGAAAAGATAACATCACAACCACAGATTACTTTAACGCTTTCTTTTGCTTTGAATGGAAGCTTTATTTCCTCATGAGCCAAAGCTGAGTGACGGCTGGCTATAGGCTTTCCTTCTGTCTCAGTGAGTGTGTGGGGGTTGGGTGGGGTCAACACTCGTATTTCTTTAAAAAATATGTTTTAAAAATAAAAGACATCATTGAGCTCTTACACGCTAAGGCCAATATCTCTATCCAAGAAAATATCTTAGGAGTAGTAATATCCTACTCCTCATCCCATGCCTCCCCAGCTGAAAGGCCTTCCATCTCCTCAGTGGCCGCAGTGGGCAACACGCTCTCCTGTGATCTACATTCCTCAGCCTCTGAGTGCCTTTCCACCAGAAACTCTGTAACTTACTTATACTGGCTGCTATTTCTTGTATGTCTCCCTGCCTCCCCACTCTGAGGACCAGACCATTTCCTTCACTTCTTTTGTTTCTCTAGAGCACGTAGCATACAATTCTAAATAAAATATAAGCCTAATAAATATCGGTTGAGACTGCACCACCGTGGACCTGTACTTATAGGCTGTGTGTTTTTTTCATTGTACCAAGTTTAAATTTTCAGAATGTTTATTGAGGTGCATTTTGAGTTTTACAGCTTATCTCTCAGAGCAAAGACCCACATTTATAAGAGGAATTAGAATTCTGAAATATGAACAGGATGGCTCTTGGTCAGTAGTGCCCTGGTACTTCTGTTATTGCTTTTTAACAAAGATAAATTTTATTCTGTTAGAACAAAAGGATTTGCCTATTTTTAGCTATATATTCAAATCTGTTTTTTTCCCATGCAAATGAGCCCCTTTCCCTGAACTCAGTTGCTCATAAAGGCGCACATATAAACACTGTGAGGTTTAATGAATATGTACAACATACATAAATTCTTTTTCTTTATTTGCTATGCAAAAATGAAAGTATTCATCTTCCATCAAAATCAGGTGGCACAGGAAAACATAAAAGCACATATATCCTCTGGGGAAGCACTGTCCTAGGCACAGGGGATACAAAATAAACACTCATGGTCCCTGCCCTCACCAGCCACTATCGCAGCGGTTCTCAACCTGTGGGTCGCAACCCTTTTGGGGGTCGAACGACCCTTTCACAGGGGTCGCCTAAGACCATATCAGATATTTACATTACGATTCATAACAGTAGCAAAATTACACTTATGAAGTAGCAACGAAAACAATTTTATGGTTGGGGGTCACCACAACATGAGGAACTGTATTAAAGGGTCGCGGCATTAGGAAGGTTGAGAACCACTGCGCTATCGGGACAGAGAGGGAATGAATAGTGATGATGCTCGGAAAGAGGCACATGGGTGCCAGAAGAGCTGGAAAGAGGCTCTTTGCAAATGAAATTGGAGGAGATGATGAGAAGTTCTTAGAAGATATGCTCTGAGCTAAGTATAGTAGGACAACTAGACCTAACTACTCTGCGTGGGAGGGGGTGGAGGCTGGAGTCTGGAGTAGCCGCATGGCAGGGCCGCCACCTGAAAGAGTTTGAAGCCCTGGGGAAGTTGCAGTGATTCTCCGTGGTGGACTGGCAGGTGAAAATGTCAAGGGGAGAGAAATGAGGCTAGGATAGGCAAGGGGACAGAAAGTTTTTCTGAAGCATGCCTCACCACTACATCTGTTTTGCTGAAGCATCACTCTTAGACCCGCCCTGCCTAGAGGACACACACAGAAGAGCCCTCCGCCCCGTCATTGCGGAAAGCACCACCAGCCTGACCTGTTCGGATGCTCCTTGTGTTTGACATCCAGGTACTTCAAGGTCGCGATGAAGGACTGAGCCTGGAAGCCTCTGGCTGTCCCAGCCACGACGGGGGTGTGGCAGATAGCACTGTCTGTCCCGATGGTAACAATGTTGCTCCTTAAGGGGGTCCCCACATGGCCCACTTTGTCTACAGCCTTTGCCACACAACGCACATGGAACCTCCGGCTGAAGTAAATGCTATCCAGGACCTACCGGGAAGAATAAAACACCTCAGACAAGTGTACGCTACTTACACAGCTCCTTCAACTGCATCTTCCGGATGATAGGACACAAGTTTCTGGTACAAGATAATCTGTGAAGACAATTCATCTTCCATCCACCCACCCACTCACCACTTCAGTATGACTCTCTACCAGGAGCCAGGCACTATGGACAGATGGTGAGTACTTAGAGCCTAATTCAGTAAGTCAGACAATGAGCAAGTAGACAGAAGTGGAGCAAGAGCCAGAGATGACTGGTTCCAAGTGCCACACTGTTCTCTTTATTTGTTAGGTTCTGCATAAGAACCTCTCAACAGGTTTTCAGCCCTTCTAGCAAGAGTCATTGGCCTCCAAGTCAAGTTTGTTTAAGGCCTGGTGCCTGGATACAGAGGAGAGATGCTTCCTTCTTAGGAGTTCTTAGTTTTCTTCATTTTCTAATTCTTTCTCTCCTGCAACCCCCATCTAACAACCACACACATAGCTTAAAGCTGGGAACTTGGCTACGGACACCGACTGGTCTTTGAAGGTCTTTCTACAGATTCTTTCATGCTCCCAGACATGCAGAAGCCACAGAGTGCTTAACTCCACCAGTGCAGAGGCAGCGTGGTCACCAGGACTCGTAGGTTATGTGCGCATACAGATGGAGAAGCAAACAACAGGAATGATTATTGGTAGTCTTGTGTGCCGTAGACCTCCCACAAAGCAAACATACACACTTATAAATTCTACCCATGAAAACAATTTTCACTGAAGTCTATTAAAAATTAAAGAAGATTTTCCCATTAAAAATTTTAATTAGCTGCCAATGCCTTATTTGTTTATTTATACATGGACTTAGTTCAGAAGGGATTTGAGGCAGCTTACCAAAATGCATAAAATACAATGATATTAAATAAATAATTGAAGAAATAAAGATAGAACAAAGGGAACTGGGGTAAAAGTATTAGTCACCAATTCGTTGCAAGAAGAAACACTGAAATATAAAGTAAAATTACGAACTTGGTACCTGTTAGAAATATTTGGCTCAAATCAGAGCAAACACCCTTCATAGTTTCGTTGAGTGGAGAATTAGATAATTATGAAACAATACACTATAAAGGCTTGCCATTTAAAGTTCTTAATCATATAAAATATATTTTAAATTTGAGCTAGGTTATGTTGCAAATGACTTAACCTTCTAGTCTTTCTGAATAAGCTGTGCCAAAGCACTGGGCATCAATCACCTCACTTTATCCAAAGCCTCCCATCCATGTCTAATAGTTCTTCCACTAGTATCCCATTGAAGTGATACACTTATTAAAGTGGGAACAAACTGTGGTTTGAATAGGAGAAATGGAGAGAAATTCAGTTTAAAAGAAATTTCTAATTTCCCAGATAATTAAGTGCATAATTTCAGTACAAAGTCATTGAGTGCTTACTATGTGCCAGATATGGGGCTGATCCTGCACCCCACTGCTACCAGCTCTCTCTCTGAAGAGATGAACTTGGCTGGTGTGATGCTCAGCCCCTGTTTCCTTGGCCTGGGAAACCATCTCTGTTCACCGCTCTCTGGTGGTGGCAGAGGTGTTGGTCTGGTCTCCTCTCTCTTTGAGGACAGCAACTGCACTGTGAACTTGCTTTCATGTTTTCCCACAAGACTTTGTACAATGCTGATCACTCAGTAAGAATTTTATCTTTTTTTTTAATAACTGGTCCCTGCTATGTGCCATGGATGCGCTGGCCATTTTGAAAAATACAAATGTGGTAGAACTCTTGGTCCATGTCTTTACAGAGTTTATAGCCTACTTCAGTGGTCGGCAAACTGTAGCTTGCGAGCCACATGCGGCTCTTTGGCCCCTTGAGTGTGGCTCTTCCACAAAATACAGTGCGATTAAAACTTCGTGGCCCATGCGCAGAAGTCAGTATTTTGTGGAAGAGCCACACTCAAGGGGCCAAAGAGCCGCATGTGGCTTGCAAGCTACAGTTTGCCGACCACTGGCCTACTTGTTGAACGATTAGAGAGATGTGAACAAAAAGTGATCTTTAATTGTACCTAACTGGAACCTTTGACTTACTATACCATTTATAGGTCATTTTTACATCTGATTTGCCAATGACCTTGTCAAATGGCTAAGTGGAAGAGGTACAATTTTGCAGATCAGGAAACTGAGACTCAGAAAGATGAAGAATTATTTGGCACAAATGTCAAGAGTGTAGAGGATGAGAAATTCTGTTCCAACATAAGAGTAATACCAAACCTCTCAACATCACATAATTAAAAACAGACAGAATTAAGATTTGTAAAAAGGTTGTCTGAGTACTAGCTTAGTTCTTTCTACTACACCATGTTACCTTCCTTATATATAAGAATAAAAAGACTATGTGTACCTGCTCATTTGCTTATTTTATTTATTTATTTATTATTAATTTTTTAAAAAATATTTTTATTGATTTCAGAGAAGAAGGGAGAAGGGAGAGAGATAGAAACATCAATGATGAGAGAATTATTGATAGGCTGCCTTTTGCATGCCCTCTACTGGGGATCAAGCCCGCAACCTAGGCATCTGCTCTTCTGTCCATAGGCCGATGCTCTATCCACTAAGCCAAACCAGCTAGGACTCATTTGCTTATTTTATTCCAAATGCCATACGTGGGCCTTAGGGAGCTTGACAGAGTCTGAGGAACAAACAGAAATATCAGTTCTTTCCCTACGCAACCAGGCCCAGACCCAGACCTACCATGTGGTTGACACTGGTGAACGGTGTGTTGTCGGTGATGGTCTCAAAGGGAGACCGGGCCCCGTTGCCATCAGTGGGGGCAGCCACTTCCCAGCTGAACTGCACGGACGTCTGGTTGATGCCAGCCTCGCTGCAGCGCTCCCTCGTGATGGCATACTTGGGGAAATGAGGGTCACAAGGGGTGACACAGACCAGTGGGTAACCTGGGGAGGGAGATTTCTTGACTCCTTCTTTGGTAACCTCTTCCACATGGTCATAGTCTGCAAGTGTGACAACCTGCAAAGGAGCAACAAAGCTTCAGCCCTGGTTAGGTGTCGGGAAGGTGAGAGTACTAAGGCTCTAAAGCAGGGGTGGGGAATGTCTGGCCCGTGGGCCCTATTAGGCCCATGAAATCATTTGGTCTCGCCCTGCCAAGGAGTGCGCAGGCAGGACTCAAAATTCAATAAATCTAGGAGCTTTTATTCATAGTAACCTAAGTTTATGTTAAGTGAATTATATTAAGCAAATTATGTTATAAATATCCAATGGCCCTTGGCAGAAAATAGGTTCCCCACCCCTGCTCTACAGGATTCACAAGATCACTTAATTTCCAGGGATTCTTGAAAACATAACAGGAGTTTACAATGCTTTACAAAGCATCCCTAAAAGATAATGCAGACCTTAGGCAGTGGAGAAGATCCTCCTACTGGTCAGCTAGAAGCTTTATTATCTTATTAGCATTATTCATAAAGATGAGCTCTATCACTCATGTGGAAAATACTTTTATTTTCCTGCCAATATAATATTTTCCATGATATAGTAACTGAAGCTATATCATGCATGGCAGTTACTAGTTTAAAGTTGCCTTAAATTGTTAATGGTATGCAGTAGTGCATTCAGCAAAATAAAAGTAAATAAAGGTAGTGTATTTCTTCTATGGTTAATCAAGAGACACATTTTGAAATGATCCTTCTAGTATGAGACTAGTCTGGGGAGGTTAGAAGACTTATTCTGACTGCTTCTTTACTATGGGTTAGAATTCCTTTGGCAACCTCCAGACATTTTCCTCCTAATTGTAAAGTCAGTGCATTCATTCTTTACACCCCCAAACTGGGAATGATGGTACTACATTTCTACAGATACTTAATTAGACATATGTGTGGCCAATAGGTAGAATAATAGATATGGGATTGCATTACTTTTTTTTTTTTTCTCTTTTAAGTCCCACCAAAGAAGTGAGAATATCAATTGTATCGTACTTTCTGTTTTATCAGACTGAGGTATGGGCATGGTTTGGTCTTCCTCTTTTGTTGGAACAGAATTTCTCATCCTCTGCACTCTTGACATTTGTGCCAAATAATTCTTTGTCATTGGAGCTGTCTTGTGCATTGTAGGATGTTTAGTAGCATCTCTGGCTTCTACCCACTAGATGCTACTAGCACGTACTGATAGTCATAACAACAAATAATGTTACCAGAGATTGCCAAATGTGCCATGGAGGTAGTTGCGGCGGGTGGGGGCATTGCAGGGGAGGGGACAGGATTGCTCCTGGTTAAGAACCACTGTGTTAGAGGAATGAAGGAGTATATAGCACTGGAAGTCCTACTTATCTCAAGTTCTCATCTACTAGTCACTAAGACATACAAGCAATCCTTCCCGTCAAGCCACTCACGATGGGTGGTGCTGGCAGTATGAGACTCCCTGCTGCCTCCTGGTCTAGGATCGTCACTGTGGCAGTGGTCACTTCACCAAGAACTGCTTCCACTGGGTCATCTGGGCCAAGGACTAGGGAGAATGATTCATGCCATTCCCGGTCTTCATTGGACAGGATCTCAACTTTAAAAAAGATATGATCCACACCTTCGGCAAGGACAGAACACAAGGACAGCAGAGGTCCCAGTTAGGTGACCAACCTAAGACAAGGCTTCATGTTTAAGTACGCCCTTTCCTTTTAAGGGTTTCCTATAACTGCAGTGGTGCTGGTCATGTTGGCCCCATTTCAAACAGGGAATCTGTTTTACAGACCTAATTCCACCTGTGGTGGAGGCTCAGTATTGCAGATTTACTATTCTACACCATATGAGGATTAATGGCCCTTGCCTGACACTAGTTGGCAGTAATAAAAATCTATGATCCAAAACGCACTCCACCCTGGTTATGAGGGGTTTTCTTGCTTAATTTTTCTTTCCCCTTTACACTTAGACATGAGCGCCTGTGAGGCTGCCAGTGCTTGCACACAACACCCTTCAAAGCTGTCTCCCGAGAAGCAATAGCTCAGAGGCTTTCTACCAGGCCAGTCTCTGCCAAGTCGAGAATGTAGTTTGTAGGCCTTAAAAGAGGCGGAGGTTCAAATCTCAGAAACCCCCTACCTTTTCCTAAAATGATTCTCTACTCGGTTACTTCTAAGACCTGTATTTTCCCCAGATCCTCATGCAGAAAATGGAAAAGTAAAGGTACTTGGAAGAGAGGTCCTTGTGCAAGTGTGGAGGAAGGGCACCTATCTTTCCAGCAAACACCAATAAGACACACAAAGGACAGAGCCGAAAGCCCTTTGAAGCTTCAGGGGCATGAGAGAGACACACAGAGACTCCCAAACTCACTTCTGGGGAAGTCACTTTCTCCCTCCACTCGCCAACACATCTCTGAAAAGACCTTCTAACACTGTTGCCCACTTCTGGCTACATTACAAATGATGCCATTGTCTACATTCACCTTTTCACCTTACATTGTCCCAGAAAGTTCTGTGAAAAAAACCTAGCATATAATTCAACTCCTTCCCTGTCTCACTCCTCCCATCAAATTAATACATGAGACAGCTGTTTGTGACTTCAATCCCATCTTCCTCTCTTCCCTGACTTGTCTCCATTGCTTTCTCTAGGATAAACCTATTTTAGCTGTTAACCAGAGTGTGCCTTCTGGATTTTAGTCACCCCAGCCTAAAGGGCAGCACAGTGGTTGGCACCAATGTTAGTTGAATGATGGCAGTCACGTACACTTTTTAAAAGTCAAGTGCTCATATTAACCAAATCACAGGCCAACAACAACAATCCTTTTTAATGAAACAAAATGCCAAGGATGTTCTGAAGTCAGTGCCCTATTTCCCGCCCCCCCCCCCATAGCATTTTTACTAATTAAAAATTATAAAGACTCCTTCCATCTCAAGTGTGTGCTTAAAAAATACTTTATGTTATTGGAAAGTTTTCCTCTTTTATTTTTCTGCTCATTCCTTTCCTTGAATATTAGATATTAGGTTCTCTACTCAGTAAAACCCACATGTCGGGATCGGCATTCAATTACCGGGACTGAACTTCAAGACTCGGCTCTTTGGGTAGTAATCCACACCAGACTGGGCAGACCCGTCCCGCGTGCTGCAGCGGATCTTGGACGTCCTGTTCTGATCCCCTTTGCGGATCACCTTGATGTTCAGAATGGCCGTGGCATCGGGCCCCGAGGGTTCCCGGACTTGGTACGCAGCTTCTTCAAACTCAATGGTGGGGGCTGAAGAAACATGGTCAGGGAAACAAGAGCAAGTTAGAAAAGCAGGAAAGATTCCGACTCCCCTGGAAATACCTGCTAATGACGAGAAGGGTTTTTCACAGTTAACAACACAAAGACAAAATGCCTTACTGTTATGAAAATCAATCAGTATTTACCCCTAAGCAATGCTTGGGAAAAAGAAATTTATTTCTAATTTTATAGAAGTCACTTCTTATTCATTTCTTATTAAAAACAGGATAGTGAGGGAAATATTTTTAAGGACTTTGGAAGCATGATGTCCAAGTTTCCACCAAGGCATCACGACTCAGAATGTTTTAAAATGTGCATGCTTTATCAAGGGACTGAGCCACAGTAAGCAACTGATAAATTTGTATCAGCTGATTGCATGAACCAACTCCTTTTCATTGATGATACATGAATTTCTAAGGTTAATAATTTACCTCATTTATATGTAACTTAATTTCACCAAATGCATCTCTCATCTCTGGTCCTTTGAATCCTCCTTCCGGGAGCTCTCACCTCCCCCGACCCTCAGCTTTTCCTAACTTCTCACAGGTTACTCAGTTAAGAATGGGTGGTTTTAGTGACTGACTGCAACGATAATTCAGGAACGGAAGACTTCTGAACACATTCTGGTTTAAAGTATGATTGTTATTGCTAGGGTACGGTTAATGATATAGCGACAATTCTTAGAAAAATATCAAATTATGCCTTTTTTCGATATATTCTTATGGGGAAGGGCAAAGTGGTAGTGGTAGAGAGAATAAGATAAACAATTCAGAGCAATTACAAGTTGTATACCATTTTTCACATATAAAATTTTGAAGACATTTCTAGAGTCTCTGTGTTCATTTCACCCCTCAGAAAGTCAATTCTTTCTAATTGTAGAAGATAAGCCTCATTTGAGACAGCAGAGTTTTAAAAAAGAATGGTTTTTGAAACTTAGGCATGTCACTGCGACACACTGTGAATTTGTTCCCCTCTGAGCTTAGGCCACTGGCTTCCCTGTGTGCCTGGGAGAGGCTCGCTGCAGGGGGAGAACCCGCGTTTCCTTGGGTAAAGGAGTAATTCAGCTCCCAGGCTGGCTTTTCTTATTTCACCCAATGTCCAAATTAGTCCCTGATTTTATATATGTGAGGATGAATAGTGGTATAAATATTAAATAAAATTGATATTACTATGTATAATGTTATTATCCATTAACTCATTAAAATATCAATTTTAATAGAACAATGATGTCTCAATTTGGAACAGATTTTGTTTTCCCTGGTGCATGGGGCACTCTTTACTACAACCTGACCAAAGAATTTAAGATTTGTTTTTTTAGGTTAGTAGGCCAAGTTAATGGAAGAAAAGAAAACTGAGAAATTAGACTTTTCTAATTTCAGTGTTTAAATCAGTTCATTGGATTCAACTCATTCTGATTGTATTTCCAATTTTGCTCCAACTGCAGTGATTTCAAGTTTTATTCTCTGCCTGTCTTAGTGTCTCTGTCCTAGCCTTTAACCATACTCATTCCTTTCTCTTGGCAGTGTGGTAGGGAATAATGAGATTAAAACTACCTATAGCCCTAGTAAACTTATAGGAGCTTTGTAGACGATGATTATTTGCTGCCAATATGTTATAAATATAATGCAGGACTGTTATCAGTAGGCATTTTTGTAGCCCTTTCATTTTTCAAGACACTTATAATTACATGGTTAGTAAATGTGATGTACAGCAAGTGTACATTAGAGTAGCGGTTACCATCTTCATCATTGGATATGGTGATGGTGGCCATGCTATTCTTTCCAACTCTGGCTCCACTCCAGTGATTCCCAAGGGGATGGCCGAGGAAGACCCTGAACTGTTCCTCAGGCTCAAACATCGAGTCATCATGGATGGAGACAGTGCAGTTCTTCATCTAGAGTCAAGGGAACAAGAAAGAGTCAAATTTGCATTGAGATGTCAATAACTTCCTTGATTTTCCTAGAAAATGATCGTTCTTTGTAGCATCAAAGAGTCAACACAAATTCTAGTTAATATAGAATGTTTTCTAGGAGCTCATGCCTATGTGGGACTTACCTATATGTGGAGCTTTGTATGAGAACATTCCAAATCATCTGAATTATTGGTGATGAGTTATGAAAAAGAAGATCAAACACAGAACCCACTAATGATCATGTGTAGAACATTTGCACACTTTCCCACACTTTGCCTGGGCTGATCAATACACTGGTACATATTATAATAGGTAGATTTCTGATGTTGGGGTTTAACAAATGGATTAGGCTTCCTGGAGAGCTGAACAATGTTCCTTGTCCATTGTAAAAATGGAATAGTCTTATAAAGAGCTTAGAAAGGCTTCCTGTTAGGCTAAGGACACCTTTAAGTGCTGCAGAATTCTCAAATGTGCTGCCAAATGTTGTCTCATCTGAAAACTTCTGAGTATTGATTGAGTCTCAGAATATAACCTAAACCCCTGTTTGATGCAAAGAAATAGTGTTTCTCAAACTGATCATTCTCTACTGGGGATTGTGTCCTTGAGAAATGTAAAGTAAGGTCACAATATTTTGGAAAACAGAGCAGCCTCAATGGTGGCTTCATGTGATAAGTGGGATTATTTTTAGTTGAACCATTTAAAATCCACTATACTACCGTATTGCATAGACTATGTGGGTGTAGAGAAGTTTCATTCTCATACTTCCTAATTACACTAAGTGAAAGGACAGCATGCCTGTGAACATGATATGTGGCTTGCTAACCTGGTTTTAAATCCCTGAAGAATGTTCCTTTTTTTCCCCTACCACATCTTTCTTACAATAACAATTTTTTATAGAAAATAAGAATTTAGCAGTGAATCTTCAGGATATCTTTAAAAGAAGACATTCTAGTGAATGACAAGTTCCAAAGACATATTGCTTAGTAAGCCAAGAAAAATGAAGATTCCCAAGTGTGCTTATGAATGATGATAGATAGGTTGTCATGTGGGTAACATTTAGACTATTAGACTATATTTCTTTATAATTTTATTAAATGACAAACTGTCTCTTGGATAGGTAGAGAATCCTTTTTTGAACTTAAAACAAATACAGACATGTAGACTCAAAGATTAAGATTGCATCTGTAGTATTTGTGTGTATTTTTAAGTACATGCTTCAACCTGCCACCAGTAAAATTCTTATAAAATACATAACTGAACCAGGCTTTTCTGCGTCATAAATGTGTAAAAGACTGAGAGTCCCAAAGAAGAAAGCTATCACTTTTTTATTGTTATTAAATATGAACAGAAAAATAATCTGGGGTGAACTGGTATGGGTAAGGTCTTATGCTAAACTTCAAAAGGACTAATCATAAAACCAAAATTATATACATTAGATTGTATCAAAATCAAAGACTTCTGTTCAACTAAGAACATCATGGTTCAAGGTAATAGATAAGTGACAGAAAGTGAAAGTACATCTATAATATCTAAAATGTCTAACTGGTAAGGAATTAATATTTAGAATATTTAAGAAAGTATAGCAGATCAGTAAGAAAAAGACAGCAATTTAACAAAATAAGGAACAGAGGATTAAAATAATACATTTTTGCCCTGGCCAGTTATTTCAATGGTTAGACCATTGCCCCATGGACTGAAGGGTCACAGGATAAATTCCCTGTTAAGGGCACATACCTTGGTTGCAGGTTCTCCAGCCCTGGTAGGGGTCTGTTGGGAGGCGACCAATTGGTGTGTGTGTGTGTCTCTCTCTCTCTATCCCTCCTCCCTCCCACTTTCTCTAGAAATCAATGGAAAAAATATCCTCTAGTGAGGATTAAAATAATAATAAATTTCAATAACTGAAAGTTCAATCAGTTAACAAGTATATAAACCACCATTAATTAGAAAAATGCAAATTAAAACAAGATGTAACTTTACACATATTAGATTAGCAAAAAGTCAAAAGATGAATAATGCTAAGTGTTAAAGAGGATGTTGGGTTACAACAATCCTTGTGTAATGCTAGTGAGATTCTGGAAAGTATTCTGACAATATTTTGTTTTAAAAAAATTAAGCATATGCATGCTTTATGGCACAGCAATTTGGCTGCTATATATGTATCCAAAGAAATTCCATCTCACTGTGAACAAATAAAGGCATCAAGGACAAAGAGAATCTCATCATTCAGTCACCACAAATCCACTTACTTTCTCCCCTTTCAGAAACGTAATCCGTGAAGAGTCTGTATTTCTTCTCTCTTCAAAGTCCTCTGTGACCTGAGCTGAATGGCTCTGAGTATAGCACCTCACCGACGACTCATAGCTCAGGTCTCCACTCCGAATGATAGGCACGTGCAGAACACCCTCCTTCTCCTTCACTAGGAGCAAGTCCTTGGCAAACTGCATGCTGGGCACTGGGGAGCAGAAGGAAAGATGGAGGCATTGTTAGAGGGAGATATAGGGAAGTGGCCACAGCAGCCTCGTGGCAGAAGGGCTCCAGGAAGGGCCACCCTAGGCTGGCCAATCACAGGTGGTAAGCAGATTTCAAGGCCTGATTGCTGCTCTCAGGGCCAGGGAATTGCTTCCACTATGAATGTGGTTCCAATAAAATAGAACAAGTCAATTTTGCACCTGTTTTTGCCCAGCTTCGGGGTATGGTCACCATCTCAAATGCAGAAAAGTAATTCAAGTAAAAAAATGGGCCAGGTATAAGAAAAATTTTGATAGAGACTTGAGTACTCAAAAAGTTCACTTCCTTTCTAAGGCTACAATAAGGCAAACGGCAGTGCAAGCCTGCTGATAAATGGCCACTCACACTGGTCCTGGGGCCAGGAAGACACCAAGGAGGAGTTGGGACACTGGTAAACAGGGAAGAGCAGGCCTTGTTTAAAGGAGGTTGACTTGCTGCTCCAGTCTTTTGTTGGCAGATCTTCCTATTTTCAAACAAAGCCAGACCTCTTATCTGGATTTTTATGTCATATCTCCTAAATTTTAAAATAACAACCCATTAAAATAGGAAAAAAGAAATTCCAGGCAAGTCAAAACTATTTGGGCCAAACAAAACACATCCACATGCAGAAATGTCCAGTGGGCCCCCAATCTGTGACCACTGCTGGAGAGTTACCTGTTGTTATAACTCACAAGGCCTCATTTGACTTTAGGGAGGGACAGTAGCCAAATATGGTTAAAAGCAAAGGTTTTGGAGTAAGCAGGCTTGAATTTCCATCCCAGCTCTGCTACTTATTAGCTGTATGATATAGAGCAATCTACTTAGGTTTTATGAGACTTGGGTTTCTTCAATATTAATATCTAACTCATAGAATTATCAGGAGTATCGAATTTAACAAGATTGTATGGGCATGGTGTCCAATGCAGTATCTGGCACACAGCGACACTCAAATTTTGGTAGGGATTATTATCATATGGTTTATATTGGCCCCAATTCCAGGCTTCTCTATACGAAAGGCCAATTTTTTCATCCTTACTTCCTACAGTGTCCATGGTAATCCTCTGTATTAAGACATATCTCTTTCCAAGAACATTTTGTTGACTGTAGGTTATTAATTTCTTAATAAAAAATACAAAGAGGTAGTCCCTCCAGTCATATGCCACATTAGTCTTTGGGGCTGGAGGAAGCTGACCCTATAGCTATAGATACCTAGTTCCTGGCTGGGTCCTGGGTGTGCCCTGCCAAACCTGAAAGGAGGAAACAGAAAGGGTGAGCAAACCAGCATTCCACAAGTCTACTTGCAGAAAGCTGCTTGCCTCCAACCTGCCCTCTGCTCAGAACTGCTGGCATCAGCAAAATAACACAAAACCATGAGCTGAACTAAGCCTAACAATTACCTCTTATTATTGAGAAAAACCCAGAATACCACACCTAAAGGAAAATTAACAACTTTAGCATTAGGCTCTGAACAATTACCATTTAGGGCTCTGTGATCCAGGATAATGGTCTGTGCTATTAGGGAGTAGGTGGCAATGACATGACCTAGCACAGGAGGACAAGAAGGAAGCTTGCTGCCAATTTAAAAGTAACACAAGCAAGAAAGCTTTTCTGCTCAAGGCAGATTATCTAATGCTTTGGATTGATTTTTCTTGCTGGCCTGATAGGCGTCAAGTCAAGATGAGAGTTAAAAGCTAGAGTTGTTGTCTTTTCACTTTGTTGATGGTTTCCTTTGCAGTGCAAAAATCTTTATAGTAGTCCCATTTGTTTATTTTTCCTTTTGTATCCCTTGCCCCAGGAGAAATATCAGAAAAAATATTGCCACAAAAAATGTCCAAGATTTAACTGCCTATGTTTTTTTCTAGGATTTTTATGGTTTTGATTCTTACTTTTAAGCCTTAATCCATTTTTAGATTAATGTATATGGTGTAAAAGGTGGCCTAATTTCATTTTTTTGCACATATCTATCCAATTTTCCTGATACCATGTATTGATTAGATTATCTCTAGCCCATATTATGTTCTTGCTTCTTTTGTTAAATCTTAACTTACTATAAAGGTGTGGGTTTATTTTGGGGCTCTCTATTCTATTCCATTGATCTATGCGTCTGTTCTTTTTTTATAATATATATTTTATTGATTTTTTACAGAGAGGAAGGGAGAGGGATAGAGAGTTAGAAACATTGATGCGAGAGAAACATCAATCAGCTGCCTCCTGCACACTCCCCACTGGGGATGTGCCTGCAACCAAGGTACATGCCCTTGACCGGAATCGAACCTGGGACCCTTGAGTCCTCAGGCTGACGCTCTATCCACTGAGCCAAACTGGTCAGGGCTATGCATCTGTTTTTATGCCAGTATCATGCTGTTTTGATTACTATGGCCTTGTAGTATAGTTTGATATCAGGTAATGTGATTCCTCCAACTTGGTTCTTCTTTCTCAAGATTGCTGTGGTTATTTGGGGTCTTTTGCAGTTCCATATTATTTTTTGGAATATTTGTTCTAATTCTGAGAAATATGCCATTGGTATTTTGATAGGAATTGCATTGAATCTATAGATTGCTTTGGGTAGTATGGGCATTATAATGATATTAATTCTTCCATCCATGAACATGGTATATGCTTCTACTATTCGTATCTTCTTCAATTTCTTTATTCACTGTCATATAATTTTTCAAGAACAGGTCTTTTACATCCTTAGTTAAATTTATTCCTAGGTATTTTTTTTTATGCAATTGTAAATGAGATAGGTTCTTCAGTTTCCCTTTCTGATAGTTCATTATAGGTGCATAAAAATGCAGCTGATTAATGAATAGTTAGTGTGTATCCTGCTACTCTACTGAATTCATTTATCAATTCTAGTATTTTTTGGAGGGAAATATTTAGGGTTCTCTATATACAATATCATGTCATCTGCAAATAATGACAGTTTTATTTCTTTATTTATAATTTGGATGCCTTTAATTTCTTCTTCTTGTCTGATTGCTGTGGCTATATTGAATAACAGTGGTGAAAACAGACAACCCTCTTTTGTTCCTGATCTTAAGGAAAATGTTTGTGGTTTCTTCCCATTGAGTATGATGTTGGTTGTGGGTGTGTCATATATGGCCTTTATTATGTTGAGGTATGTTCCCTCTATTCCCACTCAAGGGAGAACATATTCAATAATGATACATCTGATAAGGGATTGATATCCAAAATTTATAAGGAACTTACAAAACTCAACACCAAAAACAAACAAACAAACAAAAAACACCAATCCAATTAAAAAATGGGCAAAGGATCTGAATAGACATTTCTCCAAAGAGTACATACAGATAGCCAATAAACATATGAAAAGGTACTCAATGTCACTAATCATAAAAGAAATGCAAATTAAAACCACAGTGAGATATCACCTCAGACCTGTCAGAATGGCTATCATCAATAAATCAACAAACAAGTACTGGCAAGGATGTGGAGAAAAGGGAACCCTTGTGCTCTGTTGGTGGGAATGCAGATTGGTATAGCTGCTGTGGAAAACAGTAGGGAGTTTCTTCAAAAAAATTAAAAGTGGAACTGCCTTATGGCCCAATGATTCCACTTGTATGGAAAGTGAGCATGGTAGGGTATAAAAGCATAAGATTGGACTTGGATAGAGTGGATCTGGGTTTTACAGATCCATCACTTCCTCTCTGTGTGGTCTTAAATTATTTAACCTTTAACACTACAATGGGTCTCTGAAATAGGTTTGGGGATTTCTTTCTTTGGGACAAATTCTGGACTGAATATATATTATTGTAGTCTTCCTGAAAAATTATATATATATTTAACATATTCATTTTCTAAGTTTGCAATCCTAATGCCCATCAACAAAAGATAAAAATAATCTAAGTGGGAGAACCAAGATGGCGGCATAGGTTAACGCCGGAGTTTGCTGCTTTGAACAACTACTTCAAAAGTGAAACCAAAAAACGGAAGGGACATCACCCAGAACCACAGGAACGCTGGCTGAGTGGAAGTCCTACAACTAGGAGGAAAGAGAAACGCATACAGACACTCAGAGGAGGCGCAGTGCTGAAGTCAAATTCCGAGGTGCGGAGTGCGCGGAGCGGGCTGGCGGCGGAGGGCGGGGTTGGCGTTTTCAATCGGGAGGGAGTCCCAGACTCTGAGCTCCAGATCCGGGCGAGTCTTTGGGGACCCAGACTCAAACGGGAGAAGCGGGACTGTCTGGCTTCGGTCAGAGCGAGTGCAGCTTTCTCTCTGAGCTTTGCAGGGGGTGCTGGGACTCAGAGAGGCAGAGCCCCTGGGGACAGGACTGAGAGCCGCCATAACTGCTCTCTCTGGCCCACCCTGTTGATCCTGTGCGACCCGCCCCGCCCAAGCCCTGCACACAGGCATTTGCCGGATAGCCTCAGGCAAAGGCCAGATTAGCACCTCCCTAGAGGACAGAAGTTCTCTCACTGCTGACACAGCTGATTCTCATAGCCACTTGGCCTGGAGGTCAAACCCTCCCTGGAATTAGCTACAACAATCAAGATTTAACTATAAGACTTCGAACAAAGACCACTAGGGGGTGCACCAAGGAAGCATAACAAAATGCGGAGACAAAGAAACAGGACAAAATTGTCAATGGAAGATATAGAGTTCAGAACCACACTTTTAAGGTCTCTCAAGAACTGTTTAGAAGCCGCCGATAAACTTAATGAGATCTACAAGAAAACTAATAAGACCCTCGATCTTATATTGGGGAACCAACTAGAAATTAAGCATACACGGACTGAAATAACGAATATTATACAGACTCCCGACAGCAGACCAGAGGAGCGCAAGAATCAAGGCAAAGATTTGAAATGCGAGGAAGCAAAAAACACCCAACCGGAAAAGCAAAATGAAAAAAGAATCCAAAAATGCGAGGATAGTGTAAGGAGCCTCTGGGACAGCTTCAAGCGTACCAACATCAGAATTATAGGGGTTCCAGAAGATGAGAGAGAGCAAGATATTGAAAACCTATTTGAAGAAATAATGACAGAAAACTTCCCCCACCTGGTGAAAGAAATGGACTTACAGGTCCAAGAAGCGGGGAGAACCCCAAACAAAAGGAATCCAAAGAGGACCACACCAAGACACATCATAATTAAAATGCCAAGAGCAAAAGATAAAGAGAGAATCTTAAAAACAGCAAGAGAAAGAAACTCAGTTACCTACAAGGGAATACCCATACGACTATCAGCTGATTTCTCAACAGAAACTTTGCAGGCCAGAAGGGAGTGGCAAGAAATATTCAAAGTGATGAATACCAAGAACCTACAACCAAGATTACTTTATCCAGCAAAGCTATCATTCAGAATTGAAGGTCAGATAAAGAGCTTCACAGATAAGGAAAAGCTAAAGGAGTTCATCACCACCAAACCAGGATTATATGAAATGCTGAAAGGTATCCTTTAAGAAGAGGAAGAGGAAGATAAAGGTAAAGATACAAATTATGAACAACAAATATGCATCTATCAACAAGTGAATCTAAGAATCAAGTGAATAAATAATCTGATGAACAGAATGAACTGTTGATTATAATAGAATCAGGGACATAGAAAGGGAATGGACTGACTATTCCTGGGGGGGAAAGGGGTGTGGGAGATGCGGGAAGAGACTGGACAAAATTCGTGCACCTATGGATGAGGACAGTGGGTGGGGAGTGAGGGCGGAGGGTGGGGTGGGAACTGGGAGGAGGGGAGTTATGGGGGGGGAAAAAAAGAGGAACAAATGTAATAATCTGAACAATAAAGATTTAATTAAAAAAAAAATAATCTAAGTGGAATCTTGTATTGATCAGAGTACAATGAAGTTTATGTGTTGCTAGAGTTCCACTGGCAAGTATAATAAATTATAGTTGTGTCAGGAAGAAAAGAAGTTAACATGTAATAAAATCTACTATGTGCCTGATACTATGGTAGGTATTTTCACAAATTTTATCTAATTTATTCTTCACAACAATCTTGTAAGGTGGTTATTTACATGTTTTATAGATGAACAAAATGGGGCTCAATAAACTTAAGGCTGAAAGAGCAAGGAAGTGGTGGGGCTGGCATTAAATTTTAGGACTTCTGATTTTGCATTCACTTTCTACTTTATCAGAGGGAAATTGGCTATCTTTTCATGCAAAAGAATAAGGAGACTTTTCAAGAATAAAAGGAATAAATGAATTTCCTTTTTCTTTCTTTTTTTAACTTCACTGAGGAAAAAAAATCACACAGAGTCTACTACTGCACAAATAGAACCCTTTAGTGTTGTATAAGGACAATGGGTTTGGAGCCAAAAGATCCAGAATGTATGTTGGTTCCTCCACATACTATGCTTGTTGAATGTTTCTTCCCCAATCAGTCTCATCTACAAAACAGAAGTAAAAGTGAAGCCACTGGATTATGAGCAAATGAGATAATGTCTAACAGTTCACTCTGTAAACTCTGAAGTAACGTGCAATATAAAGTAGAGTATTGTTATTATCTTGTTCATGGTTAAAGTCACCATTTTGTGAATCACAAATCTAATTGCAAAACTTAAAACTATAAAACTACTAGGAGAAAACAGAGGAGAAAAATCTTTGAAACTTTGGTTTAGGCAAAGATTTCTTAGATACAACCCTGAAAGCATGATCAGTAATAGAACTATCAATAAATGGAACTACTTCAAAATAAAAGCCTATTGCTCTTTTAAAGACATTGTTAAGAGAACAAAAAAGAAGCAGTAGATTTGGATAAAATATTTGCAAAACACAAATCTTTGTCCAGAGCCTAAAACAATACAATAAACAACCCAATTAAAAAATGGGAGTTTTCTACAATGCTTTGCCAAAGAAGATATATGGATGGCAAGTAAGCACCTGAAAATATCTCAATGTCATCACTCATTCACTACCCACCTACTGGAATAATGAAAACACTTCATAAAAACTGACAGCACCAAATGTTGGTGTGGATGTGGAGCAACTGGAATTCTCACACACTGTTGGTGGTAACACAAAATAGTTACAACCACTTTGGAAAACAAGCTGGCAGTTTCTTAGAAGGTTAAACACTGAGCATTTGATCCAACAACTCCACTCCTAAGTATTTACTCCAGAGAAATGAAAACCTATATTCACACAAAAACCTATATGCAAATGTTATAGCCACTCTGATCATAATTGCCCAAACCTGGAAACAGCCTAAATGTCATTCAACAGGTGGGTGGATAAACAAATGGTGGTACATCCATGCAATGGAGATTATTCAGCAGTGGAAAGAGTGAACTACTCTTATGTGCAACAATATGGATGGCTCTCAAAGGCAGTAAGTATTCTGATGAAAAGAGCCAGACTCAAGGTGCTCATATTACTGGATTGCATTTAGACATTCTGGAAATGGCATAACTTTATGGATAGAAAATAGATCAGTGGTTGCCAGGACTCAGGATGGGTAAGAGGTTGACTAACAGGGGTGTGAGAGAACTTCGTAGGGTTAGAACCGTTCAACATTTTAAAAAATAGTTTATTGGTTTTTAGAGAAATGAAGAGGGAGAGGGAGAGAGAGAAAAACATTAATGTGAGAGCACAACATCAATCGGCTGCCTCCCACACGCCCCCTATGGTGATCAAGCCCACAACCTGGGCATGTACCCTGACTGGAAATCGAACTAGAAACCTTTCTGTGCACGAGACAATGACCAACCAAATGAACCATACCAGCCAGGGCTGTTCAACATCTTGATTGTGGTGGTGGGCACAATACTGTCCATTTGTCAAAACTCATAGAACTGCAGACCAGAAAGGATGAATTTAATTCATGTAAATTAAACCTTAATAAACCTAACTCTAAAATAATATACCATTTTTTGCCTGGCTGGTGTTGCTCAGTGGTTGAGTGTCGACCTATGAACCAGGAGGTCACGGTTCAATTTCTGGTTAGGGCACATGCCTGGGTTGTGGGCTTGATTCCCAGCAGGGGGTGTGCAGGAGGCAGCTGATCAATGATTCTCTCTCTTCATTGATGTTTCTATCTATCTCTCCCTCTTTCTGCCTCTCTGAAATCAATAAAAATATATATTAAAAATAAAGTAAGATACCATTTTGGACATATGCATATATTTCTTTTCTCTCTTGAAGGCTACACAAAACAAAAAAGTGGTTAAAATGGTTGTTTCTAGGGAGTGGAACTAGAGGATTGGGAGACAGGAGTAGAAGCAAGACTTAATTTTCATAGTATACCATTTTTTTTCATTTGATTTTTTAAAATATATAAATGAATAAATAATTTAAAATAAATAAAAATATTAAAGATTGCTCTGCTGGGCTGCCTGTTCCTTTTTTGGTGCCTCTTCATTCACTGTAACAGTTTAATCATGGACTTTATTGTCAACCATAGGAATGCTGATTAGGGTCCTTCTGCTTGAGGTGGGAGGTTTGTCTTGATCTTCTCCACCCAACTCTAGAATCTGACAATTCTAAGTTTCATCAATTCTTCCTAAGAAGCACCTGTCCCTTCTTCTTCATCCTCATGTTACTTAGGTTAGGTCTTCAGTGGCGACTGACAAGTTCATATACTTGTCTCTTCATTCTTGCACATCATCTACAGGACAATGAGTTTCCTAAGACAAAATCACACACTCCTGTGCTGATAAGAATCTGTTGCTTCCCTCTGCTTATCGATTCCTTATGCTAAAACATAAGACTCTTAGAACTTGACTCCAACCTATCTTTCCATTTCATTTCCTTTTATTCACCTCCTACTGGATTCAAAGCACAAGTAAGCGTCTCACTGTTTTCCAAATATGCACCTTTCAAAACTTTATGCCATTATACCTATTATATCTGTTTATTTGACGAAGCTTTCTTTTATTATCTATTAGGTAAATTACTATCACACCTGAAGGCTCAGCTTAAATATCAACTCCTTTGTGAAATCTTCTATGATTCTTCCACACAAAGTTACTGTTCAGTCCCATCTGCTCAGATAGCACTGGATTTACAGCACTGTTAGGCCATTTATCATACTAGAGGTCCAGTGGATGAAATTCGTGCACTCGTTGGGGAGTCCCTCAGCCTGGCCTGCACCCTCTCGCAGTCTGGGAGCCCTCAGGGGATGTCCGGCTAATGGCAGTTGGACATCCTTAGTGCTGCCACAGAGGCAAGAGAGGCTTTCACCACTGTCGCTGCACTCTCCAGCCGTGAGCCCGGCTTCTGGCTAAGCAGCATTCCCCCTATGAGAGCACACTGACCACCAGGGGGCAGCTCCAGCATTGAGTGTCTGTCCCCTGGTGGTCAGTGTGTATCATAGGATCGGTTGTTCCACCATTTGGTTGGTTTGCATATTAGCTTTTTAGTATATAGGATATCCTAACTTTTCAGTTTAAGGGTCTGATCTCCCAACTAGACATTGAACTTCTTGAGGACATGGCCCAACCAAGGCTTAAACATTTTTTGTGTATCTAGTAGAGTGCCAGAAACATGAACAATTATTTCTTTCTCCTATTTCTATGTAAATGTGTACATGCAGGTCCTTGTACACACACAGATATAACAGACATATGCACAAATACATACACATGCACTCACACACACATACTCACATTTCTTGAGTGAAATGTGAATGAGGTCCAATGCATAAATATGGAAGTTAAGGAAAAAATAGAACTATAGTCAGCCACCAGCTGGCAGCCCCAATCTCTTACCATCCTGGAATGTGTCATTAATGGCAATGACAGCTTGGAAAGGTTTAGTCAGTTCGGCCCCTTGTGCTGAGCTGAGGAAAACCACAAATGTCTCCAGCCCTTCAATTGCTGGATACTGAGTGTCATCTAAGATCGTCAAGGTGCAATACTAGGAGAAAAAATCAGCATGTTAACTAGATTTACTGTGGTGATTGTCTTCAATATATATAAACATTGAATCATTACATTGTACACCTGAAACTAATATAGTGTTATATGTTAATTACATCTCAATTTAAAAAAATGACTTTTAATTAAAAAAAAGAAAAATTCAAGTAAACCTTACAGAATGCCAAACACATAACACCCATTTATTTTGGGAAATTAGGACACAGGCAACAACTTGTCTTTCTTTGGTGGTCTTAAATGAAGTTTCTTCTTATCCATAAATTGCACTCTTTTTATTACACACCCTTAGGTGTTTTGTTTCTAGATGTTTAGATCAAACGAATGTGGTTTCTATCCTAAATCCGTGGTGCTGGATGTAAGATGGTGAAAACATCACTTGGAGGGTTTTATAGACGATCCCTCTAAGTTTGTTCTCTTGATTGTATGTTTGTGTTTTTGAAGAAAGGGAAGATAGTAATATTGCAAGTGGAGTTTAGTGTCCTCCAGAGAGTTTGGAGAGCAGACTAGATACCACATTAACAGACTCATCCAGCCTTTCACGGCTGTATGCTCACCTGCTCAGTGACACCTGGTCCAAATTCCACCTTTCTAGAGCTGGGAACATAGTCAACTCCTGGAGTGGCAGAAGCTGGGTCTGAGGGACGCGTAGCACACCAGACAGATGTGAAGGTTGAAAGGTCAGTCCCATGGTGGATAACTGGGATCTTCACTGCTCCTGAAATGAGATTCATAGATTCCCAAGGTCAACTTTGACCCAGAAAATCAATGGTACTTTCCCAACATGTTCTCTTTCTCAGCAGCAGCAGTTTTATCCTGCTGGCCTGTCTACTCTAACCTCAGCGACGCTTGGTGCTCCCTCTGAGGAAGGCTGAGGTATCACCCTCCTTCTTTTTGCCAACACTGAGATTAAGAGCAGACCTAGAGGAGGGTCTCATGCAGGTTGTGCTGGAAAGTAGCCCTTAGGGGAAAATGATTTCGTGGCTTCATAAAGGAGACTGTTCACAAAAGAACAATGAACTGTAGGGGGAAGGATCCATTGGAAAACATTTCAAGCCTATATAGGGAGAAGAAATTCAGACGAGCGCCTCAGGGATGAGCTAGAAAATAGTCAATTAAGGGAAGAACCAGCTATGGGACTCTATGGGGCCTGAAGCTGAATGTTCCTAATTAAATGTTCCTAACTGGTTTGATTTCCCCATTTTATCTGAGTGGTGCACACATCATTACTTAAACCATATGTGCTTATTGCTTATCTTAGGAATGAAACTCATTTTCTGGTCCATTGTGACATCATACTTCATAGGGTCCTAATGATATACATGTAGATTTTTAGCTGTTTTCACAATCAAGGTGAGAGCAAAGCTACATGAAAACCCATCAGTCACATTTTTCTAGTCAGTTGTGAAATGACATTAGTCATGACTGAGCATTTGGTGTATAGCAAAGGAAGTGGCATTGTAGAAAGGTCTGGATTCTAAATCCAGCTCTGGCATATTAACTGCTTGATATTTGATGATTTATTTAATCTCTCTGAGTCTCCATTTGCTCTCCTCTATAATGTCATCTTCTCTAGAGAAGATTAAGTGAGAATGCATGAAATGCATGTTGCTCGGTACCTGGCATTCCGTAAGTACTCAAGAAGATCAGTTCCCACTGTCCCTCAGAATATCACCTTCAAAGAGGTGAAAGACCTTGGTCAAGTGGCTCCCATCAGTAGATACTTCTCACAGCTGCTACCCCTCTGGTAGTATGTTTGCCAGCAGAATGCGGAGGACCCCTGTGCAGCCAGGAGAGGGAAGGAGCCTGGGTAGAAAAATCTGCCCACTGACTGCTTTGGGCTGTAGTAATATGAATGAGAAAGTTCCACTTGTGAAGACACTGACATTTTAGAATGTATTTGTTTTAGCAGCGAGAAGTATATGAAATCACTTACCTCTATTCTCAATAGATCTCATTCCCCTCCTTTGCAAGCCAAAAAGCTTAGCACCATGCCTTCCCTCTCGACCATAGAGGTCTACCAATGACTGTAAGCCAGATCCTTCCCTTCCATCAGTAATCAAAGAAAGAAAAGTGATTCTTTTCTACGTCCCATTCTTGGTTGTAATGCCTAGCATTATATAATGTGTCGGACCAACAGTGATGTCACTGAGGAATGGCATTATCCTCAATTATATCCTTAATTGTCTAAGGATACTCTCAAACCTGAGAGGAAATCATTCAAGAAAGAGGTCAAGATATGGGTGATGAAACCCCAGAGATGCTCTCTGTTACCTGCATCCTCACTGACAGTGAAAGCTGTGTTGCCCAGGGACACGGTGGAGGCATCATTGGGACCACTGATGAGCACCTTGGCCGATGACACCCTTCCGATGCGGGCATTGTCAGAAGCACCTGCCAGGGCAATCTCAAACACTTCTTCCTCTTCATATTCGCTGTCATCAATGAGCATGATGTCACAGGTGGACATGGTGACACCAGGCCCGAATATCACACGACTGTCAGCAGACCTCCCTCTAGATTTAAAATCAGAGCCCGATTCTAGAGCGTAGAGGCTACTTCCCATAGCTGAGTTAGGGATGGTGTAGCAAATCACAGACACAATGCTGCTTGCATCCCCTGAAATACAAAATGGCAAGAAAACCAAAGCATTTGAATGAGTGCTTCTCAAATTCTAAAATCTCTGATAAATTAGTGAGCTTGGTTCCCTCTGACATATTCCACCACTATTCGTGTTCACGCTCTGGCATGAAACCTTCCAGCATTGCAGTCTCTTTTGAACTTATGAAATAAACCACTTGAGGGTTTAATATACCCCAGATACTTCACCAAACAACTTAAAATGGATTTCCTAGTCTGTGAATTTTGTGCTCTGTTAATTCACAAGACTCACTGCCCACCATCTAAGACCACAGCGGGTGGAAAGATAAGAGACATATTTGGTACTTTAAGTAGCAAAGTAATTGTGTCCTGAAGGTAGAGCTATGGGCACAGTTCACTGCCTTTCTGAATAAACTTCTGTACTTTAACTCCCAGGGAAACACAAGCTTGTTTTAAAAAAAGAAAGACAAAACAAAATAAAACCCTCTTTTCTGTACAAATGCCTTTACTTATTAACGCTGCCACTGCCCTGAGTGATGGCCTATTCTGGGCCCACTTGCTGGTCCAGAGCAATCGGTGGGACTTGCTTGTTTTCCAAGGGGCACCTCCAAGGGTTTGCAATACTTACAGTGTTTGTTACACTAACACCCAGCCAGCACATTCAATAAAAAACTGACATTAGCCCCAGTCAGTTTGGCTCAGTGAATAGAGCATCAGCCTATAGACTATTGGGTCCTGGGTTCGATTCCAGTCAAGGGCATATGACTGGGTTGCCTTGATCCCTGGTGGGGGTATGCAGGAGGCAGCCAATCAATGATCCTCTCATCACTGATGTTTCTATCTCCCTCTCCCTCTCCCTCTCCCTTCCTCTCTGAAATCAATAAAAATATATTTTAAAAACACACACAAAACAAAAACAAACAAACAAAGAAAAAAACCTGACATCATTACTTATAGTTGCTGTGTGGCTTTGAATGAAGATTTAATTCCCATGTGTTTTAAAGTCTCAATGTTGTACAATAATAAATCCATATGATCTTTGGTTTGAGTTTTAGCCCCTCAGGAACTGACCTTTAGTTTTTACACACAGTTTACTTCTCATCAGAGCTCTATATGTGACTCTCATGGAAGGAAATCTTTAAACACATATCTTTCAAGAACTAAGATGGGAAATCAGTTTTTACAAACTGTAACTTCCCTCCTTGACCAAGGCTACTAAACATATTATGGACTGGGTGATTGATTAAGAATCCCGAGTACATGAATATTTGCAAGGCCAAATATAAAGTGTTTTAGTCCCATTAAAGAATCAATGGGTGTGCTAACAGCCTGAGCTACCAAGAGAAGCCTTCTGATAGAACTCACTGGGTAGGATCTTTATCAGGGCTGTGCTGGGGGTTTAAATGAGTTAATACATGTAAAGTACTTGCACATCTGAGTTAATATGGTACTTGAGCACTTGGCACGTAAATGGGACTCAATAAACGTTAGCTATTACAAAGCTCCTTGTCACTTTCGGCGCCAACAGACCTTTTCTTTCAATAGGTGCAAACAGAAAACCAGCGCTCTCGTTGACCCGGTAGGTCTTCTTATCAAACTCTAACGTGGGTTCGTCCTCAGTGTCATTGATAATGACCTTCGCCTGGGTGAACTCCCCTAGTAGGGCGTATGCTGGCATGCTGAGCTCCACGGTGAAACTCTCCATCTTCTCAAACACGTCATCATCGTTGATGACAATGGTGCAGGATTTGGTGTCCTCTCGCTCATCAAACTGCACCTGTCACAAAGGAAACAACAAGGAGTTAAGCTGTGCCTCAGCTTCCCCTGCTCTGCTCCCCCAGAAGGCCATGGGCAAAGAGGGCCCAAGTCCGGCGAGCACTGAATGAAGCAGCTGGTTCTTCTAGCCCCAACTTCCTGCTGTATCACCTGGAACGCAAGGCTACCTCTTCCCGTTCTTCATCTACAACTGGACTGGTTTACTGTATAGGGACACGGAGGGTGAAGACATCCCCTCCCATTTAGTGACTGTATTAAAACATGTAGGTAACTGTTCATATCCTGTTTTATTAACTCACTTGAGCAAGAGTTATTTGATTACTTAGTCCCGCTTCTATTTGTGGCAAGTTTAACTGGAAAGATCTTTGAACTTGGAATGTGAAGTTCTAGGCTGACGTTCTGTTTTTTTGTTTTGGTTTTTTTTTTTTTTTTAGTTTTAAGCTGGGTCAGGCTTTGAAGCTTTACATACATCAGTTTATTTTAAAACATTGAACAAATGCAAGATATTATCCTATTACCATTATCATATTATTGTACAATTAAAACTGACATAGAATCTCAGCTTACTGTATAATGAAGTTTGAATTCAGAAAAAGTTACATTGAGAAAAAACCAGACTGAATTTTAGCTTTATATCTGACTAAATCCTTTGCAAATGAAACCTATAATGTGAGTACATTTAGCCTGGTACAAAGGAGATAAATTATTATATATGCACTTAATTGTAAACTTACAGGGATATATGGTGGTTTTACTTTACCCCAAAATAAAAGAGGAAGACAAAACCTTCAAATGGAATCAGGGCTCTGGATCTGTTCAAAATTGAAAGGGTAGGAAATGGGATTGGAATATACTTTGTGTAAACAGAAACAAAGAAAACGTGTAAAAATAGTCATAAACCTCTGAAAACACATAATTTTCATCAAAAGTAAATTACCATTACTATCTAATCAGCTAATCAATTTTTACTAAACTCCACATTTCAAAACACTCCCAACTAAATGAAACACTCCAAAAATCTCTATTTAAAACCTAGAACACACTTCCTTTTATCTTTCCCTGAAAAAGAGGCATATATAGCTCTTTTTATCATTTTGTTAAGACTCTTCTAGTTCCTCATTTAAATCTGACATAAGCGGCCTTAGCTTAGTTCTGCTGACATGACTCAAAGAGAGCCCACTCCTCTTTATGGTTCCTGTTACTTTATGTTGACATAAGAATAATGAAGTTACTTTGAAAAAACATTTAATCAATACCTAATAAGTGCCAGGCATTGTGCCATACATAAAAGATGACAAAAACAGGGCATTCTGCCATTAAGGAGCTTACTATTTAAGTCCCCTCCTTTCTCTTTTGCTTTCATTCTCCCCTTTTTCTTTCTCTCACTCCACCTTGACACTGATTACCACCACTGCTTTATATAGAGATGACAAATTTATCTCCCTACCCAGAACTCCTCTCCGTACTCTCTACCTAGGTATATAGCTGTCCACTGATGGCTCTAAGGCAACTCACACTCACCATGTTCAAAGCAAAGTCAAGATCACCCCCTCACCAAGCCTGCTCCTCTGTGTCCCCTCCCAGCAAGGGGCATCATCATCCACTTTCCCTTATGCCCCACTATCTAATCCACTGCTTAGTCCTCTCACTTGATGGCTTCCTCATCAGTTGAATCCACCCACTTCTCTCCCCTTTCACTTTATAACTGCAGCTTAAGCTCCCATCATCTGTCACCCAGCCCATCCAAAGCCTCCCAATTGGTCTCCCCACACTCCCTCCCTTCAGGTAAAGAAGATAGAGAGAAAAGGTTAGAATTCTGAAGGCTGAGTGTAGAACATTATGTCTTGGAGACTTTTTTTTTGGTCATGAAGCAAAATGTAGACTGAGAAGCTACACATAACTTAAGCTTCGGCAGTTAGAATGTCAATGGAATTTAGGCAGGCAATGAAGAACAAAGTACTGTGAGAATTGAAGATAGGAAAATTACTGAGGAAAGCTGCCAATGGAAAGGAAGGGGGGAATAAAAGAAAATTGGAAGGTGCCACAATAGTCTATAACCTCGTCACAGTCCTTGCAGGCAGTTCAGGAATCAGAGGCCCTCTCGCCCACTTACCTGACCAGCATACTCCACGTAGTCCTGCTGCCCAGGCTGGGAGCTGACCCTGGAGCTGGAGCTGGAGCTGGCAGTGCCTTGTTCTGTGTGACACAGGACTATGGCGTATTGGTTCAGGTTCCCAGTCCTCTGCACTGTGACGCTGACAGACCCCGCCTTCTCACTGACATTGTAGCTACAAACACACAAAATAGTCGTCTCTGAAATTCTACCCCTGGGTTGTGAAGAATCTGCTAGTTCAATGCCAGTGTCCTCTGGTTACTTATATCCTGGTTTTACTGCTGAGTAGCTAAGCGACTTTGGGCAAGTAACCTTCTTTCTGTCTCTACTGCTTTGTTGTTGCAGGGGCAACAACAGTATTCATCTCATAAATTCAAAGTATTAAGGTGATGTAGGTCAAGTGCTAGTTCAGTGCCTGATACATACAGTATTCAAGAAATACTTGGTATAATTATTATTTTTATTATTGTTATCACCACCCCCTTATCAGATGACTACAGCAGGCCCACAGAGTGCTTTGCCCAGAATCCTCTGCTTGCCTGACTCCTTTCTCAAGAATGAAAACACAATGACGCTTGTACCTAGTATGTTTAAAGCTGATGAGGGACCACTGGATGTGGAAGACATTATCTCTGACCACGTTGGGTTTACTGTCTTTCACCAGAAACTGAAAACTATCCATCATCTCATGGATCTTCTCCTCATGCAATACGTAACGAATCAACCCCAAGTTCACATCCTCTGTGAGAAAAAAGACACTGCGTTAGCCCAGGGTTACAAAAACAGCCTCATAGCTGTGCACACTGACACACTCAGTCTATTCTTCTAATGGGTCCTGGACAGAACATGTGTTCCCGAGAACAAAAAGGGGTAATAGTCTTAGAAATTACTGCTTCCTCCAGATGCAAAAATAAGATCCTGTAGCTCCATGTGACAAAACGCTATATTTATGTACAGGAAATACACTATGGTGTTGTAAATGAGAACTTCCAGGCCTTGGCAAAAAGACACTTCAATAAAGGTCTATGGAATGTTAGCGGCAGATCTGAGAGCTGACAGAGAAAAGTCTTCGACCCCATCCTCTGTGTGCATATGCTCATATCCACACCACTCCCTTCTAATAAGGTTCCTTGGAAGGCATGTGTTACTAAGAAGAGCTAAGGTTGGATTAAAACAGCCCCCACACAAGGCACAGGTAACATGGGCTAGGAGAGCACAGAAGACTGAGGACAGAGAGAAAAAGGAAATACGGCACATGAGTCATTACAGGCAGTTTCTCGTAACTGCTCCCAATGAAGCCCTTCCACAGAAGTCAGCTAGATTCTAGAAGACCCCAAGGGGCGTCTGGGAAACTAAAATACGAAATGGTCTGCTTGATATGATTCAAAGCAGGAAAACATTTCTGTTAAGGAATCTGCCCACATTGATTTTAATTTCTTTGCTGAAGACTTTAAAAAATATCCATAACCCTTAGAGGACAAACCACACAGGATCACGGATCTCTCATAAAGCCTGGGGGCTGTTTTTGTGGTTTCTTTTTAAAAAAAACCGAGCATTGACATGATCCCTTCCAGAAAACCTGGCCAAAACCTAAAGCAATTTGGGAGCTGAGGAAGCATGGTAAAGGTGAATTTTTTGGGGGGGGAGGGGCAGAGGGAGCATAATTCAGAGTAACAGGAAAAAAGTCAGAGACGTAAAATTCCAAAGTTGGGATGGCTAGACATTAAAAGATTTGTATGTTTGTATGTAGGTTACTTAGGGGTGAGAGTGGTCGTAGAACAGATTCCTCCCATTTCCCAGTTCCCCGAGGCCCCACCCTGTGTGAAGGTCACGGCAGCTCGGCCAGGCTGCAGCTTGTTCTCCACGTGGCCATGCCTGGGGCCCGTAGCGATCTCATAGACAAGTTGCAGGTCTTCCGTGTCCGGGTCCAGGGTCAGCAGTTCTTTCCTGGTGATCAAGTTGGTTGCCTGGAATAGAAACCCATTAAATTTAACTCCTGTTGTGGGAATAAAGTAAGAACAAGACCCAGTGACTCAGATTTAATTCAGCTCAACAATGACTGACTGAGTGCATTTACTGCACAGAAAACTCTGTCGGTATTGAAGAGGCTCTACAGATAAAAGCCAGCCGGCCTCTGCCCTTGATGTGTTCACACTTTATTGGGAAAGAAAGGCTGATAAGCAATGTAGCTTTGGCAAGAGCTATATCGGGAAATTAAAAAAAAAAAAAAAAAGAGTGCTATGCACTTTTTTGGGAATGGGAGAGATAATTCCAGCTGAACTGGGGCAGAAGAGATTTGAGATGGTGGAATTTGAGCTTGGCCTTTAAAGAAGGTTGGGACTTTGAAAGAATGATACAACACAGGAAAGACGATCACTCCGGAAAATACAGGAGTCAAATGCAATGCTTGCAAGTGAGTAAGATATATATGATACCCCAATTTTGCCCAAATATACTGCTTATATTTGAATTCACTCAAAAAATATTTAGAGAGAATCACTGATTGGCTGCCTCCAGCATGTTCCTATAAGCCCGCAACCCGACCGGGCATGTGCCCTGACCGGGAATCGAACCAGGACCTCCTGGTTCCTAGGTCAATGCTCAACCACTGAGCTACGCCAGCCGGGCCTTAACTCACTCAAAAAATATTTAATGAGAGCAAAGGTTTGAGAGAAAAAAGGGGTGGTCAATAGTATTAAATGTTTTTAACTCTAGGAAAGTAAGGACATGTAAGTGACCTTTGGACTTGACAAAATAGAGGTCATTGGTGACTCTGACAAGAGTCCCTGCAGTAGGGTAGGGGTGGGAAGTAGAATTGCGGAAGGTTTAGAAGAGAGTGAGATGGTTCTGAATATGGAAAAAAATAAATGAAATAGGGCAAAAGAATTGATACTAATTTTGTTTGATATATTTTAAAAATTCTGATAAGTTTGGTGGAAAGCTATAGCATAACACCTACATATAAAAGCATACCTTGTTTTATTGTGCTTCTCAGGTGCTGTGTGTTTCAGAAACTGAAGGTAAGACCCTCCACCAACAAAAAAGGTTATGACTCTCTTTACTGAGATGCCCGCTTTATTGCAATGGTCTGGAACTGAACCCACAATATCTCTGAGGGGTGCCTATACAACCAACTAATCAGCTCCATAGGGAAGAGAAAATCTACGTCTTAGAGGGAAAACCACAGGCAAAAGAAAGAAACCAGTTCTCAAACTCAACTCAAGAACTGTGTGTGTTTGGGTGGGGACAAGAATTTAATGCTAGACATGGTTATGGCATATCTTAAAATGACCAAATTGGGCTTTAGGAGAAGGAGAATGAAATTTCTAAAGTATTCCTCTGAGGACATTCACCCACAAAAATACCTCCTTCCCATTAATGGCATATTCCAGATATGTCCCCAAATCTATCTTTCCCTTCTTCTAGTTAACAAACTTTTAGCTGGGCACCTGACTAATCAGCTAGACACTCTATCTCCCAGCCTCCAGGCAACAGATGAGCCCATGTGACCCATTTCTTGCCAAAATAATATGAGTGTAAGAGATGTGTTTAATTTCCGTACCACTTGCTTAAAATATATCCCTTGCCCTTGCCATGGGTAGTGTTGCTAAGTGGTTAGAGGATCACCCCGCACACTGAAGGGTATTGGGTTTGATTCCTGGTCAAGGGCACATACCTGAGTTTCTGGTTCACTCCCCACCCTTTGGGGCACATGCAGGAGGCAACCAGTCAATGTGTCTCTCTCACATCGCCTCTCTCTCTCTCTCTCCCCCTTCCCTTCCTTCCTCTTTTCCTTCCTCCCTCCCTTCTTTCCTCCCTCCCACTCTCTCTGAAAAGCAATGGGAAAAATATCTTCAGGTGAGGATTAAAATATCTGTATATTCCTTGCTCTCTACTTCTCTATTTTCCTCTTCCCATGGACTAAAATACTGATGACTAACTGAAGAGATTAGGGTAACTCCAGTCAACGGCTACAAGCCAGTAATGGCAGAATGGCAAGAGAGAAGGAACCTGTGCCTCTGAATTATCATGCAGAGCCCTGAACTTCCACCCTGGATGTGAGGGGGCAAATACCTGCTATTTTGTTTGAGCTACTATATTTTGGGAGCCATTGTATAAGAACATGTTAAACTATATACAATCTGAATCAAACCCATGAAGCTCTCCAATCTCAGGAATATCAGCTTACTTAGGGGGGAATAAAAATGACTTGAGCTAGAGTTCTTAGTCATAATCTATCATCATGTTCAAGGCTACTGTCCAAGCTGGTTAGTGTGGAACTGGCCGATGGAGGGGCCTTACCTTGCCATCCATACGCTCCAGCCACTGGAGCCCCAGGTTTGTGACAATTCTCGGAGTGCTGTCATCTACTGGGAGGATGTCTACTCGGAACTGCTGAGGCGCTGCTGTGATAATCTGGGGCGGGCGGGGGGGTGGGGGGGGAGCCAAAAAAACTCATCATTCACAGACATCTGAACTGTCAGGTCTGGAACCCTGAAATCAGTTGACACTTCAGAGAGGGAGCTAAGCCGGTTTCCACCACTTGTCACACCTTGGCGGGAGACTTAGGGAGAATACTGCCTGCTAAAGGGCACTACACAAAGGAAAGCGAGAAACCAGGGGCACAGGCGGGGTCTTCACCTGCCATGGAAGCTGACGTTTACACACCTCTGCATGTAGTAAGTTCAACATTACCCTGAGGTGAAACAATAAGCAAAACATTTTCCTTTCAATAACTCTTGTTAAATCTTTCCTGAGAGGCAGAAGAAAGCCATCATTAAAATGTTAATGTCAAAGTCTCCAGGTGGAACTCTGCCAGATGTAGAAAGAGGTTTCCTGGGAAGAGATTTTTCGCCCCCTCCCCCCTTTTTTTCAGTGAGCTATCCATATGGGGAAAAAGGAAGAAGAAATTAAGAATAAAATATTTGTGTCAATGGGGGGAAAGGGAGACTTATGTAATACTTTAAACAAGAAAGAATTTAAATTAAAAAAGAATAAAATATTTGTGGGCATAATGAAAAGAAACTTTGGTTTATAATTTCAATCTCCCTTAGACCGATCCACACAACACATACGCGGCACCTCCCTGTTCGAGGGGAAAAGGTGGCTGCCACGCAGGGCAGCAGATGCTGGCTTTCCAACCTTCTACCCCCCTCCTTGTAAGCAATTTCCATTTGTAAAATAACAGGGTCCCTCTGGAGACCTGCAGTGACCTTTTATGTTTATTGGAGAGGTAGCCCTCTTGCTGATTTATTCTGAAATCTTTTTTCTCTCCTGAAGGTCGCACTAACTGGGAGCAGCTGCAGTGCAGGAGGGAGAATAAAAGCGATGAGCTCCCAGGGGGGTGATGCGTCGCAGACCCCGCGATGGCAGGGGAATCCTGACTCTTTGACCCTCTGAGAACGACCTTCTCACAGGCTGCTGGTCTCTAAAGGGTGCAGGAAGACCTTTCTTCCACAAAGGAACCATCCCCATTCATCACCAAAGTCTGAAAGGGACTGTGCAGGATGGAGCTGACCCTGCTGTAATCCTTGAAGGATGGTAGGGTGTGACGATATAGCTCACTCAAACTGCTTCTGCAGAGTCAGAGACAGACGCCTGTGATGTAGGAGTCCACGCCTACTTTTTACCTGGGTTGCAGTTATTCCCAGCAGAGGGTGTGGGACTGCTGGACACCAGGCTAAGAAGGAATGAGTAAAAGTAGCAGGAAAGGTAGTGCAGGGGCTGTCTTAATGCTTCTTCCAGATGCCTGGATAGCAGAAGGGAACAATTCTCTCAAAGAAATAAAGCTGAATGGTTGCATGGCCTCAAGACAAAAGTCTTTACCTGTTTCACTTGCTGATCCTAAAATGATGACACATGATGATGACAGCCACAGTTGATTGGATGTTCCTGTGTATGGCACTGGGCTAAGTGCTTTACATACATCACGAAGGTGGTATCATCCCCATTTTATAGATAGGGAAGCTGAGGCTTAGAAAGGTTAAATGACGTGCAAAGTCACTCAGCCAGTCGGTGACAGAGCTAGAATTTAAATCAGTGTCTTTTGGATGAAGAAACTGCACTTTTAGCCGTTGCTATTCTTCATGAGACTAAGAAACTTTGGCTGACTGAGGGGACATATAAGAGAGCAAGACAATCTAGAACCATATGAAATTAGTAAAAAAAAACAGATGAAAGAAAAATGACAGGAAAGGAGAAAAATAACAGAATAATAACAATAACTATCAACTTCTATTGAAAGTGCTCATAATTTGCTAACAGTGTTAACTACATACTATCGATTATCTCTTTGAAACCTCATCTAATTGAAGCTGATGATTATTATTGTATCCATTTTGCAGATGACAAGAGGAGGCTTAGAGGAGCTAAGTAATTTGCTGAAGGCCAACTGATAAGTGACAGAACAAGAACTAAAACAAGGCTATCCTTGGCCTTGAAATGCCATGTTGTGGACAACCTCAGGCATGTTCTGCTATGCCTCCCTCTCCGTTGCTTCTCCTCACCTCTTTCCCTCCTTCCTCAATAATAAAGAAGGGGTTCGTCCCATCAGCAACAGTGAAGGTGAACCAGTCTTTGAGGGAGTTGCTGCCATCGTGGCTGTAGCTGACTCGGTTCTGGTAGATGTCCTCCATGGTGAAGGTGGAGACGAACTGGAAATGCTGCCCATTGGTGGTTCGCTCGATGCTGCCATGACGTGGGGGCTGCACAATGGTGAACGTGACAGACTCAGCCTGTGGAGGAGGCAAAAAGCAAGAGGAGAAGGGACTTCTTAAGAGAAACCAGATGTGCCAGTGATGGCCAACAGGTGGTCAAGTGTAGTCAAACCTAGAGACATTTATAAAATAAGAACTGCATTTTTTATGGTTATCAAAAATAAAGCTAAGGAGGTAAATTGTATTGGTTACTATAATTGAATTTATATTCTGATGCCTTCAGTTGTAAGACTAAGGCATTTATATTTGTCCTTTGGGGGGGTAAAAAAACCCCACCTGAATCTTTAACCTCTCCCAGGATGATAGGAACTAGACCTTTAAAAATTATTCATTTCTTTTCCATCCATTTCCCCCCACTTCCCAAAACTCTTATATCCAGAATCCCATATGCATCAGAACAGAAGTTTATTTCCCATTTCTAGTCACTGCTTCTAAGGCGATACATAGAAGCAAAAATAAAGAGGTAGAAAACCCTGCTCAAGACTTTCCAAAGATTTCCCACCAACGTAGAATAAAATGAAAAGGCCTGACCTGGACCAACCAGGCCCGTTGTGACCTGGTCCCAGGACTCCTCTCTGGGCCCGCTCTCCCCCTCTCCTGCTTGTTTAGGTTCCCACCTCTTGGCCTCTTGTTGTAACTCAAAAGTTCTAAGCACACTTGACCCCAGGGCCTTTGCACTCTGGTTCTTCTGCCCAGGGACTGAGGCTCCCAGATGACTGCATAGCTTGCTCTTCTGCTTCATATCTCTGCTCCTCAGAGAAGCCTTTCCTGCCCACTCTGTCTAACATAGCACAATCTCCATCTTCTTTAGCTTGCTTTAGTTTTATTCATAGCACTTACAATATCTGACATGGTATTACATGTTCTTTCTTTATTGTCTGTCTTCCTCAACAAAGGTTGAAAACTCCCTAAGGCTGGAACTTTATGTGTTTTGCTCACGGCTCTGTCCTTCAGGTCTAGAGCAGAGCCCGCACAGGTACGTAATGAGTATTTGCTGAAAGAGTGAACAGATGAATGAATGAGCGCTGGCAGAGGGTAGAGTGCACATAGAACTAATTAATAATTGCTGTGGTACTCTTATGGGAGCTAAATTGTGCCAGAAGGTTACATGCTTTTATCTGAAAGCATCATGAGAATGAGAGTTCTGTCTCTACAGGCTCTGTTTTACTGTATAAAGCCTAGTTCTCTGAGGATGCCTAAATTGTAATAATTAGTTGTCATCCAGAGAGTCTGAATGAAGAAAATTAAAAAAAGGGAAAGATCTATTTTTTCAGTTTCTTTAGTTCATTAGATTCTATATATAAGTGAAATCATGTGATCAATGCAACAGACATGATTCTCAGAGGGAAGTGGGGTTGGTGGAGGAGGGGTGGGAAGAGATTAACCAAAGAACTTATATGCATACTAGAGACTCGGTGCATGAAATTCATGCACTCAGGGGGTTCCCTCAACACAGTCCGGGACGCCTTGGGGATGTCTGACTGACCGCTTAGACCCAATTTAGCTCCCACAGGGAGCGGTCCTAAGCTGACAGTTGGACATCCTTAGCACTGCCACAGAGGCAGGAGAGGCTCCCGCCACTTCCACTGTGCTCGCCACCCATGAGCCACTCAGGGCTTCTGGCTGAGCTCTTGTGTTGTGTGTCAGCCCCCTGGTGGTCAGTGCACGTCATAGCAACCAGTCATTCCCCCGTTCGGTCAATTTGCATAGTAGCTTTTTATTATATAGGCTATGCATAACCCATGGACATAGACAATAGTGCAGTGAAGGCCTGGGAGGGGGCAGGAGTAGGGTGGAGGCGGTCAATGGGGGGCAAAATGGGACATCTATAATACTTTCAACAATAAAGAAAATTAAAAAGAAAAGAGGGAAAGATATATAGGTGCCATAAATCCTTGTTCATGCTAATAAGGAATAATTTTCTATAAATCATGGTAAAAATTCAGCATGTTAAAAAGATTGTTGCATGTAATCAGGGGAGAGAGTGAACATACTTAGGGTTTCAGAAAGGGTTTAAAAGCAGTTTGATGCAAATGTATTCACTTCCTCTTTTTCAGAGGGCTGCAGTCTCTTCAGGTTTTTAGTCCTTCAAGGGCACTTGTTCTAACCTCACCCCCCTGCCCTCACCTTGAGATGCTCAGTCACAAAGCAACCACTGGACTCAGCAGATCAGCTTCTCATTCAGCCAGAGAACTCAGGGGCATGTTCTTACCTCTGTATCTGCATCCACGGCCTTGAGCTCAAATTCCGTGATGGTCTTCCTCACACCCTCCTGCACCCGCATCCCCACATTCTGTACAACGGGCAGCGAGTCATCCACAGGGCGAATGGTGATGTGGAACGTCTGTGTCACCTAGAATGGCAGACATGTGAAGACCAGAGAGACACAGGGCCCCAGCCCCACCCAAGTAGAAGGTAAGTGCCCTCTACTTTCTCCTTCACACCATCCCTCACATGATGGACTGACCAGGAACCCAAAAATGAATTCTCTTGGACAAGACCCCCGGGGGCTGTCAGAAGCCGCCTGATCTTGGCTGAGAGCAGAGGGAAGTGAAGCTCAGACAGCACCAGCTGCCCTGCAGATGCTAAGGGAATCCAGTTCCTCACCTACCTCATGGACTCCATCCGAGAGCGTGAAGCTGAAGGCATCTGAATGGTTCTCAGATTCACTAGAGTGGACATACTGAACGTTTCGTGAAGCCAGGTCAGCCTGAGTAAAAGAAGTGATCAGGATACCTGGGAAAAGGGGAGAAGAGAAACAGAGAAAGGATGCAAAAATGCTCACCATACTTCTGAGGCTGGGGAAACGTCATATGCTCACTAGATAGAGTCCTTGGCATTTGTCTCCTAGCATTTATGTGCTTCTCCCTGAGACCTGGTGTTAGAGTTGTTTGCCTACTTTTTTTTCTACAACAGCATATGTTCTGTGGGAGCACATGTTAACGTAATTATCCAGGCTTCTACTATGTGCCAAGTCAACAGCAGGTGCTCAATAAATGTTACTCTCCTTTCTCTTGGGGCTTATGCATGCAGGTCAAATCTGTGAAAGGTAGAGACAGTGCCTTATTCTCTAAATTCTTCTCTCTTAAGTTTTATATTCCCCCATAGTCTCATAGCCCTTTCTGAAAAACCTATCCTAATTTTTAATATTGTGCAATGGGAACACTGGACTAATAGGGCTTGGCTAAACCATAGCCTTGTTTCTGTGATTGGTGGGGCTTCCCCAGCCCCCACAGTTTCATTGGAAATTCTTCAAGGTCCCTTTCCAGGTCTGTGATTCTAGCTTCTCATATACCATGTTGGCCGGGCTGACAGTAGACTTACTGCATGACTCTGGGCTTTGGGCAATCATTCTATATCAACTCTAAAACGACCTAGAAAACTATTATCCTTTAATAACGATAGAAAACATATTAATTTTTTTAGAGTCATTTTGAAAGTACAAAAATCTAAAGTGATTTTGAATAATTAATGCCAAAGTATCCCACAAGTGAATAATATCTCTCTGTTTTTAAATGTCAAACAACAATTAGCGTAGAATTCTTGCTTCCATGTTAGGGCTCTGGGACTTACTTCCTGGTCCCAGCCAAGACTGAAACAAAATCACATCTTTTACACCCTCAGCACCAATTGCCTGATGTGAGTGTTGGGGTATTAATCCATTTAATCTAATCCTTCTGTTTGGTCCTGCAAATCATTTGCTGCTGCCTAAAATTTATTATTTGTCATTGTAAATCCTGGCAAAACCACTGTAGCTTTCCTGTAAAAAAAACAAACACAAACACTCACACACACACTCAGAAATTGTACTTTGACTGTGACGCAAGTATCACTGCCATCCTAAAAAATTAATAAACCTGCATGGTTTACATTTGCATCTCTCTTTATCATCTGAAATTTGTTGCCCAGATACAATAGCCTCCTGATACTGGGGCATTAATTTTTTGATGAGGCGTTTTATATTTCTGTGCTTGCTACATGAGCTCTTGACAGGCAAAAAAATGTAGCCCCTGTCTTATAGCTTTGTCTTGTAGTCTGGACAGAAATCCATACCATGCTTTAAAAATTTAATAACTTCAGACTGGCTGCGCTGAGAAATTTAAATCTTTTCCCCTGCGGTGACTCCCTCCTCATAGCTCACGGGGAAATGCTTGTCTGGATTCTCACAATCTACTGGTCACCTAATTCACTCTTCTCTTTATGAGAACCTAGGACTGACTGAGGAAGGTGATAGAATTTTCCTTCCTCTTTGGAAGGAAGCACTGGGATTGATTTTTAAAACATTTTTGAGAGGAAATGGACATATAATAAATAGCACACATTTAAAATGTACAATTTCATAAGCTTTGGCACATCCATAAAATCATCACCTCAATCAAAATAGTGAACATATCCATCACCCCCAAAGTTTCCAGCTGACAATAATTCTTCCACTCTTTCCATCCCCTACCCTATCCCAAAGCAATCAATAAATTGCCTCCTGTCATTCTAGATCAATGGTCCTCAAACTTTTTAAACAGGGGGCCAGTTCACTGTCCCTCAGACAGTTGGAGGGCCGGACTATAGTTTTTTTAAAAAAACTATGAACAAATTCCTATGCACACTGCACATATCTTATTTTGAAGTAAAAAAACAAAATGGGAACAAATACAATATTTGTATTTGCATGTGGCCCACAGGCCGTAGTTTGAGGAACCCTGTTCTAGATTAGTTGGCATTTTTTCTGATTTTTAAAAATAAATAGATTCATACAGTATGTACTATTTTATGCATAGTATCTTTCACTTGTTATAATCATTTTTCAATTCATCCATATTGTACCATGTGTTAACAGTTCATTCTTTTTATGGCTAGGTACTATTCTATTGTGTGGATATGCCATCGTTTGTTTACGCATTCACGTGTTGGTGAACATTTAGGTTAGTTCCAGTTTGTGGCTATTATAGATAAAGCTGCTACGGTCATTTGTGTACAAGTCTTTGTACCGACCTAAGTTTTCATTGTTTCTGGGCAAATCTCTAAGAGTAAAATGGCTGGAATATGTCTTGGGTCATGCTTAACTTTTTAGAAAACTGAGAAACTATTTTCCAAAGAAGGCAGTACCACTTGCCATTCCCACAGCAGTGCATGAGGGCTCTGGGCTTCATCTTAGTGGGCCTTTCCCACTTCTATCTAGAAAACACTGAACACCTACTGTGCAGAATACTATTGCAGGCTTGCTTATATATTTTAGATTTTATCCTTTAACAACTCTGGGAGGTCAAGGTTGGCATGTTACCTCGTTTTGATAGATCAGACACTGTGATCCAATTAGAGTAGCAATGTGGCCTATCCCAGGTCACACATCTAACAGGGGGACAGAGCTGGAACTGGAGATCAGGGTTGTCTAACTCCAAAGTTTATGCCTGCTAGGAGTATGTTTTTATAAAACTCATCTAGACTTTTCAGACTAGACAAGGAGCCTCTTGGATATCACCCTTATCCTTTAATTGTTTTCAATATAAAAGTAATACATGGCTATTAAAGAAAATGTAAAAAGCACAGAAAAGTAGTAAAGGATCACAGAAATCACTCATAGTATGGAATCACAAGAATCACTCATATATCTACCACTAAAATATCACCATTGTAATATTGCTGAATTGAACTGTTTCTTATACTTGATTGGCTATAACCTTTTTTTATCTGAAATATTGATTTTGATGGGGTACTTAATATTTTTATTTAAATGATACCAATGATTAAGTGCCAGAGGGTAATGAGCTGCACCTAGAATGCAAGCTTCAAAGGGACAAGCATTTTGGTGATTTCCTCACCAATGTGCACCTAGAATAGTGCCTCGCACACAGTAGGTACTCAAAACATTTTTGGTGAATGAATTTAGCTCATCCACTACAATCAATATCTGAGGCCTTACCCATTGAGCACAGAATTTTCAATCTCTCTGTACCTCCCCCCTCCCCAATTTTAGCCGTTGCTAATTGGGCATTGGAAAACTTCAGCTACTTGCTCACCACCAAGATGGTGTTTCCAGTAACATGTTCTCCCTGTTGGCTGTCACAGCAAGTACTTACCTTTTGAAAGGTTGCAGGCTTTTAATCCCATGGAAGGTATTTGCAGTCACCAACCTACTGGCTACACTATGTCTCTGGCAGTATGACGGGGACCCACATTAACCCTGTCAGCTTTTCCAATTCCCTCGAAAGGCCAGAACATTAGAGTGGTGTGGGAAAAAAGCATCTCTGAAGAAAGTACCTTCTTAAGTGGAGGTTAGGCGATTGCCTTGGCCTCTTGCTTTCAGCACGGTCGGGATGGCCCTGTACATGGGAACAGTGCTATGTCGGAACCAGTGCTGAACCACTGCAGGCTCATGCCATGGGAGACTCTCAGCTTTTCTTCAAAGCCTCCAGTTATGGGCTAAATTGTGCTGCCCCTTTCCACCCCCCGCCGCCAACTCATATGTTGAAGTCCTAACCCTCAGTGCCTCAGGTGTGACATTACTTGGAAACAGGATCATTATAGAAGTATTGAGGTCACTAGGGTGGGACGTAATCCAATATGACCATTGTCCATATAAAAGGGGAAACTTTGGATATACACATACTAGAGGCCTGGTGAACGAAATTCGTGCATGGGTACGGTCCCTAGGCCTGGCCTGTGATCAGGGCCATCTTCCCTGGCTGCCTGAAGCCGGCCCCGCCCCCTGCTGCCAACCACCCTGGTTTCCCCTTGCCATCGGGTGATCGGTACCTGATGGCTGGGGGAAGGGACCGAGAGGTCGACTGTTCCCACCTGCTCGCCAGCCCCATCCCCGCTGCTGGTCACCCTCTGTGTGTGGGGTGACCTCTTGCAGTCTGGGACCCCTTGGGGGATGACCACCTGCTAGCTTAGGCCTGCTCACTGGGGGATTTGGCCTAAGCTGGCAATCAGACATCCCTCTGGCAGCCCGGCAGCCCTCAGGGGATGTCCACTTGCCAGCAAGGAGAGCAGACCTAAGCTGTAGTCGGACATCCTTAGCGCTGCTGAGGAGGCAGGAGGGGCTCCCACCACAACCTCTGTACTGGCAGCCATCAGCCTGGCTTGTGGCTGAGCAGAGCTCCCCCATGTGGGAGCGCACTGACCACCAGAGGGCAGCTCCTGCATTGAGCATCTGCCCCCTGGTGGTCAGTGTGTGTCATAGTGACCAGTCATTCCTAGTCTTTCTGCTGTTAGGGTCAGTTTGCATATTACCCTTTTACTATATAGGATAGAGGCCTGGTGCACAGGTGGGGGCTGGCTGGTTTGCCCTGAAGGGTGTCCTGGATCAGGGTGGGGGTCCCCACTGGGGTGCCTGGCCAGCCTGGATAAGGGGCTGATGGCTGTTTTCAGGCTGGCCACACCCCCTTTAGGGTGGGGGTCCCCACTGGGGTGCCTGGCCAGTCTGGGTGAGGGACTGAGGGCCACTTTCAGGCTGGCCTGTGACTGAAGCTCCCAGCCTCTCCTTTTTTTCTTTTTTTTATTCTGGGATTTATTTACCTTCTATAATTGAAACTTTGTTGCTGTCACTGGAGCTGAGAGCCAGGCTCCTGCTCGCTCCAGCTCTGAGGCCACAGCCTTGCGAAAGCAGGTATCTGGGGTTTGTTTAGCTTCTATAATTGAAACTTTGTTGCTTCCAGAGTTCAGAGCTGGGCCGCAGCAGGCGGGGAACCTTGGCTTCCTCCATCACTGGAACAAGCAAGCCTCCTGCTTGCTTCAGC